TAATTGATTATATATCCCAAATGAACAAGGTCTAAATATTTCTACAATTTCATTACTCCATTATAATTTATAAATCTTTATTATTAATCTCTATTTCTTTTACAAAAACTGATAACAATCCATTATTAAGATGTTCTTCAGTTATTTCTAAATTTAATTCTGACTATGTCGGAAAGTTTAAACCAATCTTAGTTCCTTTCTTAAACTCTTTATAATCGAAATCTTCTGGATTAAGATCAAATGTAGTTATTAAACATTCATCTATAACTTATTTCACTTATTTTTATCCTAATTAAGTTAAAAATTCATTAAATTCTTTGAAAGTTGGAGAATACAATTTTATAGTTTTCTATGAAACCTTTTCTTTGATTATAAATTAAATTGGTAGAAAATCTACACAAAAATAACATTTCTCATCCATTTAAACAACATATTTAATCATTCTTTTATTTAAAATCTTATCAGGAAATTCACTTTTTTCTATAAATAGAAATAATATTACTTTCACTAATAATTAATCCAAAATCAGAATTATTTGGCTTAGTGACAATAACTTTTTATTAGGATTCTAATTAAGATTGTGTTTAAGGTTAATCTGAATTTTAAATTATTGGTTATACTTTCTCATCAACTTTTTCTTGTACTTTACTTTGAATATCTGTTTATTAAAGAAGTTTTTATTTGAGTATAGAAAAATCAACATTTAGATCTTAAACTATTTCACTTACTTAAAAAAAGTTATTATTAACTAACTCATATAATCTCATAGGTGATAATTTAATAGTTTCAACGTGTTAGTACTCTTAAAAATATATTTCAATAATTGGAAAATGAATCTTAAAAAATCCTTATCCAGATTGATTTGGAATAATTTGGTAAGGTTCTGAAAATTCTTTACTTGAAAATTTATCAACCTTGGTTTTTAATTAATGTAATCCTTTCTATTTTAAGGCTACTGTATTCAACTCTAACAGTTATAAATTTTTAATAAAAAAATCTATGAAATCTTGATGTGTATTTAATATTTAAAGTGTTGTTTAAAAGTTTAGAATTAAACTTTTTGATATTTTCCTATTGACTTATTCATTTTATTCTTTACTCCAATCAATTTCAAAAGATTTTATTAATGCCAAAACAGGCATTTAATTATATTTGTATATTTTCTTATAAAAGAATCTCTCATCTTTTTTAATTTCTTCTACATCTTCTCCATCAGTCATATCAGCCACAATGTTTTTCTCCAATGGCTATAATTTAGTACCTAGATGTCCAAATTTTTATGATAAATGATAACTAGATAATCCCTAAAAGCCTCTATCACAAGTTGTTCCAAAGTGTCTAGTATTGTAATCGAAGCTATACATAAATCCTTATTATTAGATTCAATTTATACTTTAAACTACCATTTACTTAGAGTTACCTTACATCATAGATCTTCTTTATATGTGAGGTAAGATTTTGGATTCATTTCTAAATATATAATATGTATTTAGATACTAAGATTGACGTTGTTAGGTATTTCTTATGTACATCGGATCTAGTAGTTTGGGTTGATTAGTAATCAGTTTTGGTAAAATCTCAAATTAAGTACTATGATTATTCATTATTTATATAAATGTAAATTGAAATTGAGAAATGTTATAATGCTTATTGGCCACCTAAATATGATCTATATTGCATGGGTTCAAATTGTCCTGTAAAAAGTGAATAAAAATTTGGTTAAGAGTTTTATGTGTCATAAATAGAATGCAATCTCAAATTATGTCCCTTATGTAGGTTTTAGGAAGTATATTATATTCTAATTAGATAAAATGCACTGTCCCAAATTGTTAAATTAGCATTGATAAACACTATTTAAAAACCAATTTTAATCTTTAAGCTAAAAAGATCTTTTTTGATCTAGATAAAGATGTTTAAGAATAATTATTAATAAGAAAGAAAATTGAAGAAAAATATCATAGATAAATTTCAGACATAAAACAAAGTTCTAAACCAACAGAGAAAATAGATAAATTATCAGAATATTTAGAAGATGCTGTTTATGCTGAGAGATCCAATAATAAAAGATTAATGCTTGAAATAGATACTGAAATCTAAAAATTATGGAGATAAATTGAAATCGAAGAAGATAATGATTAACCTAAAGAATTACCAAGATAAATTCCAACATAAAGATCTAATAGTATTTAATAATAAATTGGAACTTAAAATATATATCAAAAAGAAGCTGGTTTTAATGAAAGGTAGTTCCATATTAATAGAATTAAATGGGGATTTTGAATTATTAAATGTTAGAGTAATCAAATTTGATTTATAATGGTATTAAAATTGATGTATTTGTACTATATTCCTAATATATCATAACATGACCTAAGAATTAATAAAGTACAATTCTTCTAAATAAATTCTCCTAATGAAGAATATATATTACATAGGAATATAGAAAATAAATAAAATATTATAAAACATAAGTACTTATTATCCTTGTGACTATATTGAATAGATAATGTTAAATATTACTTGTAAATTTCAATTGATTTTAAAATATCATCATAAACTTTATAACTTTATACTAAATAATAGAACCTTGGTTTTACTAATATAAATGCTCCAATTCTGAATGTATGTCTAATAATTGTAAACAAAACAACAAATTTTAATAAATAAATATCCCTATTAATCCAAATAATAGGATTCTATAAAATATTCAGCTAAAGAATAATTAAAAAATAATATTAATAAATATATTATAATGATTACAAATTAATAATTTATAAATTTACCTGTATAGAAAATGAATTTGCTAGATTATATCCAAAAAATTATGATTAATTAGATAATCTAATTATTAATTAATATATTTCCCAATTTAAATAAATTCAATTTATACAATGCAATAACGAAGCATCTCAACCATATTATTTTATTTATTATAATTAATACTATTCTATATATAACCTTATTATTAAATACAAATATAAGTATAAATATCTGTTTTATATCTAATCATATTATTATTCATATTATTAAATAAATCCTATTTATTTTAATATCTTGTACTTTTAACATTATATGTATAATTATATGTATTATAAATAATAATAAATAAATGTTTGAAATAATAATTATTTAATTAAGATTAATATTTTTATTTCATGACGTATCGAGTATTGTTCATAACACTGTTAATATATAGCATAAATTGCAATGTAATAATTAGAACAGATGCAAGATGTGTTTGTAAGCAATGGAAATTAGCACTTGAATGTGCAAATGATTAGGATTGCATCTGGAATAGTAATACAAAGACTTGCGAATAAGAAGAATGTTCAAGCATAAAAAGTTAATCAATATGTTCTGCTGATGAAGGTTGTTAATATAGAGATGGAAAATGTGAGAATTTTACAAAGTGTGAAGATCTGAAAGGCAAAACTATTAATGAGTGTAGATTTATGTCAACAAATTGTAGAGAGAGTAATGGTGAACATTGTTTACCTAATGCTCTTGAAAGGAAATGTTCAGAATTCAAAAATGAAGGTGAATGTCTTTAAGGTTAGGATGGATTTTGTCTATGGTTAGAATCAAAATGCATTTTATGGAATAATTGTGTTTAAGCACTAACAAAAAGTTAATGTGAAATGCTTCCTTAAAGTTGTGATTGGTCAGAAACATTAAAATTTTGTCTTCAAAAATAATGTTCTGAAATAGATCATGAATATGATTGTATAGCAGTTTAAGAAGGACCTAATAGTCATTTATATTAAGTTTGTGAATGGAATTATGTTTTAAAACAATGTGAATCATCAATTCCAGATGTTTTGACATTTGATACATGTGCTAGTAACACTTTACAAGCTTATCATTGGTCTAGTTCTAATGCAAATGAAGGATTTTGTGAATAATGTTTATCACCAAATGTTTAAAAACCTACTCCAAAACATTGTTTATGCAATTCAATTTCATCTTAGACTGATTGTTAATAAAATTAAACATGTATATGGAAAGATAGTAAATGTGAAGAAAGAAAATGTACAGAAATTGATCCTCCTTAAGCTTGTATTTAATTAGAACATTGTGCTTGGTTTTCTGGTTCTTGTGTAGAATTCACTTAATGTGAAAATTATAAAGCATTCTCAAATTTAGAATGTTAATCAATAAATAAAAAATGTTTATTATCAGATACATTAGAAACTTGTACTTCTAAATATTAAGAATGTAAATCACATAAAACTGATGATAAATGCAATGGTAGCAAAGATTCTAAAAATGAATAATGTTATTGGGATGAAAAAACTAATACTTGTTAAGTTTGGACTCAATGTTCCTAATAAAAATAAGCAACATATTGTGAATATAGTGGAGCTTGTTTATGGGATGGAGAATGTAAGTAAATTACATGTAAATTATTAAATTAACATTCATGTACTCATTATTTGACATCACCAAATTCTAAAAATTGGAAATATTGTATGCTCTTAGACACTTGTTAAGATTTAAATCCTGATTTGCTTAGCAAAGATGAGTGTTATGCTTTCTCTTATGGACTTAGTACATGGAATTCATCTGAATGTTAATTATGCAAATTTCCAGATGATTATACATCAATCCTATCATTTATTGGTATGATTATTATAACAATGTTATGATTTCAGTTGAATTTTTTTCAAAATTATTATATTATATTAATATCCTATTCATAATTATCTTCATTTTTATTTGTTTTATTAATTTAACTCTTAAACTATATTTCAAAATTAAAATTACTATTAAGACTTTCTTTAATTCTAAATTCAAGTAACAAAATATAATAATATTATGCTGTAAACATAATTTTAAATATTGACCCAAAAATACTAATCTTTAGAACTCTTTAATAAACAGGGTGTACTAAATCACCTCATCAATAATTCTATTTATTTAGTCTTTATTTTTATTCATTTATAACATATATAGAAACTATTAACATTAATCCATTTTTTAATATATTTATTAATTCTAAGATGTCTAATATTATTATATTATCTGACTATGAGTAAACTAAAAAACTTAGCTATTTAATAAAGGATAAGTAAGAAAATTATTTTAGCAATGCAACCTGCTTTGTTAAAATTTTAGATAATTTTTTAGATAAATTAAAAGAAGAGGACAAGAGGATAGCAATAGTAAAATTAAACTAAATTTTTCCAGATTTAAAGCTTTAAAATAATATGATCACTACTCCTAAATCAAGAAGTATGAGCATGGTTTTTGATATCACTTTCTATTAAGAATTAGATAATATTAAAAAAACTTATGATTGGGTGAAATTATAGTAAATATTTTAATAAAACTAATTCTATATGGATGGCAAATATCCAAATAATTTTATAAAGCTTATACCTTTTATTGAAAAACTTAAAAATAAATCCTTCTTACTAATTGAAATAGCTGAATATTTTAAGGATTGTTAATTTTAGTTAAACCAATCAATATTTAAAAATTTGCTTTTCTATTTCTATTTACCTCTTGATTTAAACTTGACATAAGCTGAGACTTAAGAAATTGAAAAATTGATAGGAGAAATAATAAACTAAAGTTGGCTCTAATTTGAATATCATTAATATTAATTAATTTAGAATAATGATTCTTAAAGTTAATTGAAACTTTTACAAGTTGTTCCAAAAATTTTAATTGAAACTCCTTAAAGATAAAGAGAAATAATTGAATAGGAATTTCGAAATACTTTGAAAATTTCTGAAACTAACTTTCTATATGCAGATTTCCAATATTTTATTTCAAAATAAATGCCTATTTTATTTGAAATGCAAAGGTTTTATTATCAAATTTGTTTTTATTTTTTGTCTGTCTTTCATTAGGAATATAAAAAAAACAAAAGACTTTATGAAACTGAAAAGAATAAACTTTTGAATATCTATATAGAAGAAAAGACATAATAAAACTTTAAAAAAGAAGAATTTTCAGATGGCTAATTTTATGATAATAAATTGGAAAAGTGCTTTGCAAATTATTAAGTTTAACAGACATTAAACAAATATTCTGGCAAAGGTATAAATTTTAAATCTAATGAGTAACTATTAAAATATTTTATAGACACAAATTTTTATTATTTCAATAAACAAATTCACATTGTGGATATTAGTTAATAAAATAAACCTTATGCAAAAATCTTAAATCTTCTAACAGAAATTAACGATGAAAATAAGAGAAAAATAGCAAGTTTTATAAAAAAAAAAATTTCAGAATCATAAAGTATCATTGATATTGTAGATGATTTATCAGAACTAAAATATTAATACGATGAAAAATAATTAGAAATTATTTTTAGAATTATATGTGAAATGATGAACTTTGACTTTGAAGAATTTTGGATATATAGGAATGTCTTAAAAAGGAATTTTAAAAAAAAGAACATTCCTAATTTGAAAAAAATTTCACTTATCAAAGAGAAAATGAAAATATAAGAAATGATTTAATTGATTAAGCATTTTGAAAAGGAATTTTGGGAAATTATTTAATATAAATTTCATAAGTGTTATTGTATTATTATTAATACTCTTATTTAACATTAAATGTAAAATCAATAAGAAAATGAAAAAGAGTTAATTATAATGTTAAGAGAAAGGTTTAATTAAAATAGGAAGCTTTAAAAATATAATTAAAAAACATAATTGTTTTTTCATTTATTATCAAGTTTATAAGATAATGAAATTATTTCTTTATTTATGGAAAATCAGTAATAAAGTATATCTTTATAATCTTATATTTCTACTGTAAATATCTTATTTAAAATATTCAGCTAACTTTAAAATGATATTGATTAATAGCAAGTTAAAAATAATCTAGAATAAGATATTAAATTATTTAAGTCTTATCATCTTAATTTTTTAGTTGAATTGATATCCAATTAAATAAACAAGGATATTTTAGGTAAAATTTATAAATTAGTTTACTATTGGGCTTTTAACTAAACAAATTAACTTGAATCTGAAGTATAATCCTTTTATAAAAATGATCCTTAATTATACTAAAAAATATTCTCCAAATTAAATTATTTTGAGTGTGAGTAATTAACCTATGATAATTTGGTATATAATGAAAAAAAGTAATTATGTGATATCTATCCCAGAGGTCTTTAAATATGTTTAGAAGAATTTAATATAACTTTAGTTGAATTAAATCCACAAGAATAATATCAATTAATATAAAATTGGATTTAAAATATAAAAGACAATAACAAGTTCAAAGATCTTTTACCATTTTACTTTAATATTATTAAAAGAGGTGAACCATCAAAAACATTTTTACATATGATAAATTAGCAATTAAAAAATCAATAAGAAATATTAAACAAGTATGGGTATTTTAATTAAAAATCAATTATTTAGCTATTATATAATAATTCAAACATAGAATTGTAATGTTTTATACTAAAGGAAATGGGATAAGACTATCCCGTACCTTTACTTTATAAAATCCCTTATGAAGAAAAAACAGGAGACTTAGAAAAATATAAATTTAATTAAAATACATATTTTATCCACCAAAAAAGTTTTACCATTATTAATTTAAGTATTTAATAAGATTAAAGAAGAGTAGGCAAAACTTAATTAATAAATAAAATATTTTATTAAGAAGATAAATTTGAAATTTTAGACAATAATAAACTAAATGATAATTCTATAGATATTATGTACGATTATTAATTTCAAGGAACACGAAATTTATCAATAGCAGATGCTCATAAATTTATTCCACTATAGATATTAGATCAAATATTACCTTTATTTAAATTATGGATTATTTAATTGGATACAGAAAAAGAAATAGAGAGCACAATATAAGTTTTGTAATAATTGAAATCATTTTAATTAGAAAATAAAACTATATGTTTTCTAATTAGAGATTCATCATTTTAATTAGAATAAGCTTAAATACTGAAATTAAAAGAACTAAATATTGAATATATATAAGTAGCTAATTTAACTGATGTCAATTTAAATAAATATATAATAGAAAATGAAATTTAGTAAGTGGGCAAATTTTTATACGTTTTGATAGAAAGAAAAAAAAATAATAATTTGATTAATGCTAATGAATATTGGAATTTATTATCCTAAATACATATTTAAGATAAAGACTAAATTTAATTAATTGGATAGGCTCCAAAAATCTTATTTTAAATTGAGTATGAGTTAGATAAATTGAATGAATAATTAGACCAATCTAAAGTCATTGATTCTTTTTATAGTTTAATATAACATCCAAATTTTTATCTTTTGTATTTTAAATTTGATGATATATTGTCGAGATTTAATAAAGACAATCCCCAAAAGACATATTTAACAATGGGATAAATATGGAATATGGTTATATAATAATAATAAAAGAATGGAGGCAATTAAATTCAGATTAATACATAATAAATAATGGAGAAATTAGTTTTTAAAGGTGAACCTTATGAATTCTTAGATGTCTAATCAATAGAGTTTTTAGATACAATACTAACAAAAGTAAATTAATAAGAATAAGGAAAAACTTTATTTATAAGTATTTTAGGGTAGTCAGGTTCTGGGAATTCTATTATTTTAAATAAGATTTTTGGATGTCAGGTTTAAAGAGGATCCTATACTAAAAGATCTTATTTTTAATTATTGAAAATATACAATAAAAGTCTCTTTGGAGATATAATTAAATAGGTCATCCTTTTAGATTCAAAATTTCTGCAAAATCAAAATATAGATCATCCTGAAATTGATAAAAAAATAACCTTATTCATTTTATCTATTAGTGACATTATTATTGTGAATACTGAGGGGGATTTAAAAACAGAATTTAAGCAATACATAGAAACAAATATTTTTAATATGGCCAAATTAGTAAATAATCCTAAGTAGATAGCTTGGTGTTTTAATTAAAATAATAATTATTATGAGAGTAATTGTGCATTATTTTTAAATTAATTGTAAAGTATTAAAGAAAATTTGAAAAAAGAATTTTTTTATTAAAATGATGTTGAAAAGGCTTAATATTATGATGAAATTCTTGATATAGATTTATAGAATATATAAGTATTAGGACTTATGAAAACTGAATATATTTGGAATAAAAATAAATATCTGGGCATTAATTAAAATTGGAGACAAATAATAAAAAATGATAGTTTCTTTGAGGAAGCTTAAATGTTTGGAATTTACAATATTTAAATCGCTCTAAAAAAAATGTAAAAATACAGCCAATCAAGATTATAGGTTTTGAAAAATTTAGAAAAAATTTGGGAATAAACCTAATACATCATCGCTGAATTATCAGAATTTAAAAAATTAAGTCAATTTTAATAAAATGATTATATAAAAGAATAATATTAATAAATTGTATCCCAAATTAACTTTCCAGATAATGATGCAATTAAATAAAATTTAAAAAATAGTCTAGATTAAAATATACTCTCCATTGAAATATTAAATGATATTTAAAATGAATAAATTGAAAATTTAATATAATATGACCATATTTTATAAGAAGCAATTGAATAGTTAAAGTCCATTTAAGATGAAAAAAAAATATCAAAAAAAATAATTAAAAAATATCAGAATTAAATAGCCGATATGATTGCAATAAAAAAGTAATAGACCTCTAATATTATGGATTAATAATTATAAAATTTAGAAGAATTAAAAAAAATAAAAGAACATTAATATGATTAACTTATGAGGGAAAAATTTAACTAATTAATGAAGATTTAAACTTTTCCAGATAAACAACAATTTATCGCAAATATCCATCAATTTATTTAATAAAATAATCAAGATATAACTACTGAAAAATTAGATATAATTAAAACAGAGCAAATAAAAATTGCAGATTAGGAATTTAATTAAAAGTAAGAACAATTACTTTAAAAAATAGAAATCCTTTAAAAAGAAAATAATATAAAAGAAGAAATTATCTAATAATTTTAAGAAAAAATTTAAGAATAAAAACATATGTAATTGTAAGTATGTAATTATGCTATTTAGTCAGAAACTAAAAGTATATAAGAAAATCTTTAAAAAACTTAAGAACAAAATTTTGTTTAATTTAAAATAAAAGAGATACAATAAGATCCTAACATGATTTAAGAATTAAAAGAGAATCCTATAAAGATGGAGGCTATGTTTAATTAAGTTTAAAATAAAGTAAAATAGAAAAAAGAAAAATAAGATGACGATTTCTTTAAAAATCGTTGCAATGAAATTTTTGAAATTATTCAATCTTAATTTAAAGGATATTCTTTATAATCCACTTAATAAGAAAATTATAAATTAGCTTTTCTTGAAAAGTTAATTAAAGATCAACCAAACTAATAGGATTACCTTGTATAATATAATACACTTTCACCAGAATTATAGTAAAAATAATTCAAAGTCCTTGAGAAAACTGATAAAAAATTATTTTAAGAGATTTTTACTTAAAAGATTATAAACAAACTAGAAAGCTGTTTCAATATATCCATTTTGCAGATCAAAAAATTTTATTTAAAAAAAATTAAAATTTAGTGCCTAAAAAAATAAAATATTGAAAGTTATATGAAAAATGGAGACATTTTAAAAGACTTTGAAAGTGAAATTAAAAATAATGATAAATAGTAAATACAAACATTCTTGGCTAAATTGACGATTTTCGATTTTGAGATAATTAATGAGAAAGTTGATTAACTATGTTAAGCAATTTAGAAAGGTATTACAGATTAAGAAAAACAAGAATTCTTGTTGTAATGTTTTAAGCCTATTGAAAAATAAGGAAATTAAATTATTTTAAATGAAGATTCTATTAGTAAAATGCATAATAATTGCAAATAATTAACTTAATGTTTGAAACAATTTGAAGTTATTGAAATTAATGATTATTCTGAAATTGATACTGAAAAATATAAAGATTACTATTTAATTGAATCAAAACCAACAATAGAAGTTTAAAAAAAATTCAAATAATCAAACTAGATTAAAATAGATATATTCAATTATATTATGAATCAAAAAAAAGATTTAGAAACAAAATTTAATTCTAATATTACATCAATAATATAAGAATTGATGAATGATGATTAAGAACATAGTTGGAATATAATGTATGAAAAGATTTATTCACTAGTATATGATGATATGCTAGTTAAGAATACTATTACAGCAGCATAAGATAATTTTGGAGGTTTAATTAAAAGATTGATATAAAAACTTGAAATTTAAATTAAAGAATTTAATAAATAATTTTCATTATTTGGTGTTTTATTAAATGAAATTGGAGAAAAATGCATTTTTAATTATGCCATTTTTATGATTTGGAGAATAGTATGCTTTAAATATTGGGAATAAAAGAAGAAAAATGATGAAAAAGAATTAACAAATCTAGAATAAGATCTATTTATCAAATTCAAAGCAGACTTGCTTTAAAATAGGTAAGAGTAAAGTCAAATTAGAGGTAAATAATAAGCAACTGAGATACTTAAAATATTACATTAAAAATTATATTCAAGTTATGCAACTGAAGTAAAAAGTGAAATTGCTTAATATGATAAAGAAACAAGTTTCGATCTAATAAAAAGACTTGATACAGAAATTCTTGAGAAGTAGAATAATAGTATAACAAATAATGAGCTGTTAGAATACATTAGAAATCATGCTGGTTTTATTGAGACTTATGTAAGATAAAATCTAAATTAAATTAAATCTAAAATTTAATAAAAATTATCTAAGAAATTAAAGGATGAAATGAAATTCTATTTAGAATAGATTTTAAAAAATACAAAAAAATTAAATGATTTTCAACAAAATTTGGTTGCCAAAGATTATTTTGTATAACAAATAAATCCAGATGAAGCTCCCAACTTATTATATAAAATAGTTATGGATTGTATTTAAGGAGCTTTAGATAAAAATTTAATAAATTTAATTAAACCTAACATGATACAAGGATTTTAGATTTAAGGTTACCATAAATTTACTTTCATTTTAAAAAATCCTCTATAAAATAAATTAGATGAAGAAATTTAAATCTTATATGATTTTATGCAATCTTTTAATTAGAAAATCTAAGATGAGATGAAAGGATTGGATTAATTAGATATTGATTTTGATAAATTAGATATTCAATCTTATTTAGATGCCTTACAAGTAAAATAGATTGGTTGTTAAGAATCCTGCCCAATATGTAAAAGAAAGTGCGACTTAGAGCTTGATAGCAATCACAGGCATTAATGTAGAAATGGACATTAACTAAGAGGTAATATTTAATAATATTATTGTTAGGAATGAATGGATTATTGGTAGGTTGCAATCCTTCATTATTTACTTGTGAAGAAATTTAAGATTATTGTAAAGTTTAGTTTATGGAAACTAAGTCTATAAAATATTGGGGAGATATCAAAGATATTTATAATGATTGGTTATTCTCTTGCATAGATGTTACAGAAAAAAGAGTATTTTTGAAAAAAAAGTTTACTAATATTTGGAATTTAAATGTTGGACAAGTTATATGTAAATCATTAACATAAGAGATTGGAAAGGAAATTCAATTTATTACACAAGAAGTCTTTGATAAAGAATAAACTCAAAGAGCTCCGAAACCAATACATTATGTTATTATGTTGGATGACTCTGGTTCAATGGGAGGGAAAAAATTTGATTCAGCAAAAGCAGGTGTAATAGCATTTCTTTCAGAAATTCATAAAATGAAAAATAAAGATTCAAGAGTCACAATTATAATGTTTAACAGCAATGCAAGAGTTGAAGTTGATTTTGAAGTTATTAATCCAAAAGAGCAAGAATAAAAAATAATATTTTAGGGTGGTGGGACAGATTTTGATAAACCATTCAATATTGCATATGAAAAAATTATTTAAAGACCTGATTTTGACAAATTCTATAAGTAATTTATTTATATGTAACTCTAGGCATTCTATGTTTTTTTATACAGATGGAGATGCAGATTATCCAAAAACAGCATTAAATAAATTTGAATCATTAAGCCCAGAACAAAAATAAAAAATAGAACTTATAGCATGCTCTGAGGAGGGTTGTCTTTCTGAGGCACTTAAATAATTAGTTACCTTTTTCAAAGAATAAAATTTTGCTTATGCTGAATTATAAGATTCTATCAAACCTGAAGAAATAGGTTCTACATGGATAGAAACTATAAGTTAAAGAACTCATCAAATTTCAAAATTGGGATGATTTTATATAAAATTCTTTATTTTATCTTCAAAATATATTTTAAATATTTAAAGTTTTTAAACGAATTATAACATTCAGATTCAATCCATTTTAAATATAATTAATAAAATAATAAATAAAATACTAATTAAAAGTTATAATATATCATTTAGGCTTTAAGTTATCTAAAACCCCATTTTTTACATAACTATATATTGAATTCTTGAGATTTATTAAATCAGAATTTATAGTTTTAAAGTTTAATATTAAAAATAGGAGAACTTATATTGAATCTTTTATAGCAAATCCAGCTGCAGATGAGATAAAGATCGAATTACTAGATTTTGTTATGAATTTCAAAAATTCTGATTGAATTCTTTAATTTTCTAATTTTATACCTGCTTTAATTTATCTATCTTTTAATCTTGCTATCTTTTTACCTAATTCTATCATATCCATAATCATAACTACTTTTGTACCATTATCAGGATGATATTTAGTTTGATAAATAGATAATATAATTCTGACGATTTATTCATTACTAATTTTAACTTCACAGTCAAACTTATTTAAAATAAAATATCGAACTATTTCAAATAGATTTGATATTTTTGGAAAATTCTCTTTCATTTTAATATTCATCAATTAAATAATTTAATTTATTTCAATAGTAGGTACTAATGATTCTTATTTAGATAATTATTCAGCAATTTCAAAGAACATTACTATCAGATAAACAAATACATTTGCATATTCTCTAACATGCTTTGGTTTTGCTTCTAAACTTTCTATTAGATTTTAACAATCCTCAAATTGTGGAAATTAATTAATAGCATCCTTTAAATACTCTATTGCTTCTTTATCAAAATCTTGTAATGAAAGAGAAATTGCCCTCTTGATATGATATTATTCTATTTCAGGTGCAATTATTAGAGCCTTCTCAAACATTTCACTTGCTTTCTCAAAATTACTTTACAAGTATTAAGCCTAGCCACATTCAAAAAGTGCTTGATGATTATTTGGTTCTAATCTAATTACTTACTCAAAGTCATTTAAAGCTTCATCATATTATTGAGTTTACATTTTGGCTTTTCCTCTTAACATATATGGTTTGGCTTAGCTTTTTTATAGATCAATAGCTCTGTTACATAAATGAATTGTTTAAGAATTATTTTATTATAAATCCATTAATACAGCCTTTTCAATATAAGCAGTTGGAAATTTTGAATTTACTTAGATTAATTTATCATATAACATTAGAGCTTATTTAAAATACTTTGTATCTCTAAAACAATTAGCAATCTTAATTTATGTTTCCATTTGATTCATTTAGTATTTTAATGCTTTATTAAAATTTAATTCAGCATTTTCAATATCTTTAGCCAATAAATAATAATATCCCTTATCTATAAGAATTTTAATTTTATCTGAATCATTATTAGTTAAAGCAAGTAGAAAATCGTAGCAATCTTAAATTTATTAGAATTATTAAAATTCTAAATGACATTTAACTTTAAAATTTAATATCAAAATAAATACTTTTAGATTAATATACTTTTTAATTAAAAGTATGATGAAGTTCAAAATTTAATGCTCTCTCAAAATCATCAATTGCATTACCAAAAGCTTTCATATTCATATATATCAAGCCTCTTATATAAAATGAGTAAGAATCATTTGCATCCAATTCAAATAGTTCATCACAAGTTTATAATGCTTGCTGATATCGTTATAATAATATTAAAAGATTTGCCTTTAAATTTAAGAATTTTTTATTTTTTGGTGAAAGTTTCAGAATTTTCTCTATATAATTTAGAGCTTACGAATTCTTGCCTTATGCTTTTAAACACTTTGCAATACTATAAAGAGCTTCGAGATTATTTTAATCCTCCAATAAAATCATCTCACATGCTTGTTGTGCTTTATCATACTACTCTAATCCAAAGTAGGCTGAACCTATTTAATTAGCAATGATATTATACATTTTAGTAATAATATAGGAATTTTCCAAGATTAATTATTGTTATATTATTCACATAACTCTAATAATTCATTGTATTTTTATTATTTAAAATATAAGTTTCCAATAGCTTAAAATGCACTTAAATATTCATTATCGATTTCTAATGATTTTGTATAAAATTTCAATGCCATCTCATAATTTTTTTATTTAAATAACATATGTCCTAAATTACTTTATAAACCTTTATACCATAATTCAGAGAGGTTATTTTCTCTTCTATACCAGAATTCAAAGCAGACTCATAATGCTCTTATGCTGTCTTAAAGTCATTGATTTATGTTCGAACAAAGCCTAATCCCAAATGAGCTTCAAAGGATTTCTGGTCAAGTTTTAAGAGTTCCATAAATATTTAATGAGCCTCCTCATATTTTTTAGTCAATATATAAATATTCCCTAAAATCAATAAATCTCTTTTTTAACCTATTTCTGCCAAAGCTAATTTATGAGTTGAGTCATATTTAATTGCTTATTCACAACATTCTTAAGCTTTTTGAAGATCATTTAATCCTAGATAAGCCAAACCTGAAAATAATTTTAAGAGATTACCCTTGAAATAATGATAATCAGCAGTTTCTTAATATTAATCATCTGTATTCTCTAAATATTTTAAGGCTTCATTATAATTGGTTTGCTTTATTAAAGTAATAACTAAGTTTCATTATTGTAAGTACCTTTTTTGAACTTAGAAGGATTGGATTTTTAATTTTCAACAGAAATATCACCTCTACTGCTAGCTTTAAAGATTAAAACATTTATACTATTAGGAGATGAGTATTAAGTGTTTGTTTCTTCTTAAGATATTTTATTATCCTTAGAATTTCGAAGGCCCATTAATGAATTATGATATAATAAATGATAAATTTAAAGAATTTTGCACTCATAGATTAATGAAATCTATTTATTACAATATTCGTCACTGCTATTAGTTTCTGTGTTGATTCATATGTATTTTTAGATCACATCTGCAGGTTGGGCAATTCTTATTTATATATATCCAAGAGAGTATACATTCTCTATGGAATAAATGTCTAAGATAATTTAATATAATACTTGCATTTAGTAGATCTGAGATCTGGTTTATTAATGTAAAGATCGAGGCAAATAGGACATACATCTGTATTTTTGATATGATCATTTTCAATCTAAGGTAATTATTCTAAGATTTCATCATCGAAACTTTTAGCACTATATTTTTTTTCATGCTGCATCTATCTTATCATTGCTAAAGCAGCTAAGGTTTCTTTAATTTTCTTATTTCTGAAATATTTGCCAATTGCAAATGATAAACTTAAAATCATTATTATACCAGCTATTGAGGCAACTATTATTATTACTGTAGTAGTTGATATTGTATTTTAAGTTCTTTGATTAATTAGATCCAATGAAAGTTAAATATTTTATTCTACAAGAGACTTCTATTTGAATATAAATCTAATTCTTTTTTGTATTTGAGTACTAATATCATTTCTGTCTTTTAATCCAAATTCTATAGGATACAAATATGAAACTTCATTGCCTTCCACTAGTAGATCATAATATTTTCTATTCAGATCTTCTAATGCAGGTATGTAAAGAACTCTAGTTTTCATTATATACAAATCAACTCCTTCAGAACTGTTAGTCTAAATTACATTATTCCAAATACTTTAACTATTAAACTCATGGTTTGGTTTACACTTTCTTCTAAATCGACATAAGCATATTTAACAGTGTTCTCTAAGTTAAGAAATATCTCTTTATTTTATTCTATATAAGTTGCTTGTTAATGACAATCATTTCCTATATAATATTTGTTGCATAAACATTTTCCATCCTAAATAGTGAATTTATTGAATACTTAGCAACTGCCTTGGTTGTTGCAGTTGTTTGGACATAGTTTATCGTAAGTGGCAGTAACTGTAATATTGTAATTTTAAGTCCATTCTGAAGAAGTAGATATATAAACTTATCCCTTTTGGAAATCTTAGCTTGACAATAAGATGAAGTGTGTAAATCTATTTTCTAGATACCTATAAAATATTCATATAGTTGCAATACCCATATATATCAAATCCTTACACTTCTGTAATTTCAGATAAATTTAAACTAAATTCAGGAGGTTTACCAATTCCATAGTGCAATGAAAATGTGTCATCTTGCTTGTGCAGTTCAACATTTATGGCATAATAGGGATAGGTTACTGTATTCGTTATATTTAGTATATAAGTATTGTTGGGAGAACTCATTTAAACTTCCGACCAACTTTTAGCATTTTCTGATATTTGAATCACAGTTTCTAATGATATAATCATCTGAAATTATAGGAATTATAGAATGAACCACATTTTGGGTTATTAATTAATCCTTTATAAGGTTTTAATTAAATATATAATGCAAATGTAAGGAGAGGAAGTAGTTAAGAATTTGAGATTTTGCTTTTCTAAACAATTATTGTGATATCAAGTCTTAGATTCAATAATAGCTTGCATTATTATTAATTTAAGCAAAAGTATTATATAAAATAATTCAAAATTCAGATGAATGGCAACTAGTTTAAATATCCTCAAATAGAAATTATAGATGATTAAGAAAAGAAATCTAGTCAACTATAATAATAATATATATCGATTTGTTTCTGTGTTTTACTCATCATAATATATTCAGTTCTATTAGCAATTGAACAAACATAATTACCATTAATGCTTTGCAGCATATCATATAACAGCATAATAACTATTATAATATTCATCAAGACATCTAAAATTAAATAAACATGGACCTTTACAATGATCTTATTAAGTAAATTGATTAGTTTAGTGGTCTTATTGTTCTTAGATTAGGAAAACCTAATTATCATAGCTTTTTTGATTGATAGTTTGACTCAAGAACCCAATCCTATCAATGCATTAGAATAAACAATTATAAAATTGAGTTCACTTATCGTAGTATGCATTAATGGAAATCTCTTATTCATAATTGTTATGATTTCCATTTTGTTGTTATAAATAGTTAAAGATTTGCTTTACAAAAATGCTTAAACTAAAAAATAATAGGATGCAACATATGTTATTCCAAATTAGAATATTTTATCTTGTTGTCAGATGGGAAAATAAAATGATGAGATATGGAAGAATAGAATGCAAACAATTCCAATTATTGCCATCATCATTTCAATGCAAAATTGGTAAATTGTCCATAAAAACTAGTCTTTTTATAATTTCTTCTCCTCTTATAATAAAACAGAGAAAGAATTAGAAAATTTAGTAATGTATCATTTGAGTTTTCATGTTTCCAGTAGTAATCTTGAGGAATAAGATGTTTCATCTATTAATTAATTTATCAATTAAATAAGAAGACCTCAAACTGTGACGTTTAATAATTGTAATTAGAAAAATGAAGAAACATTATAAGATATACCTGTAGGTTATTAATCTTTAAATGAAATAGTTTTGAATTTTAAGAGTAAAATTCAATCCTCTTTTCTTAATCTTCATCATTCTGGTTATTATGAAATTTCATGCAGATAAAAATTAGAGGATGGATAATACCTATAATTATTTGGTTAAATTGTCTAAAATGAAAAAGATAATGAATTATTAATTTTTTTGAATGATGTTTCAGGATAAAATGACATGTAAAAAAGTATACTTATTAATGATTTCAAATCTAAAGTAAAAATCTATATATATATCTAGATACTTTAATCATTCTCTCATGAACTCAGAACTCCCTTAAATAGTGCATTGAATTTTTTATCATCTTCTTTGTAAGAATAAAAGATACCTCAGTAAGTAAAGGATAATTTAATAGAACCAGCTATCAATTCTTTAAAAATACAACAATATCTGATAAATGATATTATTGACTTTTCTTCTTTTTATCAAGATCATATAAAAATAAAACTCAGAGAATTTACCATTTCTGAACTTATAACAGAAATTAGTTCAATGTTTTATTATCAATTCAATACTAAACAATTAGCATTTCATGTTGATTTAAAAGAAAATTAGTTAAATTCATTTTGTACTGATTATAAGAAACTTCTATAGATTTTGATTAATCTTATTTAAAATTCCTTAAAATATTCATTTAAAGGAGGCTGCATTCTTAAACTTATATCATAACCTAATTCGAATATATTATTTGAAATAGCAGATTAAGGAATAGGTATTCAATAAAATCTATTATAAAAATTATAAGATATCAGAAAGAATGTGGATAAAAATAAAGAATTTGTGAAAGATTGGCATGGTTTAGGTCTATTGATTTCTTCTATAATTTTATAATATCTTGCTCCTCCTGATATGAACTTTTTCGATATTAAGTCAGAAGGGGAAAACAAAGGAACATTAATTTCATTTTGTATAAAAAACTTTTTTCGAGTACCTGCATCCCAATAAAATATCAAAAATAGTACTTCTAATTTTATGAATTTTGGAAGTGCATCAAGTCAATTCAAAATATCATGTTCCCAATAATTATAAGTTAATAGTTCTCTTTTTAATGTTATGGGTACTGTAGTAAAAGCAACTGAATTTCATATAACAAGTAATTAAATTAAGACTTAATATGCACAATATCCTTCTAAAAAATCTTAAAATGATTCATTCTATTCTGAAAGTAATGATGATTATTTAGAAAGGAGATTAGATGATTTAGAAAGTTTAAATCCGTTTTTGATAACAGATATTAATAATGTTTATAATAAATTGAAGGATAAATCTTCTAAAGTTATTAATTTAAGATAAATTAAATAATTAGAAGAAAGAGAGAGTGAACTTTTTATGACTGGATTAAATAGTCTAAAAAAATGTAATTGTATGAGGATTTTAAGTGTAGATGATGAAATTTTTAATTAAAAATCTTTATAAGTATTAATATCTAAGATGGGATTTGAAGTTGTGTTAGCTTTTAATGGTTTATAAGCAATTTAAGTAGTATAAGGATTATAAAAATGTTGTCCATCATGTAATCTACTGTCTTTAATTCTCATGGATTATTAGATGCCTATTATGAATGGAATTGAAGCAACAAAATAATTAATTAATATGATGAATAAATCTTAAATTCCTTAAATTGCAATTATTGGATTGACAGCATTCACTTGTTAAAAAGACATTGATAATTGTTTGAAAGCAGGTATGCAAGAAGTATTGGCTAAGCCTTTAAATATATAAGAATTGAAACATATTTTATTATGTGTATTTAAGAAATGATGATAGTGAAATACTGTATATGATTTTATAAGTATACTTTATATCAAAACTATTATTATTATTGTTATTATTGAATTTTTACATCATCAACTTTCTCGATTAAATCTTTCTTGATAATTTAGAAAAAGTCATTTACTTCAGGGGAATTCTTTGATGCTCTGCCATAACTTATATATATATACTTGATTAATTCAACCACAGTTAATCTATTCTCCTTTTCAAAATATTTAGTGGCAAAAACAGTCAATTCTTCATTATTGATTTCACTTGATATTGAATATATTTTAAAAGTGGCACTCATGCAACAATAAATCATAAATTCAATATCAGTAGGTGATAAAGATTCTAATTCATTGAAGTCAAACAAATCAAACAAAACTATTAATTATTTTATAAATAATACATCTAATCTTATCATCAAATTTTGTATCACTAAATATACAAATACCACTAAATAATTCTAAACTATCTATTAAACCATTATTATCTGTATCCCAAATAACGAAAGCACTTTCACTAGCTCCAAATATATGTTCAAATTCTGACAAATCCATTGAGAAATTGTCACAGATTGATTTAAAAGAAGCATGATAATCCCTCAATTTAGATAGTGTAACATTCAATAAAGGACTAGTGTTTTTTCTGAAGGAATTCATTTTTACAGTTGTTATATGGCTGCCCATATTTAATATAAAAATTTATTATTAAATATTCTCAATTTAGAGAGTTTTAAGAATATAAATGAAATTTTATTGTTATTTGAAATACTAAAATTTAGATTTAACATATTTTATATTAATAGTATATATCATTTTAAATTAATAGTCTTTATTTGTTTAAACAAAAAGAAATAAATTGTTTAAATTATTTTCATAGCTTTTTGTATAAAGTGTCTCACACGAAATTGTTATTGGAAATGAAATTAATAAATGAATACAAAAATAAATTTCTTATACAGAATTAATTTAATAATGCCTTTAAAAGGGAAAATTATATTAAAAGAAAATTATTTATTTAATTCAATCAATTAATTAATATTAAAATCCAAATTTTTATTCTAAACAGACAATGATTTCTATTAAATGTATATAATAAGAATATCCTCAAATATATGCTATGAAATACTATATTGCCTTTATTGAATATATTCCGAGCTTATTAAGTTAAAAAAAATTAGATAAAAAGGTTTGTCTTTAATTTTTATATTGAAATCTAAAAAATTGTCTCACTCATATGAATTATCTTTTTATATCAATAGTAAAAACTTCTAAAAATATTTCCATTAACCTAAAAATATATTGGCTCATAATTTGGAAAAAATAGAAATAATTTTATATAAATTTATTATTAACATAATATAATTCAATCATCTTCTAAAGATTCATCTTCACCTTCAGATTCATCTTCATCTCCTTCAAAATCATCATCCTCATCATCAACTTTTAATCCTAAATATGTGAATAAAGCTTTTGGAATGATTTAATTTACAAATTAAGATCCTAATTCATAGTCAAATTGTTATCTCTCAATTTATTCATCTTCATTATTAATTTAATCTACTTCTTCAAAGAAATGGAAAAATGTTGGAGCTTTTTCTTCTTTTTCAATATCTCTTGTTTATCCAGTTTTCTTATTTTTTTATTTACGCTTAACAATCTTTTTTGTAATATTTTTACCTTCTTTCCATTTAATTTGAGATCCTTTTTATTTAGATGGTAATTCATCTTCAGAATCTTCAAAAATATATTATTTAGTTAAAATGCATGCATCAAAATGATCATTATCTTCAAACTCAAATTTTAATGTAAAATCTTTTCCATTTTCTCCTAATTCAACATTTACAGATAATAAATGTCTAAATATTTCTTTATCTGCTTCTGATATTAATTTTCCTGTCAAACTATTATTCATTAAAACTTATCCCCAATAATTTTAGAGAGGTGATGCTTAAACATCTTTAATTTCTATTTAATATGTATTTGCATCTTTAATTTCATCTTCTGTAGGAGCTCTAAGACCTTTGATAATGGCATTAATTTCATTTTATAATGGAATAACACTTCTTAAATACTCTGTTTAGAGTTATCGTACTTTCTTGGAAACTTGTTTCTCTGAATCAGCCCATTTGTTAAGATGATGCTAGATTGCAATAGCTGTTGGTTATTATTTTGGAGGAAGTTGTTTAATTGCTTCTAAAATAGTTGTGTCCATAAATTAAAATGAAAAATTAATTCAATTAATACTATTATCTAAATCAGGAACCTTTAATTTAAACTTTGAAAATAGAGTCTAAAAATTAAATCGCTGTAGTTGTTAAGAATCAGAAAAAATTTCTAATTCTAAATACAATCTCTGTCTGGAAGTTAAAAGGATATCACAATATTTTAATGCTTCCTATATTACATATTTGGAATTACATTAAAATCTTCATATTCACATTAATTATTTCCCAAATATTTTTTTTTGATGTTAAATTATTTAATTGCAGATTCCATTCCTTAATTATATTTATGAAACAATTAACAAAAATATTCATACATTTATTATTTTTCTATTTCATCAAATAAATTAAATTCTCCCAATAATTTTTTATATACAGATTTTATAATAATTTTAGTTTATGTTCTCTATTTATCATATAAAATATGATCTTCTGTATTATCTTCAATTAAATATCTAGCTAATAAACTTGACTCATCTTCATTTAATTCAAAAGGTGCTTTCTATAATCGAAATTGTGTTTCCTCTAAAGTTAAAAATTCATCATCATCTTCACATAAAATTTATTCTTATGTTTCATAATCAATATTATTGCTTAATAATTTTATTTTTAAATTGCTAATGATTTCTTTAATGTCATAAGAATTTACTTTTAAACATTATTTTTTATTTGTAAAACCCATTTATAATTGTAATTTCTAAGGACTATTATTACTTCTAGGACTACCATAAATTGTCATTGCTTATTTAAGACCAATTGATTAAAGAGAACCTTCTTAAGATTATTATTCTTAATCATCTCTCTTTTAATTCAATTCTTCAATTTACTTTTTTAGCATATTAATTCTATCTTATAATTTTTCCTTTTCTTTATTTTCCATTGATTTGAATACATCATAATTATGCTATAATTCTCCATTTTTTTACTCTAATTCTTCTATTAGTTTTTTATTTTATTATAATTATTTTGCTTAATTTTAGACCTATTATTACAATTCATCTATCTTTTTTAAATAATCTTCAGATGGAGTTTACTTTTTAGTATTTTACATCTCTTATCTCATATACATCATATGTTTATTAACAGAATCAAATTATTTCTCTAATTCCTTCAATCTATTTGTTAATCTATCCTTATCATTCTTAATTTATAATAAATTCTATTATAAACCATGATTTTCTTATTATAAACTAAGAATCATTTAAGATAAATTCAAGTTATCTTATTTGTAGGCCTAAACTAAATTAATTTGAATTTGATCCTTAAGTGATTAATTTATCATCACTGTTTCATTTGCATCTTAATTACATTTACTACTAATGTATAACTATAATTTTTAATATGCTTCTTTTTATTCTTCTAATTCTGCTTCTAATTCTTTGTTTTTAGTCCTTTCTGGATTACGTTTCAACTGAAAAACTTAATCCTCAAGTTCTTTGATTAGTTTATCCTATTCCTTGATTCTTGCTCTCTAAGACAAGATTACTTGAAACTGTCTAAATGATCACATAATTACATCTTTTTAAGTTTCATTTGTTTTCTACACTTACTTCTCAAAATTGGCATGTTCCTATCTCTCTTTCTTTAATTCAAATTTCACTTATTACAATTCTTTTTTCAGCTTCAAATTTTCTTCATACAATCCCTCTTTATCATAAAGCATTTATTATGGCATTTACCTTATAATCATACATAAATCAATTACCTATTTTTCTTATTTTCCTTAATTCTAAAAGAAGTACTACTATTGTCATAGAGTTTTGATTATTATTAAGATGATGTGATGCTAGTTAATGGCCTTTACATAAAAACAATTAAATGATAAAATAAAAAAAAACTTATAAAAAAATAATTCACAATCCCTTCTATTTAGGTACTTCCATATATTAATTGATTCATCATTTTATTTATGATTTCTGCTCCAAATACTTTTGCTAATTGTTTTGCTCTTAATTTTGCAACTAATAATTTATAATCCGAAAATAATAATACCCCTTTGAACATTAGAAATAGAAATAACAATTTATTAATTGAATATTCAATTAAAATGATATATTATGATGCCTCATCTATTTATTCCCATCATCTCAATCTTACCTATAATCTGCCAGTGATGTTCTTTCTCACCAAAAAATATAAAACTCCAATTACAATTATTATCTCAGATAAAGTCCATCTAAATATATATTACAATTAGGCTTCTCTTATGAATAGTCCTCCAAATAAATAAACTGGCAAAGCTATCCCTTTAATTAAAAAATGAAATAATGGCACAGTTGGATTATCAGAGTTAGTATAATATAAATTATATCCTTTCATATACTCTTTGTAAAATCTATTTAAGCTTAAAATACTATTTGTTATTTATTGATTGTTTCAGATTTATATTACATCTTATTTATTTTTAACTTTATATTGTTTATACTCATTAATCTTACTAGCTGTTGGTTATTAGAGATTACTATTAACTATATTTGTTTTAAAAATAATATAGTTTCCTTGAAGTTGTTAATGGTTCTTAATTTGGAATTGAGTTATTAGATTAGTGGATAAGTTGGAATTGGAATAATGGGATTATATAGAGATATTACTTGGGATTTTAAGAATTCATGATTATTATTATGATTATAATTCAATTTAATAAAAATACGGCCATTGTTTACCACTTAATATTAAATTGCCATTTCTATATGCTATCCCATTTAGAACCTTGTTAAACATAGGGTCAGCATATCCTTTTCCCTTCACACTTTCTACATCCTAGATCAATGCAGTAAAGTCAAGAATATCAATTAACCTTCCATCATGTGGATCTATTTAAGCAATTAAAGGAGTTTCATAAATGTTTGCTAAAACTGTTCCATCTCCTATAATTTCTAACTCATTTAATTTATTAAGATCATTTCCATTCTCCAAACGAACACTTACAGTTTTCTTCACTTTAAAGTCGCTTGGGTCTACATGGTACAATCTGTTAGTTCCATCAGAAATTAATAACATCTCTTCACCTTCGTTGTTCTTATAAGTAGTCATACCCCATCCTTCTTAGATTTCTCCTGGTATTTCTAATTCTTAGACTAATTACAAATTGCTATTCAATAGAAATGCTTTTCTCTCTTTCCAAGTCAACATATAGATTTCATCTTTTCCGTTTTTGTTTTATATTTTTGAACATCCTTCACCAAAATATTATTTTCCGATAGGCTATCGTGATTTTAGTTCAATGTTTTATTTATCAAAAACATTATCAATATAATGTATCTCAGAATCTCCATATAAACCTGTGCTCTCCAATAACATATCATCTGCAATAAATGCTAGACCTTCTGTAAAGAAAAGCAAGTCGGCTGGTCGTTATAATCTATCCTTTATAATATAAGAGACCTTGTCAGATGCCTTAAAAACTGTAGGATCTTGACAATATGATAAAAATAGTAGCGAAAAGAATATTAAATACATATTTAATAATAATATCAAATAATAAAGAAAATTGTGAATTTCACTAAGATTTTTATTAAAAAACTAGATTTAAATGATGTATCATCTTTAGTGTATATCTATCAAAGTTAACTTAAGATGAATTAAATTTAAAGTAAAAACAAAAAATATAAAGCTAAATCCTTAATATTTGAAAGTTATATTAATAAATTGTGTTTTTTAAAGAAGAAATAATTAATAAAGCTTTGATATTAATTTAATTTGAATTATGTATTAATAATAAAGTGTATATCTTGAATTTAAGTGGAGATATATCAGAGATGCCCTTGTAGCTCAGTTGGTTAGAGCGCGAGTCTCATAATCTCGAGGTCGTGGGATCGACCCCCACCAAAGGCATATTTTTTTTTAATGAATTAGTATTTTATTATGTTGTTAAAAAATAAATATATTATTATTAATGCAAAAGGTATTGAGATTCAACTTTGGAGTATTGTCAAGACCAAAATTGCACATTTTTGATAAGGGTGGTAAACATACTCCATCTGGAATCAGAGCTACAATTCATGGAGGTACGAGTTTTTCAGGCATTTATATGGGTGGTATGCTTGGAAATATAGGATCAGAATTAATATTTCCTCACAATCACTAGTAAGGATTAAATTTAGATGAAGATATAATTATGAAGATCATGTAAGAGAATTAAAGACAACATCAGGACCTGGTTAAAATTGGTTATTACATGATATGAATTATGATAATAAAGAGATGATAGAATGGACAATGAAAAATTCAAATGTTGTTGTTAATTTACTTGGTCCAAGAAAACATTTAAAGAATAGAAAGGATTTTGAATGGATTAATATAACAGTACCAAAAAGAATAGCTGAAGCATGTGCTAAAAATCCAGGAGTAATAAGATTAATTCATTTTTCTGCTTGTGGTGCAAATCCTCATGCTGAATCATTAGATTTATAAACTAAATATATAGGAGAATAAGAGGTAAATTATAATATTAGAATAGGTATTAAATGCTTTTCCAAATGCTACTATATTCAGACCAAGTGTAATGGTTGGAGATAATGATGATTTTGCTTATCATTGGTAGGTTCAAAAGAGATACTTCCATAATTTTAATATTGTACCAGATAATTGTTAAGCAAAAAGACAACCTGTATGAATATATAAATAATTAGATTTTTGTTCAAGATGTAGCATAAGCAATGTTAAATGCATTAAAAATGCCAGAAACTATAGGATAAACATATGAATTGGGAGGTCCTCATGTTTATACTTTGTTAGAATGTTATGAAATGTTTCATAATATTGTATAAAGACCACCAAAATTAGCTCATATTGATAAACAATTATTATTAAAAATTGGTAAATATATATATATATATATTAATAGCTTAATATATTCCAAATTGGAAGTATTTCAATATTGATTACATCTTAAAACATGGAGATGATATGGTAGTTTAATCTGGATCTAAAACTATTGATGATTTATGTGTTAGACCATTGTCATTAACATAAGCACTTCAAAATATCTTTTGGGATATATAAGCTCGTTATGGTGGATCAAGTGAATTATATGAAAGATGATTTCACAAAGTGGGTTATCTAAAAAACGATTAGAAATAATAATAATAATATTTATTCATAAATATTTCTTGAGTATTTCTTAAAGTTCTGTTTCATTGACAGGTTTAGTGATATAATCTTACATTCCTGCCTCGAAACATTTCTTTTTATCTTAGTAATCGGAATAACCACTACAACCAATAATGATTTAGTTAGGATTTATAGCCAATATTTATTTAGTAGTTTGTATACCATTCATTATGGGCATTTCTACATCCATGAATATTAGTTTGTATCCTTGGCATGAATTATTACATTTTTTATTTTTCACTTTTTCTATAGATTCCATACCAGAAAGAGCAGATTCTACATCAATTTATTAGTAATAGTTTTTTAGAACTCCTTATAAAATTTTATTAAAAGCGTATGCATTAAAGAATTCATCATCAACAATTAAACAATGAGAACAATACGAAATAGCATCTTGAGTTATTTTCTATTATTCTTAATTCAAAGTTATTATTTCATCAACTTCTTAATAAAGAGGATTGATTTCAGGAATTTTAATACTTGCCACTTTCTTTTATTCAGGTAAATCTATTAACATATCGAAATAAAATAATGAATAATGATTATCTTGATCTTTTTTAGATTCTATATTCAATCCACTGCATCCAATAGTTTAAGCAATTTAATTACTAATAACTAATCCTAAACCAACACCTTATTCATTTAATTTTTTACTTTCTTCCGAATTTACTTTTGAAAATGCTTTAAATAACATTTATTGTTCTTCTTTACTTATCCCAATTCCATCATCTCTAACTCCAATTCTCAACGAAGCAGACTAAAGCGATATGATGATCTCTATTTTACTACAAGTAAATTTAAAAGCATTGCTTAACAAATTTACAATGATTTGCTTCAATCTATTTTAATCGGATATAATAAATTTTGGGATATTACTATTAATCTTTTTTAACAATTAAAGATTCTTCAATCTAGCTTTCAAAGCGAACATTTTCATACAATCATTAATTAAATTTTCAATACTAAAAGATACCTTTTTTATTTTAAATTTTCCATTCTTTATTTAAGCCAAATCTAATAAATCATTAGATAAATTCAACATATATTTTGAATTATCCAATGCTATTTGTAAATTTTCAACTATATCTGAATTACTAGTTATAATTGGCTATATTAATACACATTCAATCATTTAAATAATACAACCTAATGGTTGACGATATTCATGACTTACAAATGACAACATTTTTGATTTTTAAATATCATAATCTTTTAAATATCTTATTTTTTATCTATGTGTTACATCTCTACATATAATTAATATACTTCGATCCCTAGTAAGAGTTAAAGTGAATTCCATCAATCTTTCATTCTATTCATGTCTTGATTATAATCCAGCATTAGATTAAGAAATAGTTATATTTTTATTTGTATTTAATTAGATACTGCCACCAAAATGTGTATTTACTGTTATAACATCTGATTTTTTTGCCTTTATCATTTTTTCTAATAAGTCTTTCATACTAATTGTTTGATATTTTTCGAACATCTATCCATCTAATAATGGTTATTTGACTGAACCAAATAAGTCTTTTTATAAAAAGATAGATTTGCAAATACGAGAATGATGTAAATTTGATAATCTTTATTATATATTTGGATCATCTAAGATCTCTGAACTTTAAATATGTAATGTGTTAAAACTTTCCAAAATATATAAAATATCTCCATCCTATTCACGACCAAATAATGCTCTTGTTGCATTATTCATGTATTATATTTTGAATGATTATGTTTTTTCATCTAATATATCTAATACTATTAGTCCTTCTTGTAAGATTTCAAGGGAATTATAAATTATTTCAGAATTGATGTAATGTTATTAAATATTGCTAAAATTATTACACAACATTCTTGCACTTTCTTTTGATTGATCTAAAATCAAATTTCTATCACTTTCAACTACTGAAACTACTCTTTTTCCTAAACTGTCTGATTTCTAAATTGGTCCTATATCAATTGGAATTGTTGTATTCAACTAATTTTAATTTATCTTTTTCAATATAATGCTTTCTTATAAGGACAGTAATAAACATAACATTAATTGAGGGTACTCTAAGTGAAACTCATTGTCAGTATGCAAATATATTTATTGAAATGCACATACAACTATTATCATACTATAATATAGAGACATTATGCTTATTGAATGTTTGTTTTATGTCTATACCTTTTTTATAAGATCTTTTGAAATGTATTAACTTATTATTAATTAAGCATATGAAACATGGTTTAAGTTTTATTAATTCAGAATTATAAGACATATCAAATCTATTTGAATACAAAATATGGTTCCAATAATTTTTGTTCTCAAATTCGCAAAATGAAATACTATAACAACAGGAAATAACAAGCATATAATTACCAAACATATTAAATTAGTTGTATTTCTATCCTCTATATAGAAATAAATGGAGTAACAAAATGACATCCAATAAATTGCTTATACTTTCAAAAATTATCTGTCTATCATATTATATTATCCTTTGCTTTGGATAAAATATTAATATAAAAACTTATTATTATACAATTTAAAAAATATCAATTTGTACTTTCAGGTCTTTATTTTTCATCTTTCTTAAAGTTTATTTACATAAAGTTCCAACCAATGTTGACCAATACTACTTATATAATATATACTTCAACATATCCGAAATTTAAGAAATACATTTATATTTATAGTAGTATATGCATACATAAAATAAAAATGATTTAATTTTAAAGAAACCCCTTTTTTTACAACTATCTGCTTATTTAAATTGATATTTTAAATGTCATAAATACTAAAAATTATTTTATATCTAACAATAAAAATTAAATAGATATTTATACTAAATAATACTTTAAACATTTCATAAATAAAATAAAATAGAAATATTTATTATCTCATGATTAATTATTAGTATTATTATAATGATCACGAGATGGAATACTAAAATTATATACTATTTATTTATGTAATTCTTAATCTATTATAATCTTCTCCATTTAGATCTAAATTGTGTATAACATTTCTTAATCCTTCTTCTAATCTACATCTCCCATCACTTTTTATACCCATCTACTATTGTATTTATTGACCCTCTTTTGAATCTGTTGTGCTTTATTTAATTACTAAAATTTTAGAACTTTGCTATTGCTTTATAAAGCTTCCCTTTCTGATTTCAATATTTTTATTGCATTCTATATATCAGTTGTTTAATTTAATGCATTTTATATTTATTCAACTGTATATTCATTACCTAATATAATTTGAATTTATTCAAGTGGAGATTTTTCAGGCTTTTTTGATCCTTTTATAGGTAATGGCTTTTTAGCAAAACTCATAACAAATTTTATAATAATATAATTAATTATAAAGATTAAATTCAAATTATTTTTCTATTAAAAAAGCTTTTTAGAATCAAATAAAATCATAAATATAGTTATCTTCTCATATAGGCAAATTTAAATTCCATTAGATAATAATAATTCCACTTGTTTTGTTGGATACATCATAAGGAGACAAACAATAATTTTATGCTCTAATAAATTAAGTTCTCAAAGATTTTTAATTTGTATTTATGAACTATGTATTTGATAAGTTCTGTAGTTTGTATTATTATGATTAGAGTATTATTTTCAATAATATTTTAATTAAATTTGTTATTATATTGTATAAAAACTAAGTTAAATTATAGAATATTTATATGAGATTATTGATTAAATCATAAGAATTATTTTATATGAGATTATTTTCTATAGGTATTTGATATTTTCAATATTTTTATCTATAAGTTGTTTTAGAAACAAAGCATATTAATTATAAATTTAATTATATATATATAAAATAGAAGACATAAAGTACATATTAGATTAATGATAAATAATGTAATTACAATCATAAATGTGTCATCACTTGAATTTCAATTGAATTAGATGTCTAATATATTATTTAATGAAATTATTATTTTATATATTCATATCACTATCAGTTGGAGGGTCTACACTTATGTTGACTCATTTGTACTTTTTCGATAATATGAGAGTATTTGCTTAAAGGATTTTATTTTTTCTCTCAATATCAGATTTTCTTTACTCAATAGGATTATTATTATACGTAGAGCCTGCTTTTAGTGACTACAATAAATTTAGGTTTTGTAATGATAAATGATTTAGATGTACTATTTAAGGAGTAATAACTTAATTTGGAACAATAAGTGCTTTTTTGTGGAGCACATCAATAGCATATTTGTTATATATTTCAATCATTAAAGGATAAAAAAGAATTGCAAAATTAGAAAGATATCAGAAGACAATTTTCATTTTTGGTAAGCATAAAAACAAAAGTAGGGTCTGTAATTCCATTATTAATGTCAATTCCACCATTAATTTTTGATTCTTATGCTCCAATTCCTTAAAAAGTACCTGTTACATGTTCAATCAGTTCAAATGATGAAAATAAATCATTAGACTAAAATCGTAATCTAAGTTTGTATTTAAATCTATTGTTGTTCTACATACCATTAATATTTGCAGTGGTAATTTCAGTATATTTCATTTTGAGATCATATTTCAAAATAAAAAAAATAAAAAGTCAATATGAATTGCTAACTAAATAGATAAATATTCAATTAATATTTGCTAGGACCTTAATATTTTATCCATTTGGATTGTGTATTTGTTGGCTACCCTCATTAATTTTGTTTTTGATATTCACTTTTAATAATGATTGGTTTTAATAGATTCAAATAAATTATTTTATATATGGAACAGGAATATATTAATATATTAGAGTAGTTTAGTATGGTTTAAGTTTTCTATAAGGATTCTTTAACAGTTTAGTTTATTTGGTTAATAGTTATTTAATGAGAAAAAAACTGAAAACTTTAGATAAAGTTTAAATTGATAGGATCAATGTAAAAAATATGATGTCTAATAATTTTGAAGATAGTATAAGAAGTAGTTAACTTAGTAATGATTTCGAAAATCTTCAAGATATTTGATTTATTTTTTAATTTTATTTTGTTTTTTTTGTTTTTAATTCCTATATAATTATGTAAAACAATAAATCTGCAACTGAATACTTGGATTCAATAGGATAATAGCTAGATTTCATTGATTAATATTATATCTAACAGGCAGATCAAAATGATGCTTAAGTTATATAGAAATTTAAAAAAGTCTACAAATATATAGATGAAGCGTACAAAGTAAGATTACTTATATAAATTACAGTCTAATTTTATAAATGATGATGGTTTATTTTCAGTTTATGGATTTTTCTTATAAACAGTCAAGAAATTCAAAAGAAAATTGGAAAACAGAATCTATTATGATAAAACTGATTATGAAGCCACACTAGAAAAATTTGAACGAACTTAAACTAAACTTGTACCTGTTTATAAAGATCTTATTTTGGAGGCTTAAAAATAAGAAAGAATAGATTTAGAAACTTTATTAGATTCTAATATGATTCATCATATTTATACAAAAAAAGAATTAGGATAGTTTGCACTATAATTGTTTGATTTCTTAAATTTAGATTAGATTAAAGTGCCTAAAGAGATTTTAGGTGATTTAATAAATGAAATTGTAATGAATTATAATGTTGTACCTTATCATAATTTTACTCATGCCTTCCAATTATCATAATTATTATTTTCATGCTATATGAAATCAGATTTGAAGAAATTTTGTAATTAACTTGAAATATTTTCTGCTATTCTTGCTGGTTTGGGACATGATTTAAATCATAGTAATAAATCAAATCATATTTATTTTAGAGGGTGTTAACAATATGTATAAGATTAAAAAGTCAAAGAAATTTAACATTTTAACATCAGAAATTGCTGTCTTAGAAAATATGCATTGTGCTACTTTCTTTAATATCATTTAACTCAACAGAAAACATGATTTCTTTCAATACATGTCAAATGATGAGGAAAAAAATTTAGCAAAAAGATTGATTATTACATCAATTTTGGCAACAGATATGGTATTTATTAATTTATATTCAAAAATAGAGTAAACATGCAAAACTTTTAGCAAAACTTTAAAAAAGAGTAGAATGCTCTAAATAATTTGATTAAGGCCAAAAAAATGATTTAATAGATATGCAGAGATTTTCTAATGATAGACTTGAAGATAGAATATTTATTCTTAATATTATGGTTCATGCTTGTGATATATCAAATCCAACAATGAAATTCAATAATTATATGAATTGGTCCTATTTATTAACCTAAGAATTTAATGATTAAGTATTATTACTCATATTAATATTTAGACAATAAAAGAAGCTAAAATTGGAGTAGATGTGACTGGATTTCTAATTTATAAAGACAAACCCACTTATTATGGAGGATAAATGTTTTTTTCAAGTAATTAATTATAATATAAAATAGAATCTTTGGTTCTCCCATTATGGGTTTAAATAGGTGAATTATATCCAGAACTTAAATATTTGTCTGAAGAAATCAATAAGAATTTGGAAATTTTACAATAAAAGTTAAAACAATGATGAAATACATATAATTATTCTAACTTCATTGTTTGTATATTTTTAATATAATATAATTTTGATAAAATATAATACAAATTTTACCTTTTGAAGATAAGAAATACTCACTTAGATGATTAAAAATATAAAAAGTATTACAAAATAAAAAGTTACAGAAAGTTATGTGATTATGAGGATTAAAGTATTTTAATTGTGTATTAAATGGTAAAATTATTGAAAAATTCAGATTTTTATCATTAGATTGAGTCTTAAATCTATAAAATTAATGTTAAAATACTAATATTAGTGTTTTAATATTTTTATAAATTTTTGCACTCATAATATGAATTTTAATTAATTTCTAATTAAAAATCAAATTTAATGTTTTTTTTTGTTTTGAATAAAGAATAAAAATAATTTAGATTCAAATTCTTAAAAGAGTTTTCTTAATGATCTTCTTATGTTTTAAATGGCTAGACTTTTGTTAGATTTTAGAATTATAGATATATTGGGTAGATTCTTTTTTAAGGAAATTCATTCTAAAATTTAATTAAAATTCTTACCCAAGAATGCGAAATGTTCTTTAAAAGTCTGAATTACTAGTATGTTTAGCAAAATGTGTCAAATTGCTAAGTTTATTTTTTAAAGATTAGAGTAGTTCAAGGAATTCTTATCCTTTTTGTTCTCCTAAAATTCTAAAAATTAGAAATTATTGTCTAATTGCATAAGCTACAATCGCTTTAGCAAAATTTTTATGGAAATTAGTTGTATCAAGAGCTTTAAAGGTTTTTGTAGATTTTGATGATTATTTTTTTTCATTTGTGATAAAACTAGGTTTGTCATTTTCAACATATGAATCAAAACTTTTATCTTAATCAATGTCATAAGTGTGATTGCTTTAAGGATTGTAATTACACTAATCAGATTATTATAAAAGTTTTTCCTAAGTGGCAGGTTATTATTAAGGTGAAGGTTAAATTGAGCAATAGTAGATTGGATAGCACATTTAGGTCTAATAGAATGGAAAGTAGATGTAAGGTTATTAAGAATAGAACATATTAAGGTAAATATTAAAATTAGTATATAATTTAATTTTTTAAAGTATTGTTATAATGCATTTTGCGTTTATTTTGACAATAAATAACATTAATTGCTTACCATAATTTTTGTGGTATTTTTATAATTCAAATTAAGTTAAAAAAAAATATTTATTAATAATAATTATTTATATCATTGAAAAAGCTTAAGGTAATCAGATTTTAAAAAGGTTTTTTTTAATAATATGTTTGCCTTTCAAATGGCTAGTCTTCTATTAAATTTTTGAATTGTAAATATAACTGATGCAATCTTTTCTTAAAAACTTATTACTAACTAATATTTATATATATATACCATAAAATTCTAAATATCTTAATGAAATCTTCATCTCGAGTATATTTGCTTATATGTGATAAATTTCTTATATTATTTTACATTTTCTTTACTAATCGATAGAACTTAAGGGCTTTTTTATCCCCTAATTGAGAAACTACAATTGCATTTTGTTATTTAATGTATAAGATGACTGCTTTTGCATAATTTTTCTAGATATTTGTTGAACCATTCAATTAATTAACAGCATAATTTTTTTCTTGATTATCATTTAATCCTTTTGCACTATAATCTTCATCATTTCCATCTGAATGTTCATCTAACAAATCAAAATCGTAATTATCTTAATTCTCAGGAGGTTTAGTTTCTTCTAAATGTTGTTTTGTAACATTCTTAATACAATTCTAATTTGATTCTTCTTATTAATTGGACTAAACTTAAGTTTGAACTAATATTTATTAAGGATAGATGATATATGGTGTATAAGTTTGCATTGGATAATAGTAATACACCTATGAATAGGGAAATGGGCAGTTATACATTGAGTATGTTTGGTTTTGTAAAATTAATTAATGAATTTATTTGCGTTTCTTTGCCTTTAAAAATCACAATTTATTTAACTGATCAAAATCTAAATATCAAAAAAGAGATCTGATTTCTTATTTTTAGTTACTATAGCCTATCTTTAACTTTAGGTATATAATTGTACTAAAATGATAATAAAATTTTCCATTTTTAAAAGTATTAATCGATATTAATAGGTTAAAGTCTAGTATTCATCTCCTTGATTTTAATACAATCTTCTCCATTTTAAAATTATGTTGTGAGGTAAATGATTGTAAAAAGTAATTTCAGTTGTATTAAATACTATTTTTATTTAAATTTTTTTTTGATGAATATTCTGATGATTCGTAATAAAAATATAAGCTTTTAGAAGATATATACATTACTAAATAAGAAAATAAATGAAAAAACAAAAGTTGATAAATACAAATATGTAATAATTTTCTCATATATATAAAAAAATAAAATTATTTATTGGTAATAAAGTATATTAATAAACACATCTCTAAGAAGATCTTATTCTAAGTTATTTTTTTTAAAGTGCTCTATGAACTTATTGACTTATTTTGTGTTTTCTCTATATATCATATAAATTTATATTATTTATAATGAATATAAATTCAAATAATTTTTCTTAATCAATAAACCTCTTTTAAGGCCTTAAATTCATCTACTAATTTATTAAATGAAGTTGCATTTAGATTTTTCTATTCAATTTTATTTTATTTTTATTCTTTTTTTGATTTACTTAATAATTATCTAATTTTTGTTAAAAGTTCTTCAAATTCAAGTTAATCTCTTACTTAAACTCTTTTTTTTAAAGTTTCCCAAGCATTTTTTTTTTCATTCTTTGTTAGATTAAAATGCTTTAAAACTAAATTAAAATCAATATCTTATTCCTCTTAAGGATCTTAAAGTATAATATCATTAAATAATTATTAATCATCAATTTTGAATTTTACTTATAATTACCATTAATTTAAAGATTACATCCAAAAATTTCTAAGATCATCATGACTTTTTGTTTTAATTTTAGTAGCAATTTTTGTCCAAGGGATATCTTTATGAGATGTTGAATAAAGTTTTTTCAAATCAATTATTTAAAGTAATTATTAAGTTTAAGTATCCTCTTATTATATTTCATAATAAGTACCTTTACGAAATCTTCTTTTTTCTAATTTAATAATAATATATATACATGAATGAATTGTTAATATTACATCTTACCAATCTTCTCCAAAATTTTATATTAAGGTGTCTAACCAATCATCTTTAATAAAATTTGCATTGTTCTATAATTTATTAAGATTAATTTAATACTTTCTTTGAAATTAATCTTAATAAATGAACTGCCTCTCCTAAAGTCCAAACTAGTTCTCTAAGTTCATGATTATGATCTCCTAATTATCTATATTTATCCCTAATATTTTATGGTGTTCTATTTATAATTTTGCTTATTTAAGTATAGTTCCGACCAAATTAATTAATCAATTAAAGTAAATGCTATTCTTCCTCTTTAGTCCAATGTCCTTAGTAATTATCTGGATTGAATCTAGCTTTAATGAATTTATAGACACTATCAACGGATCTCTCTGGAAGTACTTTAGCAATCTATAACCATGCTTTTGGCATAGTTGTTTTTTGAGAATTGCTAAATAGATCAGCAAATTATTCTTCAGTTAAATTTTATGATAATGCATAAGAAATCAAACTTTCTTTTACTTTTTCAATTTCTTCTTCTGTAAATTTGCCTTATTTGATAGATACTCCTTTTTGATTCTTCTTTTTCCAACTACTTTATAAATCATTGACAGGGAATAAATCATTAAAATCGTCCATTAATTAATTATTTATACTATAATATAATGTAATTCATAACATAATTTAGTATTTGTTAATGTATTTTTTAATTGTTTGAAATAATAATAATAAGAATATTGACTATATTAGTATTAAATAATCATTCTTCATTAGAAGATTAACATTTATTATTATTATTTTAATAATTTTAAATTATTTTAAGAATCAAATGTCCGATTCTGATGAATCGATAGACTCGGTAGAATTGGAGCATTAGATGTTAATAGATTAATATAAAGATTTACTTAAAGAATTGAATGAATTATAACAATAAAATTAAATTAAACCAAAAAAGTAAGAAATCTCAATGGAGAATTTTGAAATTTAATGGAAATAATTATTGGAAACTAAAAAATCATTAGAAGATAAAATAAGTCAAATACATTGTTAATCTCAAGTGAAATAAGAGTAATATTTTTATAATAATTAGAGAATTAGAGGATTATTAAGATAAATTGTTAATCGTGAAAGAATAAATATCTAAACAGAATAAAGAATTATAAGAAAAAGAATAATTAGTAAAATTGTTGTAAAAACAACTAAAAGATATGTGATTATACATATTAATTAAATCATCTAATTTCACACATTGTAAGAAGTGAAGACATATTATTGGAAATTTAAGATGGGAAAATTTTCCAAAATTTTAATGTTTCATCTCCAGATCCTGTTAATATAGTAGATTCATCTATAAATTTTAAATATAAATATACCAGGACTTGCTGATAAATAAAGCACTCTTTCAGAATGTCCTTCTAACTAATACATTTTTTTCATTGTTGGATATTACCATATACATATTTAATTTTTTTCATAACCATGTGTTGAAACTAATTCATTAACAATTTTAGAGAATCTTAATTTACAAACCTGAGAATCACAATTAATACTATTAAATTCCTTATTTGTTAATGAACTATGTATTTTTATAGTTTTATCTTGATTTCCCCCTCCTGTTGCTAAAATTCCACTTGAATTAGGATTCCATGCCAAAGCTCTAATTGCTGCCTTATGAGATTTAATTTCCCATGAGACATATTGATTATCTGAGTTTGTATTCCCTCCTCTTAATTACCAAATAAAAACTCTATTATCATTTCCTCCTGAAGCCAATTATAATTCATTTCCATCAAATGTTACTCCACAAACCTCTTAAGTATGTCCATGTAATTAAAATACTGAATAAGTTGGTACTCTAATATCACAAATATGTATAGTTTTATCTTTGCTACCATATGCAAAAATATTAGAATTTGCCCAATTTATTGTACTAATTCTTTTGGTTGACATATTCATAGTTCCTGTATAAATATTTTTATTGTAATCCCATAATTTTAATTGGCCATCATAACTTCCCATAGCTAATATTTATCCATTTGTATTCCATTATAATGAAGTATATTAATTCTAATTAACTAAATTGTTTGGTGGGTATGTCAATTAAAATACTTTAGAAGTGTCAACACTATATAAGTATACACATCTCTATAAACCAATAGCAATTATGTTGTTCTTGCCCCAATGTAAGATGTCTTAATAAAAATCATCTTCCATTCCTGGGGCATCAAGTACTTTAATTGGTAAGGTATCAATTTTTCTTTTTGGAGTTTCTTACTATTTATTTGGTTATAATTTTTCAGGTTTTTATTTGTTAAAATTCAAAATACTAACATGTTTGTTCTCATCTATTTCTAATACATTTTCACTTAAGAGTTCTTCATAAATATTTTCTTCTTCAATCTCAAAGGGTTGTATTTGTTTATTGAAAAGATTTCTAGAGACGTTAAGTGGAATATAACGATCTCCATAGGGAGATGCTTACAAAGAATGTTCAGGAGTAGTTTATTTTTAATTACTTTTTAATAAGGACTTAGGAGTTTTCCAAGGGTTGACATTTAATGGAGAATAAAAATCATTGTTATTAGGAGATTGTATTGTAGTTGATTAATTAGTTTTATTTTGTTTCTTTTCTTTAGTAGGAGTACTCATTTGATAATTCATTGGGGTTATATTTGCTTCTTAAGAATATGATTCTTACTACATTTGAATTTAAAAATAAAATAACTATAATTTGTCAACATAAAATTGAGCTAAAAAACAAAAAAAAATAATCATAATGAATCAATTTATTTCTTTAAATCTTCAATTATTGTCTAATCATAAACATCGTCATCTATAAATTAATTATATTCATTCTAAAATCATAAATATTAAATATATACTTTAAAAGCATTTCTAAATTATGTTAATAATTCATTAAACTAAGTTCTATCATATTTATTTTTTTTAATAGTATTAAATAGAATTAAAATCTATTAAATTAATTACAATTTATATAAATGTAATTCATCTATTTATAATCTTTCATAAGCAGGATTATCCTAAACCATTACATTATTAATTAAATTGTTAACATATATAGATGTGAGTTCCATTTCACTTATATTATGATTTAATAACACTTCAAAAAAGAACCAAGTAGAAAGTTAAGTAATTTTCTATTCTTAACATTCTTTACTATTTACTAATTCAAATGTTTCTGTAATTTTTTAAATTCTAATATATTTATCTTTATTTATTAGATTTTCCAATACTAATTTCATTTACATCTTAAATATTTTAGATGGCCATTCTCTAGATTCTTAATATGAATAAACAATAAAATTAGTCCAAACTTAATCAATAAAAAATTCATTATATAATTATTTCTATTATTTTTATTCTAGATAATCCATACATAATATCTATCCAAAACAAATATTATTATCTTCAAAAAATTGCATTATTATATTACAATCTAAAATCTCAATTAATATTCTTCGTTTCTAACTTAAATAATCTAAAAGTTTTTAACATTATATATACCTTCATTATTATTAGTTACTATATAATCATACATAATATCTTAAAGAAATAGTATTTTGCTTAAATCTTATGCTTATTTCTCAAATTGTAGAATATCATTAGGTAATTCATTTTTTTAAGTAGATTTTATAAATTCTTATGCTTTAAATATATATCTTAAACGTTTTCTTAAAGGTAAAACTTTTTAAATATCTTCTAAAGTCATTTCTGAATTCTAAACTAAAGAAAATTATGCTAATTTTAATAATAATTGTATTAATTAATAAACTGCTTCATTATCTCCTTTTACTGATTTTACTAATAATTATTTTTTTTGAATTTACAATTTTTCAAGTTCATTACATTATAATTCTAAATCTTAATTATAATCTATATATGCTATGAATTCTTTTAATTATTATTTTATTAAATTATTTATAACAACTTCTGTTGCAGTTATTAATTAATACTAATTTAATATTTATAAAGAATCTCTTAATATATCATATACTTAGGATTTAGTTAAACCTTTAGGAGGATCTAAATAATATTGTATAAGATTATTATATTATTATATAAGATCTAAGAAGCAAATTCTATGTTCATCATTAAATTGATCTTTTTCATATTGTTGACATTTTGAAGCAAGAAATTGTATATAATATTTAAAAGTACCAAAAGGAAACATGTAATTAAGAAAACTTTAAGTTAAATAAGAATGAGAAATAGCAAAAATTACTTCTTCAACTGATTTTAATGCTTCCTTAAGTTATTCTTATAATTCAGCTTATAATTCTTTATAATAGATAAATATTTCTCTTTTTTCAAGTACTTTTTCAAAAGTAATTTGAGGAGTCTTTGAAAGTCTTAATATTCTTTTAATTTTTTCATGAATCTATTCATTAGGATTTAATTTTATAATATCTAAAGATTAAATAAATTATAATACTCTTTTAGGCAGCAAATTATAAAATTTCATCAAATAAATTTTGAGCTAGACTAATTTTAAAGTCTTGAATAGTAAAATATTCTGAGAAATTTACATGCATATATTATGCCATATCTCTAAATTTTGATTTATCACTTTTAATGATATGAATCATTAATTATTTTAATGTAAGTAGACTTGAAGGTTCTGCATTAAGTATAGTTTTTACTGATAAATCAAATAATTATTATTTATTGGAATAACTATTAATAATGTTTCTTATTCCATTGAGATCTCCAAAGAAATAGACAAAAAATTGTAATAATTGTTTAATTTATAGACAAAAATCATAGAGTCCTTTCATTTAAGTCTAATATAAAATAATGAATTAAAATTACATGTTCTATATCAACATTAACACTTTATACAAGAGATTAATCAGAATAATTTGTACTTCTTGAAATATCTAATTTTGAACTTAATTCAAAAGATTCATAAATATGTTTATTAAATCCTTTTTTATAATTTAATTATTATATTTATTCTTCTTAAGATGATTCAACAATTTGTTATTTTCTTTTTTAGAAATAATTAGGTTCATTTTCAAATAATTTTAATAATTTCTCTATTTATTTATAAACCATTTAAAGTTATTAAATAGAATAACTTTCTATTGGTTAATTACATTCTAAATTATATACTTTCTCATCTATAAACTTCTTAGTTGTTAAAGGTGCCAAGATTTTCCAAATTAATTAAGAAGTACTAAATACTTTTTTAGATTTTAAATTTCTATCTTCACTTAATAATGATCTTTTGATTAATGAAAAATAAGCTTTCATAGCTTTATCTTTAATTGTAGATCCTTTAGTAACATATACTTAACCTGTAACCCAAATAGGTATCTTTTCATTATCATCAAAAAATTTATCAATATTTTCTGAAAAATGTATTCTTTAAAATGCTTTTTATAAGTCAAGTTAATATTAATGTTAAAGTTCTACATTAATATAAAATATAGAATCTTCTTAAATTATTATTTATAAAATTTATGCACAACTTTCTTCAATTCCATATGCTCTTATTAATTTTTCTAAAGGGAAATCTTCATATGCTTAATTGATAAAATCATAATGTGTAACTTTAATAGCAGTGAAAAAGAAATCGACTGGTCTCATTCTTACAATAAATTCTATTGTATGATCAGCTATACATATATAATGTTCTGGTAAATTATATAATTATGATTCATTAATGTCTGAATGATTGAATATTTATTTAATAGAATATCTTCCAAGATTATATAGATTTTCTGGAAATTCTTAATTTAATTTTACAGAATGCAATTCAATATTTTCAACTGCTTCTTTAGATGAATCTCTATAAAGAGAATATTGTAATTAATTATAAGAATTATATTTAGACAATTATTATTCTAAATTTTTAATGTATTAAATATGAGCCATATCAATAAATTATGCTATAATGTAATTGTCTAAATGATACAATGCTATATGATCATCTCTAAAGACAGATTTTAATTAATGTTTTTATTAAATACTTAACATTTCTTTTTGTTTATATTAAGTTCTACTTTCATCAAGACATACTCCATATGGTATTTCTTAATCAAATTTCATATATGGATATTTAATTTAGAATATAGAATATTCAGATTTAAGTTTAATAGAATCTTATGATTTATTTGAATTAATAATTCTTGATTAATATAAGTTAACATCATTAATACATCTATCTTATACTTCAAAAGTGAAATAAATTTATAGTTAATCTTTAGTAGTAATAATCATTAATATATTATTTGTATGCCATTATTTTTCAAAATGAATATGTTAAAATTAAAGATTGTCTAAATCAAATGTATTTTTTAATTCAGCATTAAAATTATAGACATTAGATTATTTAATTCTAACAATTTCTGTAAATTATTATTCTTTTAAACTAATATCATATATAACTACATAAGTATCACATACTTTATCTTCTTAATCATATTATTCAAATAAACCATAACATATATTGAATTCTTCTTATACTTTTAATTATATTAATCCTTAAGTTGAAGTCCAAGGTGTAAAATCTTTAAATATTCTATTAAATTATTTTTTTATTCTTTCTTTCAATTAAGATGTATAATTCTAAGCAGTGTCTATAGACTTACAAGTTAGATATCCTAAATTACCTCCATAAATGAGATTCTCTTGGTAAAATAAGATCTGATTTACAATTTCTCCATTAATATTGAACCCTTTTTTTAGCATTTAAAAATTCTCCAAATCACCATTAAAAGTGTATAAAAAAATGTAAAACTCAGAAGCAATAGCCATTGTCCATTAATTATCCTAAAATTAAAAGGCTACCGCCGAAATATATTCTGTATGATTAATTTATTATTCTTTCATTCTTAATGGAAATTTGTACTTCTTGCCATCCTAAATAATGATAAATATTATTACTGTATTATAATAATAATTAAGATCAGCCTAAATGGGTGAATAAAAATAAAATCTCAAATATCTTGAATTAAATACAAAGTATAAAAAACCTTCTTATATACCACTAAGAGTAATAGAATTATCAAATTATATTTCCTCATGATGAAAATTAATGAAATGACCTTTGTATAATGGTATAGCTAATTTTTTTAATTAAATTTAAAACCTAGATTGTTTTGAAGAATAGGAGTTTACTAATTTCCAAAGAGTGTGTTTATTGGATTAAAAGACTTAGATGATTTGGTATACTTAAAATCTTTGTAAACAGGTTACTGTGCAATAATCTTGGGTTTAGCTTATAACATAGTTATTTTAATTAATTATATTCAACAATGGTGAGATTTACATGGCGCCTTTTCATAATCTAAGATGTTTCTCATCAAATATTAAAGAGTTGGATACTCATCAACTGAATGCTCATTAAAATAACTTACTTGATTCACAATTCTCACTCTAAATATTATTTTATTTATTCTATGAAATACTATATTCTTCATCACTAAATTCTCTCTATTCAATAATTGTTTTAAGATTTGTTATTCCTTAACGCTGATGATGAGATTTACATTTTTATTAAGTATTAATAAACCATTAATGATTGAGTGCATCTGTTAATGAACATTAAGAAAGTAGTTTCTTTATCAAATGTAATTAGCTCAAAGAAAAAACATGTTTATAATTTTCATTTAATGTTTTCAATTCTAATTTTTATTTTATTTACAAACCTGCTAATATTTCTATACTTTGATTAATCAAATCATAATCAATATGGAGATCTTTCATATACTAAAAGTAAAACTTTTTATTTTCAATCTTATTCTATTTTTCATTTATTTAATACTTCCATTCTATTAACATCTTTTGGAAAAAAAGTAATCATATACAATAAAATTCCTAATTAATATAAATCAGAATGTATCCCTGGAATTTCACTATCCATATTTCTTTTTTATTAAAATTAACTAACCCAATTCCAATATTGTTTAGTGTCATCTCCTTATTTAAAAGGCTATAAAAATTATTTATATTATATACAAAATAGACAAAGTCTATCATTATAATATCTATAGTTATAGTATCCTAATTTATAATTACACTATGAGCACCAAGATTACCATGATAAGCTTAATGATCATTTAAATAACGAAGTAGAATCAATATCTAATAGATTAGCTAAAAATATTTATTAAAAACAAACAATAATACAGATGCAATCTCAAATTCTTATAATTGTTAGCCTCTTATAAGTGCATTAAATATGGGTTCTCCTTCATAGTAATCTGTAACTATGATATAATTAGATGGATCTTCATAAATTCCTATGATCTTTAAGATTGAAGGATGTCTACACTCATGTAGTAATCCAAAAGTATGTTCAAGATAAGGTTACTACTTACAAATTATATTAGCAGAAAATTATTCATTATTCTTATTATTTAAAGAGGATTACTTTCTTATTAATAATTTTGTAAAAGCCTTAAAATAGTTCTTGTTCCAATTAAAATTTTCTTTAAAAGAATTTCATAATACTAAACTGTTTCATTGAATAGTACCATTGTTATTGCAATTCTTCATCTTTAAAAAGAAGCAGAATATCATCACCTAATGCAATTAAATAACAAATTTTATTATTAAACAGGAAACTCTTCTACTTGATTTAATATTATGATAATTGAATATTGTGAATGCCAATACTTAATACATTAGGATGTAGTATACAATATTCTTAAAGAAGATTTCCATCATACATGATAGTTAATTATTAATACAGTAATATTTCTGTGAGTCTAAGTTGATGATTCCATTGTTTATGATGTTATAGATGTATAAATTCATTTAGCATTAACTTGAATTAATTAGAATTTCTGCATTCTTAATAAGTTTGATCAATCCATTGAGTTTTAGAAGAACAACCTTAGACATTTTACATATTAAAAGTAATTTTATATATTTAAGGATATGAATTAAAATGATTAATGTAATTATATTTATATAAATTTAATAATTAATTTTGATAAAATAACTCATTATAATTTTAATTTCATAAGTAATATATATAGATTATAACTAGATTAGATATTAAAATTGTATCAAGTATAAATTTAATTTTACTATATTAGAATTTAGTAAATCTATATTGTAAAATTAGCTAAATTGTATGGCAAGTCAAATAATTAGATTCTTCTTCTGAAATTGATTCAAAAATATTATCATTTTTTATTTATATTAATAAAGAAGAGTCTTATTATAAATTTAACAATCCTTTATTAACTTCAAATATTAGAAAAATATAATGAAATCCATAAACCATTTATTTGAACATATATAATCGTTTGTTGAAATTATTTTTTTTCTAAAATTGAGTATATGATATTTATTATTATTTATTTATATTATAAATGAAAAAGACAACGAAAGGAGAGCCTGATCTTTTGATTGAGTCTATGCAAAAATTGATTGAGTAAATATTCTAATTTTAATAATGAGTCATATGAATGATAGTAAATTACATTAAGAGGAGATATTTCAATCTCTTACACCTACAGATGTTTAAAAAATATTAACAAATTTTGAAGATAAAAATTAAATAATGAGAAAGACTTCAGCAGCGTTTTTATGTGAACTTGTTTTTGATAATCCTACAGTTTAAAAAGGATTTTGTGAGATTTCAAATATTTTACCTATGGATGGCAAAGTAAAAATAGATAAAATTAGATTTGTGTTAATAAAATACCATAATCATTATTGAGTTAATCTAAACATTTACCAGAAATATTTGAAACAATAAAAAGTGCTTAAATTCCAATTGATAATGATTTAAATTATCCTTTATGTTGGTATTTTGAAAATTAGAGAGATAAGGTATGGAAGAAAGGTTTAAAATTTATTAAATTTGAGAAAAACAATAATAATGCAAAGAGTAGAATAGAGAAATTCATAGATCCATAAATACATTTATTTGGTTTCATAATAGCAAATAAAAAAGAAATTTAATCATAAGATGAAATAAAGAAAGCTACAATATAAACTAGATAATAATAGAGTGTGTCCACTTATGAATAGAATGTTAAAAGAATACCAAATGTTTAGAAACTAAGACCAAATTCAGGATAATCTCCAATTTAATCAGTGAGTCCAATGATAAAAAGATAAAGAATAATGAATAGTTCTGTTGATTATGATACAAGTGTAAATAAATCAACTCTTGGTAAAACAATAATAGAAACAGATTAATTATAAACAATAAATGAGATAGATAGACCAAAATCTAAATTGGAAACTAAAAAAAGTACAACTAATAATAATGTTTCAAATATCTAGAAGAGATTTAAATGATTATATTATAATAACTAATATTATTATTATAAAAATGGCTGGTGTTTTAAAAACTGTTGGAGACTATTTTGAATTAGATAAGTATNTATTAAAATTGTATCAAGTATAAATTTAATTTTACTATATTAGAATTTAGTAAATCTATATTGTAAAATTAGCTAAATTGTATGGCAAGTCAAATAATTAGATTCTTCTTCTGAAATTGATTCAAAAATATTATCATTTTTTATTTATATTAATAAAGAAGAGTCTTATTATAAATTTAACAATCCTTTATTAACTTCAAATATTAGAAAAATATAATGAAATCCATAAACCATTTATTTGAACATATATAATCGTTTGTTGAAATTATTTTTTTTCTAAAATTGAGTATATGATATTTATTATTATTTATTTATATTATAAATGAAAAAGACAACGAAAGGAGAGCCTGATCTTTTGATTGAGTCTATGCAAAAATTGATTGAGTAAATATTCTAATTTTAATAATGAGTCATATGAATGATAGTAAATTACATTAAGAGGAGATATTTCAATCTCTTACACCTACAGATGTTTAAAAAATATTAACAAATTTTGAAGATAAAAATTAAATAATGAGAAAGACTTCAGCAGCGTTTTTATGTGAACTTGTTTTTGATAATCCTACAGTTTAAAAAGGATTTTGTGAGATTTCAAATATTTTACCTATGGATGGCAAAGTAAAAATAGATAAAATTAGATTTGTGTTAATAAAATACCATAATCATTATTGAGTTAATCTAAACATTTACCAGAAATATTTGAAACAATAAAAAGTGCTTAAATTCCAATTGATAATGATTTAAATTATCCTTTATGTTGGTATTTTGAAAATTAGAGAGATAAGGTATGGAAGAAAGGTTTAAAATTTATTAAATTTGAGAAAAACAATAATAATGCAAAGAGTAGAATAGAGAAATTCATAGATCCATAAATACATTTATTTGGTTTCATAATAGCAAATAAAAAAGAAATTTAATCATAAGATGAAATAAAGAAAGCTACAATATAAACTAGATAATAATAGAGTGTGTCCACTTATGAATAGAATGTTAAAAGAATACCAAATGTTTAGAAACTAAGACCAAATTCAGGATAATCTCCAATTTAATCAGTGAGTCCAATGATAAAAAGATAAAGAATAATGAATAGTTCTGTTGATTATGATACAAGTGTAAATAAATCAACTCTTGGTAAAACAATAATAGAAACAGATTAATTATAAACAATAAATGAGATAGATAGACCAAAATCTAAATTGGAAACTAAAAAAAGTACAACTAATAATAATGTTTCAAATATCTAGAAGAGATTTAAATGATTATATTATAATAACTAATATTATTATTATAAAAATGGCTGGTGTTTTAAAAACTGTTGGAGACTATTTTGAATTAGATAAGTATCAAAATGAAATAGCTCCAATTGTTAAGGAGAACTATGATATGTTATAAAAGATGATATAAACAAAAGAGAAAGAGTGTTTGAATAAGAATTTAGATAATGAATAGAAATATATTGAATGTATGTAAAAGAATGCCGAACGATCTGAAAGAGCATTAAAAAGTCTTGGTAATGTGATGATTATAATGATGATAAGAATATGGAATTATGTATTGGAAATAAAAAACTTATGAGTGTTTTCATAATGAAGCTTTTAAAGATAAAGAAATTAAAAATTTTGAGAGATGTAAACCTATAGCTAATAGAGAATTATAAGAAATCTTTACCAGTTTTAGATTGTGAATAATGATGTTCATTAAATATAAATTTTATTAAAAAAAGATATGAATAAATAGCGAAAGACTCAATTGGAAGAGTTACAAGAGAAAGAGAGTAGCTTTGGTAGAGTGTTCAAAGTAGCTGGTCCATGTAAATAATGTTCTTTATTGTAATAGTGGTCGTGGCAGAAAAAATGGCAGGAGCTAAAATGTTTGAGTTAGTGAAAGTTGGTTGGGATAAATTGGTTGGTGAAATCATTAAATTAGAAGGTGATAATGCATCTATTCAGTGTTATGAAGATACATGTACTTAAAGCTTATTTATAAATGATTAGCTGGATTGACAGTAGGTGATCCTGTTATGAGAACAAAGTCTCCACTTTCAGTTGAATTGGGTCCAGGTATCCAATACAAAATTATGTAGGTATTTTGACACAAATTTTCGATGGAATTCAAAGACCCTTATAAGTCATTGCAGATCAATCAGCTTCCATTTTTGTACCAAGAGGTGTTGATATTCCAGCATTAGATTAAGATAGAGTTTGGGAGTTCAAACCTTCATCTACAATCAAAGTAGGATCAATGATTAGCGGTGGTGATATTTATGGCTCAGTCTTTGAAAATAATCTCTTTGATGAACATAAAATATTGACAGCACCAAGAGTTCAAGGAAGAGTCACATATATTGCACCTGAGGGCAATTATACATTAAAGGATAAAGTTATAGAAGTTGAATTGGATGGCAAAAAACATTAATACGGAATGAGTCACTTCTGGCCTGTTAGATAACCAAGACCTATTATTGAAAAATTACAGGGTAATACTCCACTCCTTACAGGATAAAGAGTACTTGATGCACTCTATCCTTCTGTATTAGGAGGTACATGTTGTATTCCAGGAGCTTTTGGATGTGGAAAGACTTGCATTTCTTAGGCTCTTTCTAAATATTCCAATTCTGAATGTATTATCTACGTTGGATGTGGAGAAAGAGGAAATGAAATGGCTGAAGTGTTGAGTGAATTTCCTGAATTAACTATTTAAATGAAAGGAAAAGAAGAAAACATTATGCAACGTACATGTTTAGTTGCCAATACTTCAAATATGCCTGTGGCAGCCAGAGAAGCTTCTATTTATACAGGAATCACTTTAGCTGAATATTTCAGAGATATGGGTTTTAATGTATCTATGATGGCTGATTCAACCTCAAGATGGGCAGAAGCTTTAAGAGAAATCTCTGGTAGATTGGCTGAAATGCCTGCAGATTAAGGTTATCCTGCATATTTGGCATCCAAATTGGCTCAATTTTATGAAAGAGCAGGAAGAGTCAGATGTAGAGGTTCACCTGATAGAGAAGGATCTATTACTATCGTTGGAGCTGTCTCACCTCCAGGAGGAGTATATATATTTATAATCTTTAGGATTTCACTGATCCAGTTACAACTGCTACTCTTACTATTGTATAAGTCTTTTGGGGATTAGATAAGAAATTAGCTTAAAGAAAGCATTTTCCATCTGTAAATTGGACCATATCAAATTCTAATTACGAAAAGATTCTTGAACCATATTTCAATTCTTTTGATCCTGAATTCACACATTTAAGAGTAATGTTCAAATAAATCTTGCATGAAGAATCTGAATTAAATGAAATTGTCTAATTGGTTGGGAGAGATTCTTTATCTGAAGATTAAAAGTTATCTTTGGAAGTATGATCCATAATTTATTATTATTAGATTGCCAAAATAATAAGAGAAGATTTCTTATAATAAGATGCTTTTAGTAAATACGATTATAATTGTCCACTTTATAAAACTATTGGTATGATGAGATGCATAGTTTCATTTTTCGAATGCGGCAAGAAAGCTATCCTTGAATCATCAGGAGATGCCAAAATCACATGGAATATTATTTTAAATCAAACAAAACCATAATTTGTCAAATTATCATAAATGAAATTTGAGGTATTATTTATTAATATTTAAATAGGATCCAAAATAACCAAAATAAGAATTAATGAATTATTTCACTAAATTTGTAGATGAGATCAAATCAGCATTTAGAAACTTAACAGACAAATGAGTATCAATAAAATTACATAAATCATTATTATATTTAATCAAATTATTTTAGATAAAAGTAATATACTATAGATTCAATTACTATAAGCAACACAATAAATAAGATGAAGCCCTTTATGTAATCTAAGTATCACAATTTGGTAAATGCTTAATTAATTCATTTAGAATTAATATGCTAGATGAATTATAAAATAATGACTTAGACTTAAAGAAATATTCCCATTTACATTAATAAGATAGATTTAGAAATTATAAGAAAGTATTAGTTAAACTTTAATAATTAATGGAAATTATAAAAGATGTTAAAAAATTAACAAAAACATAATTAAAGAAGAGAATAGAATTTAAAAAGAAAAGATAAGTATAAAGAGAATCTAAAGACAAGTAATCTTAGATCAATTAAACAAAGTACTATTTCCTTATTTTAATTAAAAATAAATAAAATATAATTTTATTAATAAATAAATAATAATTAATTTCCAAAAAATTATTCTTTTTACAATATGCCTTAATCTACCTTTAAACTTTTCTATATCTAATTATTTGAAATCAATTGCAAATTATTATTTCATAGAATCATTAAATTTATTATACATTAGCATTAATTTGAATATTTTACAATAAATAAACATATTTATTAGCCTTTATCTCTAATAAATTATTCATAGCCAAAATATATATTTTTTCTTTAACTTTAAAATCAACCTCAAAAAACTCAAATTAAAAGATTTAATTTAAACATTAGTGACTAAATGTATAGGATAGTAATATTAGATTCATTTTTTATTAGGATTAATGGTGAAGCTAAATCATTAATTTAATAGATAAAATTTGCTTTAGATTACTTTAATTTATTAATTATATATTTAAATTCAAAATTTTATTCTTTGTGCTTAATTTTCTATTATTTATTTTATTATATTCTAGGTCATTTTGCAAAATCTTATTTGTGTAATGATAATTTTAATTAACTCCATTTAAATTTTAAACATCATAGAAATATATTTCCTCCATTAATAACAATATTACAAACAACTATGAGTATACTTTAATTCATGTATACCTTTTTTTTTATTTTATAATATTTATGTATTTATTTTTTATATAATTAATTATTAATGGAGCATCAATAATATATAGAAAAGATAACTGAAGAGAGAAGGATTCGAGATGAATAGTAAAATTTTAATTTAGGTTCCTAAGACGCAAACTTAGACTTTTAGAAGAAGAGTAAATCAAATAAAAATCACTTTAGTAATTAGAGACACTTAAATTATTATAATTAAAGGAACTTTAAGATTCTCGTCGATTGTAATCTAAATTAAATATGTCATTTATTTAATTGAAATCAGATGAACGCACTTAAAAGGTAAAGGAATAAAATAAAAGAGTCAAATAATTATTAGAATAATATAAAAAGGAAAAGTAATAATAAGAAATACAGTAAAAGCAATTAGAACAAGAGAAAGAGTAAGAGGTCAAATTAAAGCTTATGCAAATAAAAGAGAAGTTCAAATTATTAACAACTGAAGAAATAAAGGAGCATTAATATAAATATAAAAAATATTAATAAGAACATTAATAATAATTGACAATTTTGAGAGATCAAAAAAAATTATAAGACACTTACTTTTCTCAATAAGTTTAATCTAGATTAAGAAGCAGAACATATCAAGCCTAAATTGAAATGATGAAAGAAGAAGAATAAAAAAGAAAAAAAAATAATGATAGATTAAGAAGACAAATTAAAGAAAGATTTGCTTATGATCATTTTGTCAAAGAACACTTTTTACCTAAAATCTTTCATAGCATTGATTTAACTAGTCAGACAATTATTAATTAAAAACCTAACAATTAAATGTCTCCAATTAAAAGTGATTCTAGGGTTCTAGGGAATTTATATTTAAGATAAATAAGAAAATTACCAAGAAGACCTAGAATTTAATCTTAAAATGCAGCAGATCAATCATCATCATCTACAATAAAGCGAGACTATTTAACAGAAATTCGATAACATTCAAAGAAAAAGACTCCATAAACACCAATTGATATTAAATTTTAAGCAGATAGGTAAAGAATTATACCTAAAAATTGAAGGTTGGAAAGAGAATCTAAATAAGCATACACAAAGTGCAAGCTAAAAGGTGATTAACTATTGATGGAATCAATTAAGCAAAAGATGATATTGTTAGAATTATGAATATAAATGATACTATTTAAAGGTCACTCATTCAAGATCATAATAGATAATTTTCTTAATTCTTATATATATATATATATAAATCATAGGTGCTATAATTTTAACTCTTAAATGATTGTAACAAATCCTAATTATTTTCTATTGCCACTATTTTATTCAAAGTATTCTTTGGTACTATCAATATTCTAGAGATTAATTCAAAACTTTATTTTTAGAATAACCTTCTCCAAAAAGTATTTTTTAAGTATTATTCGACTATAAAAAGGAGAATGTGAATTATTATGACTTAAATGATTAAGATGATTAAGCTGCCTTTGTAAAGTGTTTAAATTCTTTGATAACTTTTTCCTTAACATACTTTATTTTAATCCTTTAAATTTAAAATCTAGTAAATAATTAATCTTAAATAAATAATTATTTTTCTATATTATCCAAAAATCATCCTTATGTTAGATATATTATTTGCTAAAAATACATTTATTTTTAGAAAGCATTTAACAATAAAATGAAGTGTGTAAGAACTTAAGTTCAACCAATCATATATCCATAACTCTAATAATCTCAATAACATCTTTATTAAACCTTACAACTAAATTAAAGTTAACCTTAATAAGGTTATAAGAAATAGAGAGTAAATATAAAAACATTTCTAAATTTTATGTAATAATATACAATATTTACTCCTTAAATTAAGAAATAATAAGATAATCTGAATCATGTAGAACTTAGCTTGGCTGGTTATATGGAGAATAGATCTTTTAATTTGTAAATCTTAAAATATTTCTTATTATTTTAAGCTTTTCCTCTGATCTTATGTTGTTGTTCTTTTAAAAATAATTTTATCAAGTTTTCTTATAATTTAAATGGCTACTTTAAATAACCCTTTTACATTTTTGCTGCAATAATGTGCTTTTCTTTAATATACTCATATATGAATCATAAAAAGTTAAGAAATAAACAATTAAGATTTATTTAAATAATTTTAATAATTTCTTATACATTTTCATATGCATTTTTCATTTAAGCTATTTATTCCTCTACTTATTTATTTTATAATCCTTATAATTGCATTTATGAAAACACTCTTAAAAATTTTGGTAATGACTAGATTGTAATCATTTTATTTTGCTTAATAAATCTTGAAACTTGCTCAATAATTTCATATTGTATGTAGGAGATTGGAGAATTAAGCATAAAAAGTTAAATTTAATAATATTAATTATAGATTCATTTTGGTATATAATATTACCAACAATAACTTTTGGAAGTATTTTGTCTTCCTTCTATTACAACTATGATATTTTATGCTTTATAATAGCATTGAGTTGCGGTTTTGGATTTTATCTTCAATTCACTCTTAAAAGAATGATAAAGTCTAAAAAAGTAAACATAAAATAAGAATTTAGTTAAAATTACGATCAGATGAAGGACCATTCTCAGCAATTTTATTGAGTTTCTTATTATTTGTACCATTCTTTGATCTAGTATACGAGGACAGTGAATAACTATGTTAGATAACTCAGAGTGTAAATTCAGAATAGAAAAATGTACAATGAGGAAAATTATAAAACAATATTCATAATTTATATTACTATTTAGTTCTATTGATATCTATTAATATAATTATCTAATGGCTTAGCAATAGCGGAATGAAACAATAGTGCCTATTTTAGTTACATAGGAGGAATATAATGAAATTATGAAATAACCAGATTATATACAACAATAACTCTTATAGTAATTGTAACAAAAAAAGTATGAGTAACAATAATAAATATATTAACATCCCTATTTACAATATCAGAATTATTAAAAATAATAAGATAATAATAATCTTGATGCATAACCATAAATCCCTTCATATCCATTTGAAAAAGCAAATTAATAATAACAATAATATTACTATACTCCTCAGCAATAGCTTTTATAATAATATAATCAAAATTTAAATTAAAATTTAATATAAAAAGAAATAATAATCTTGTAACATAAAGAAATAGAAGTTGCTGGTGAACGTGAAGTTTAATATTTCAATCAAAATCTAGCAAAATATTTTTCAATAGAAATGACTTTTTCTTTAATACTAAATTTTATTTCAGCATTATTTCGCATGTGGATTATTAATAGATATTGGGAATGGAGTATTGCATTATGGATTGTCTTAAGTTTATATATTTTACTGAATTTATTCATATTGACAAATCCAAAGATAATTTTATAAGTATATATTTCTAATAAATCTTAGAATAATAATTAAAAGTTTGTATATGTTTTACATATCATTTTATATTCTTTGCTTTTATAAGGATTACAAATAGCAGTATAAGGTTATGAATACTTTATTTGGAACTATTTCTTTTTCTTTTATTCTATGATAGCTGCTAGTTTTATTTCTGTTTGTTTAACAATAAAATAAAAAGGAATAAATTTAACCTTACCTTAATATTTACCAGCCATAATTGTTCCTGTTTGTTTGATTTTCCTACTTTAATTAATTTGTACATGGAGCTTTTATTTGCCACTTTTGTTGTGGGGAATTGTCGTTGTATTTATTGCCCAAGGATTGGTATTACTATTCAAAAGAATAAATAAATTAGGATATGTAATTTTTATTATTAATTTTAGAGCAAACATCACACTAATGATTGTTATGCCATGGCAACTCTTTTACAAATTTTAATGATCAGTCCATTTTATGATAATGAATGATAATAAATTACATAAAAATTAAATAAAAAATTATTAAAACAATATTAACAGTAATTATATCACTAAATTTCTTGGGAAATTAGATCTTAGCAATCTAAATCTTCTTGGTCTATTATTTTTATATGAAATACTAAGACTGTTATCAAAGTCTCTAGGACTTAAATTCTAAAATAAAATTATTAAATAAAGGCATCTTACATTAATCTTTTTTAGAGTATATTCAATATGAATTACATTTTGTCCTTCTCTTAGTTCTTAAATTAATTTTTCAATAAGATGATCTTTACTTATAAACATGTGTAATTATAATTTTAAATTATCAACCTTTTATTTCATTCTTTTATTGTATACAAATACGATTTTCCTTATATAAATTATAGGTAAAATATAGAATTTTGCCTTCGATTGTCTCAAATTAGTCCATGATATTTTTAATATAATTGATTCTCAATTATTAAAATAAATGAATATTTCAGATTAAATATAATTAAATTAGTAAGTTTAGAATATAATAATTCAAAGTGAATTTCGATAATGATCGATAATACCTTATAGAGCTTTTATTTACACAGGCTTTTCCAAATAAAATTTCATTCCAATTTGTTGGCATTTTGGAAATTCAATCTCTTTTTAATGACCAGAACAAGCAACTATTATTGGCAATTATATCCCATTTTCTTCACAATATGTAAATATTAATTTTGAAGCATTAATTCCATTAATACCCAACATTTCCAAATCCATAAATATCAATTTATACATTCTACTATCACATTTACAGCATTTTTCTTTCTATTTTATTTTCTCTATTGCCTTATATCCATTTATCGAATAATCAACTTAATGAATGCCTCTAAGTAATATTATATAACATACATTTTTGATAACAATATTTATAATGTATCAATATTGAATTGAGTATCATCAACAATTAAAATTTTGGTACAACATTCAACTACTTAAACTAATGATTTTTTAGGTTAACTTATAAATATTTATATTTCCTTTGAACTTTCTTCAACTTCATTTAAGTTTTCTATAATTTCACTATCCTTTAAAACTGTTTACTTATTACACAATTATTTTAAAATATCAGATTAAAAGCTCTCTTTTTCTGGTAAATTAATTGTAAACGAAAAGTTTGAGCCTTTGTGATAAGTTGAATCAAACTTCAACCCATTTCCCAATAATAAAGCAATCTTATTACTAATTAACAATCCTAATCCCACACCTTATGCATTAAGCTTTTTACTCTCTTCGGAATTTACTTTACCAAAAGCCATCATAAGGATTTCTTTATCTTATTCTTAAATACCTATACCTGTATCTTATATTGTAATCTCAATTACACTATCTTATAATACCTCAACATTTATTATTATATAACCTTCTTAAGTAAATTTAAAAGCATTTCCAAGGAGATTAATCACAATTTATTTAATTCTACTTTAATCAGATTCAATCATAGTAGGACATTGAGTAGAATATTATAATATTAATTTTAGGTTCTTTTTTTCAGCTTAAAGATTAAACATTTAAAAGCACTCCTAACATAACTTTTTTAGATTAAACTTTTCTATTTTTAATTAAAACTTATTTGCTTTAATTTAAGCCAAATCAAGAAGATCATTGCATAAATTTAACAAATATTTGGAATTCTCTATAGATGTCTATATGTATGAATTATTTAAATCTTTTGCAACATATTCTAACATTGTTATCATACAACCTAAAGGTGCTCTAAATTCATGGGAAACAAATGAAATCATTTTGGAATTGTAATTGCTATGACATTAAAGTTATTAAATATATTGTTTATAACTTAAGTCTCTGCAAACCAAAGTCATAATTCTTCTAAATTATGAATTAATGTATACATTTACTTCAAATATTGGAGAGTATTAAGACTAAATAAACCTAATAATTTTACTTATGAACTTTGTTTGCATTATTATAAGTAAAATAAATGCCTTTCTTTATTATGATTATTCCAAGCCTTATCAAGAAGTTAAGAAAATGAGATATCTTTTTATTAAGGCTTATAAACACTTTGTGGTCTAGAATGTTAAGAGAGAGATCCACTTAATTAATGAAAAATTGAATTCTATCTGTCGACTCCAAAACTCTTAATTGATTACATTGATCTTTTTGGTTCCATTTTATCTATTTAAACATAGTTTTAAAATATTTATTGAAGCTATGTTTCATCAGTAAACGAAAACATTTTCTTCGCTGATTAATTTATAAATGTAGGTTATTTTTCATAACCCTATTCAAAAAGTATTACACCTTCTCTAATTTAATTAAAACATAAATATCTTGCATAATTCTCTTAGAAATTCTCTTGAAAATTTGATTCTTTCCATCTATATCTTTCTGTATTTGAATATATTTCTACCAACTATGAACCTGCTTTCTAATTTTCTTCCTTCAATAATTAAAGGTTGAAGATAACAAAAATAGCATAAGTAGATGTATAATGTATTATCGTCCAAATTACCTATTATTCCAATTCATAAAAAAGTCTTATAATACAATAGAATGCAATAAATAACAAATTCACACACATCATCCATAATTTTAACTTATTTCTACATATTAAAAAACCATAATAGAGTGGATGAGCAAAATCAAATTGTGGAATTTGAATTTCTATATGCAAAATATATGTCAATAAAATTTGTATTACAATTATCCACTTCCTTTCTTATGATGAATTGTAATAATGCATTATTATAGTAAATGTTACCAATCCAAGCATTATTACACTCTTATAAGTGAATGAATTTACGATTGATTATATTAGTTAGCCCATAAGCAGTAAAGAATTTATAAATAAGGCGTGTGATATTTTAATATACATAATATATTAATGTTACTACTGTCATAATCGACTTCATTTTATCCATTTTGAAATATCGATAAAAACAGATCCCATTTTAATTTAATTTAATTCTTTATCAATTAAACTCCTTGATTAACTGTTTCAATTTCTCCTATAACTCATAAACACAGTCTCAATTATTACTTCATAATTGACTCTTCTAATTTGCAAATTTAATGCCAGATTCTATTAATTATTTAAGTAAAACACGTTTTGTATTTCAATTACTATTTTACATATTCATAGGTTGTAAAATATCATCAAAATATTTTTATATTAATCTAAATTTAACTTCAATTCCTATTTTCTATCTAAAATATGCATTAAATAAAGATAAAATAACTGTATTTGAACATCAAATGATTAAATTCCTTACAATGATAATTATATAATATTATCATATAATTATCATTTAGAATTATCAATATGTGAGTAAGAAACATATTATTTTATATTCTTATGGATTATCTAATAATATTAAGGAATCTATTGTAATTCTAGATTTCAATTTCATTTAAATTGGATATTTGATAATGAATTATAAGATAATATTATAAATAAGACATGATATGTTTTTATTCAAATTTAGTTATTTCAAATTACTTTTTATATAAAAGTTAAGGATTAATTTGTTAATATCATGATAAATTAAAACTTAACTTTGCAAAATATGGTTATTATATATTGTACATAAATTAGAATATAAGTATTAAAATGAAAATTATATTTATAATCTCCAAAGCTACAAATGATCAATTATTAAAACTATGCTCAATACAACAATACTTAAAATAATTAAAACAATACTTAGAATTTGAATCCTTAACCATAATAAAATGGGTACCAATTTTCAAATCAGAACATTCATAATTAAAATATGTATTAATAAAATATGGTTCAACCAGCAAATTATCCTAAATTAAATTTTGAAAAAGAATCCTTTTCTGAAGATTAACCAGATCATATTATACATCATGATTATTTATAATAATAATAAGTAACTTAATAATAAGAACCTTATCAATAATATAATAATAATGATAATTAAACATAATATATTTATGTAAATCAATAAATAGCCACTCCCTTTATTTAACCAGAAAATGAAAATAATTAAGATATTATGACTGAACATTTAAGAAGAAACTTAATATATAAAATAAATTTCTTTTGGATAATCTAATAAACCGTATAAATTATTTTATGTATAATCAATATGGCAAGTTATTCATATGATAATTTGTTTTTTGATTACTCTCTTGTGTAATATAGGATAACAATTTATATTTTTCTTTTTTTATCTTTTGGATATATGTTAGTTATTAGATTCATAAAACCCTTATGGAGAGTAATTTATATTTTATAAATATTAGATTAGGGGATATCAATCAATTATTTATATTATTTACACAATTTTATATTCATTTTTCATTAGTGGAATAGTTTCATCAAGTCACTTAAGTTTTTATAAAAATAAAATGTACTTTTTAATTGGATTTCTTTACTTTATTGGAACTATCGGAATATTAATTATGCTTATTTAGTTTTAATTTTAAATAAAACATTTTAAAGAAGAGGATATGAAATTAAAAGGTTCTTTATATCTATAAATTTAGAATTCATTAAGGGAGTTATACTTGGCCCAATTGGAATTCTATTTCTGATTACAGCCATATTTGGTGTTGATGCAGTTTCAATGGTACTATGTTATGAACTTATTTGGTCCTACATTTTCACTTTATTTTATATAAATAGTTTACTATAAATCTATAGAGGAAAAGTATAAAAATATACTATTATTAAACTAGTTCAAATTGAAAAGAGACTAGCATTTTGTTGGTGTTATTCTAGTATATATAAATATGTTTATTCCTTGTATTCCATGATTTATAGTTATAATAATAATATATAAATACCTAAAGAAATTATTTTATTTAAATTTCATATTATTTAACAATATGGATATTATATTAATTAATAAATTAAGAAAATTTAATAATATTAAAATATCCTATTAATCCTTTATGTAATTAACAAACGATTTAGATATTGATTTTTAATTTATGATTAAATATTTAGATATCATTTATGTTAAAGAATGATTATGATTTACATGAATAAAATTAATTTTTATTTTAATTATCTTCCTCAAGAACTTTAAATAAATCTAATAAAATATAAAATATTAATTTTATAACATGCTTGTTTTATTATTTTTTTGGATTATAAGTGTTCAGATATTAAAATTAGATTATCTTTAAAATTTATTTAAAAGTAAATTATATTATTCAGTTTCAATTACCATTTGGATTATTCTTTATACTCTTTTCGAATTATAAGTTATTTTATAAATTAATTTGAATTTATTAGTATTCACTAGTACAATTAACTTCCTTATAAATCTATAGTTAACCAATTTTATCATCAATTAGGTATTAAATTCTTAATAAAAAGTATTCAATAAATTTAACTAATATGATTCTCTTTAATAATATGAAATAATTTATTTATTTTACTATTTAATGAATTATATATTTATTATAAACTGTAATACTTAATGAATTTTAATAAATATCTGCTTTAATTACCTAAATTAACACCAATAACTATGGATGATAGTTATAGATAACTTGGAATAATAAAAAATAAAAGTCCATTTAGAATAGAAAACCGAGATTTATTTTACCTTATGAACAAAAGCTAATTTGAAAGTTTATATTCGAATCCAAAAAAATTAAGAACTGAAAAATAATAGTCTCTTAGAAATCATTCTGTTCGAATGCACTCATGTGTAAATGAAAAAACTAAAGAAGTTCATCATCATTATTCTTTTATTGAAAATAATTCATAGCCCTAAAAACAATGGGAAAAAAAAAAAAATACAATGGTAACAAGAAGTCTTTAAAAACCTGAATTTAGAAACAAATCAGAAACTTTATGTTTAGAATTAAAAAACTAGCCTGAATCAATTCAAAAAAAACAAAATAAAAAATTATTAAGAAATCCAAAAATTATGTTAAAAGAATTATGGGATGAAAATTATGGATTATGATACTCTTATTCAATTGATGTATTTAGTTTTACGATTAAATCATTTTAAATATATCTTTTTTTGTATTAATGTATCATATTTAATCATTATTATAAAATTTCACAATATGATAAGTGAAATTTTTGTACTGAACAAAATTAATGTAATTCTATTGCTATAAATTAATGTTTGATTATTTTTTTATGCGATTAATATTGTTATTTTGAATAAATTACATATGAGCAGCAATGTTTTATTTGATTTCAAAGTGCTTTAATTAAATGATTCAAATGATAAATAATATTAATTTACTTTATATCCTTATGAAAATATGAAAATGCTATATTTATGATAACTGAAATTTTGGTTTATACTTATAAAGATAATTATAAATTGAAAATATTATTCATATAATTATAGTACTTTATTTTAAGTATCATTTCATTTATTATATTTAAACTAAAAACTTTTAGTTAACAAATCTATGATTAGAATAAGATGCTTTGAAGTATCATTTTAAATAATATCTCACATTGTTTTATATAAAATTAAGCTTAATTCTGAATTATAATATGTAAACATTCTTAAATTAGGAGCTTTAGATTTTAGATATATTAATTTTTGTTATTCTATAGACTTCCTAATTTTAGTCTAAATGAAAATATTTTTGAATAGAAAATTTTCAAATGATGAAAAACTAAGTAATCAACCTGAATTAATAGAAGTCCATTTTTCAAATTGATTGAAATTATTCATTTTGACTATTTTTAGAAATTTTAGAAAATTATTTTATCAATATTGATGTAAATATATTAAGAAGTTGAAAGTTATCATTCAAAAATATATGATTTTGTTTTAAAAGCTTAAACACTAATAAAATCTTTATTTTTCTTGTTTTAGATAATATTATTTTATAAAAACAAATTTTAATCTATTAGAATAAGCATGTGATGTAAATTAATGATAATTGAAGACAGTATTAAAAGAGTTGATTTAATAGTTTAAATGATAGATGTAGTTAAATAAAATAATTATTTTAAGAAATATAAATACTCAAATTGTTTTTTAAAAGATGTTATATGAAAAAGAAAAGGAGGTTAATCAACATAATAGTTAAAAGTGTTATATATGGAGTTTTCATATTATAAATATGTGATTCAAGTTTTTAAATAGTAGTTTTCAATAACTAGTATGTTTGGTTGCTAGGTTCTTAATTGGAATGGTTTCTTTGCTGATTATCTTAATAATGTGGGATCAAAAGGCTTTTTAGGTGTTGATGGTCTGATTAGTCTAGAATCCATAAATCGTTAAATAAATATTTAAAATAAAAATGGAAAGTGTGAATTTTGGTGGTGATAATCCGTAGCCACGTTTCGGTCATACAATATGTGTAATAGCACCTAACAAGATTGCATTATTTGGGGGTAGAAGCTAATTTTAATATTTGAATAGGAGCAGTAGGAGATACAGGACGATATGTGATCACAGGGGATGTGTATATTGGAGACATGACATCAAAGAAATGGAAGAGAATTGAAGCAAGTGGAAGTGTACCAACAAATAGAGCAGCACATTAAGCATTAGCAATAGAATTGAATTAAATGATTATATTTGGAGGAGCTGTAGGTGGAGGAGGATTGGCAGATGATAATTTATATGTATTTGAATTAAGAGATGATACTGGAACATGGGTAACAGTACCAGTAATAGGTACAACACCAGGTAGAAGATATGGACATACTATGGTTTTAATTAAACCACATTTAATAGTGTTTGGTGGTAATACAGGTTAGGAACCTGTAAATGATGTTTGGAGTTTTAATTTAGAGAAATCTCCTTATTCTTGGTAAAAGTTGGAATGCTCTTCTGAATAGCCAAGTGTGAGAGTGTATCATTCTGCTGCATTATGTACAACAGGATCAGCAAATGGAATGATGGTAGCATTTGGAGGTAGAACAAATGATTAAGGAGCATTGAATGATACTTGGGGATTGAGAAAACATAGAGATGGAAGATGGGATTGGGTGAGAGCTCCATATAGAAATTAAACTGAACAACCTTTATAAAGATATTAACATTCTACTTTATTTTTGGGAACATTAATGATGGTAATAGGAGGTAGATCAAATAATGTTGGGGAAACTTTGCCTTTTGAAATTTATGATACTGAAACATCTGATTGGTATAAATTTCAGGCAATTCAAAGATTCAGACATTCCTCTTGGTTGATAGATTAATTTCTTTATTTACATGGAGGATTTGATTCTGATTAACCAAATATTCCAACAGAAGGCATTTTACGATTGAATTTAAATACAAGATTTGCTTAAACTCCTTAATTATTAAGATAATTGAATACTCTTAAGACTGATTAATCATTTACATAATCATTTAATCCAAGACCTCCAACTAATTAAACATAAACTTAAGATTAATTTAGAAGAACTAATTAATAATAAGCATTAGCTAAAAGTATATTTTATTATCATAATTAGATTAAAATAATAATTAATAAGTAAGAGTATCTAGTGCAACAAATAAAAATATTAGATTAGCTAATTAAGCTATTGTAGCTATGACTTATGGACCAGAAGAAGATATTACAAATTAAGTTAAGAAAGTACCAATTGATAAATTACAGGATGAACATAAGAAATTAGGTGCTGGATTTTAGGATCCAAATTCTTAAAATAAATCATAATTTTTAGATTAATTATGTTAACCTTTCGTTTAAAATTTATTGATTCCAAAAGATTATTAATCAATTCCACCAAATTCTAATTTATTAACTGGTATAAGAAAAGAAATGATAATTAAATTATGTGATGAAGTTCAAAGAGTTTTAGATAAAGAACCAATTGTTTTAAGATTGAGAAGACCAATAAAAATATATGGAAATCTCAATGGTTAATTTTTAGATTTGATGAGATTTTTTGATCATTTTAAAGCTCCATATGATAATTTATATAATGGAGATATTGATTCATAAGATTATTTGTTTTTAGGTGATTATGTTGATAGAGGAACAAGATCATTAGAAATTGTGTTATTATTATTCACATTAAAATTAAAATATGCTGATTAAATTCATTTACTTAGAGGACATCATGAAGATGCTAAAATTAACAAAATTTTTGGATTTGCAGATGAATGTTTCTTAAAATTTGCAGAAGATATTATGGATCCTAATAGCATATATTAGAGAATCAATAGAGTTTTTTAATATTTGCCATTAGCAGCAGTTATTGAAGATAAAATCTTATGTGTTCATGGTGGAATTGGATAGACAATGAGAACTGTAGATGAAATTGAACTTATTTAAAGACCATTAGAAATTGTACATGATCCAAAAACTGTATAAAAAATTTATAAAATATTAGTACTAATAAAAGATCGCATTAGAATTATTATGGTCAGATCCTTGTTTATCAGAAGATGAATTAGAAAATTAACCTAATCCAGAAAGAGATATATTTTAAAATAGATAAATTATGAGATTTGGAACTAATAGAGTAAGCAAATTCTTATAAGAAAATAATTTGAATATTATTATAAGATCTCATGAACCAACTCAAGAAGGATTTGAAAGACAGAATAATAATGTTATTACAGTATTTTCTTGTCCAGATTATGGTGCCAATTCTCAAAATAACAAAGGATGTACTTTATTTTATTAAGATTTAAGCTATGCTCACTATTTCCAAGAGAGGTGACATTATTCCAAAAGTTATTTTACCTGCAAATTCTACATCAGAATCAAGATGGATGGATTTAGAAGAAGCAATTCAAAGAAAAAAAGGATTTGCAAAATATGTAGTTATAGATAATGATGAATTATAATGGAGAAAAAGATAATTTACACCACTTAGATCTAAAAAATCCTAATCTTAAAAATAATTTGCATGAATTAATTATTAATAATTGAATAAATTTTTGTATCTTTCATTATCCAAATATCTCTACTATTTATTAAGGATTCCAACTAGATCCAAATCCTCCTTGTTGATTATGATATTATCCTGCTGCTGGAACTGGCAAAACAACATCTTCAATCAAATAATCTGCAACTCCTGCTAACATTTATTAAGATATTTATTTCTTATTATTATTAAGTTCTTTTTATAAAAATAAACAATAAGATTTCTATAATTTTGTTTTATCTTTGATATATTAATTGATAGTAGCTTACATTTTACTCATATACTATTATAATTATTAATTAGAATCCAAAATTTGAAGTGATGCCTTCTAGAGATTTACACTATTTAATAAAGCTAAAGTTATTTATTTTAATCCTTACTCATTTAATGAATTATCTAATCTAATTATTAATATTAAATAATATTTACAATATTGTTAATCTTAATTTTGTGATATTTATACTTTTCAATGATTTTGCAATATATTCCATACCTTAAGATCCTAATTTCAATCCTGAATGTACTTGAAAATTAACTTATTGATTAGTTAATGATTTCCCATATAATTACATAATACATTTCTAAACAACTTCAATTGACAAGAATGTCCATTATTTAAGAACAACTATTTATTAAAATAAATCTATCATTTAGTTGCATTAAAAATTGTTTATTTTCTTAATTATCAAACTTAAAACTTTTAATTGTGATTATTATAATTATTTAATAATAGAATCTACTGACTCTTGCTCAATACTTGTAGATTTAATAAAGATTTTTAAATTTTAAAATAAATCCATTTTTTAACTTAAAGTATTAAACAATATTTTTATGGATTATATTGTATCCAATTAAATTTAAAGTGTTTATTTGATTTTTCTAATCTATTATGTATTTGTAGTTATTCTTATATCACAACCAGGTGTGATTTAACCTATAAGATCTATTAAATCTAAATCTGAACAATCCTTTCCTTCACTTAATTCTATAAGTAATTTTTCGGTTCTTTCAAGGAAAGGTTCAATAGATTTAAAACTTCCTTATTTTATTGTACTTCCCTTTTATAACTTAATATCCAAAATCTTAATATTGCAATCTTAAAATAATTCACTTGAAATAAATTTGTGATGAGTTCCTAAAGACAATTTAACTTATTTAATGTTTTTTACTTATTAATACAAAATATCATAATTGTTAATACCATAATTGTTACTAATATATAAGAATAATATTTATACCCTAAATTTAATTCTAAATTTTCTAATTTTCCAAATGATTTAACAATTTAATCAAATGAATTTTATGTTAAATTTCTAGTGTCATGTAAAAATAAATTGAGGAATTTAAGTTATTCAATTTTTTAAAGTGCTAAACCTAATTAAGTAATTGCTTATTCATCTATTTCAGTTTAAGCACCTATTGATATATTTAATTTTTCTATATTGGGTTATGATGCTAACCATTTAAAAAAAGAATGAAATGATTTATCTAATTTATTAAATGGACTTATAAGTAAAGTAAATTCTTATAAAATTGAATCTTTTTATGCATCTTCAAAATGTGACCAATTTTGATCTACACAAACACCTTATCCAATTTACAATGAAATAGATTGTAATTTTTTAGAAGTAATAAATTATAAATCCTTTAAGCAAAGTGGTAATTCATCCCTATAAATATATTTACTACTTACTCGAAATTTAATTTTAAATGCACAAGTTCATTGTCATGATTTTATATTGCTTCCAAAACAGGTGATATTTACTTTATTGGATTATTCAAATCAAAATGAATATCAAGAGATTTGAGACTTTTTTAATTTAAAATAAATTAAGCCAAAATTTTTCCATCTTCATCAGAAAATTGATTATTAGCACTATAAATCAAAAAAAATGATACCCATATTTCAATTTAAAACTACTCAAATCTAAATGGTTTAGCGATGAGATTAAAGTTGAATAATGCTAATAATTTAAAAATCCCCTAAAAATGTAAATATGTAATATATACTCAACAACAAGAGTTAAATTCTTGCATTCAATTTTATCTAAAACAACCTATTCAGAGGTCTGAATGACAATTTATAAAGTCTCAGACTTTAAACATTAAATATCCTCTTAATGTTAAATTGTATGAGAAAGAGTCATTTTCAATATATATATATATTATTTATGATATTTAATTCTTAAAGTTTTATATATAATTTATTACATTTATAATCATTTGAATATATAAAATTATTCTTCAAGCCTTTTATTAATGCTATTCGGACTTTTTATAAAAATCTAAATATTTAATGTTTTTAGTATTGATAATAATGAGATCTTTGATGATATTTTTATAAGAAATTATAATATTTAAAATTATTTAAGATAATATAAAATCCCTTTAGTTAAATAATTAAGCTAATTAAATTATGAGATAGTTTTCTAAAATGGTAAAATAATATTCAAATTATTTCATATTGCTTATTTAGAGTATCCATACTTGAAAAAAATATAATCATTTATAAATATTTCTCATATTCAGATTATCATATACCTATAAATAAATTTGGAGCAATTTTATTAAAACTATTAATGACATTTATTTCTCTTATTTTCTTTTTATAGTATTTTATAATATTATCCTTAGGTTAATAAATAGAATGTATATTTCAATATAAATATTATTTATTTACTAAAAACAAATCAAACTCAATTAAAACATAGTAATTCGATATTGTGTTAGGTTGAATTTTCTGTACAAGTTCTGCCTAAAAGCAATAATTGAATCTCAACTTAATTCTCATTTTTTAAAGTGATTTTATTAAAGCTGGATATTTTATTATATGTTTTGGCTAAATATAACTAAATTCTTACATAGTTCTATTTAATGAGGATAATATGAATAAGGAGAGAGTTACATATTTTAATCAAATTTCAATATATCTACAATTCCTAAAGAATTAGAACATAGTACATATTCTTTAATTAATTCTATTTAAGAAATTTTAATATTTTATTTAAATATTGAATTTACTATCATAGTATTTAAATTAAAAAGTAAAATGTAACTTAATTCCTCATTTAAATGCCAAAATAGTAAAAATAGCTATTGATTTTATATATCATGTTTTATATCTACTAATGCAAATTATTAATTATTTAATTCATGAGGAATGGATATGAATTATCCATTATTAAATGTTAATAATTATCCATTCTACAATCCTATATAATAAGTATCCTATTAGTTGAAGTTCTGAATACTTAATACAGATTCAATAGGATTCTAAAAATTGTAAATTCTAGGAGGAAATAATATAGTATTATTTTGAATAACATATACTCTTAAATTTCCATCATTACTAAATACCAAACATAAATTTCCTTATATTCTACAATGTATGATTTCCTTAATACTAACATCCAAAATGGTATAATGTTGATAATTTTACCACAAATTTGGATAAATTGCAATATTTCTCAATGATATTTTCTTGGTTTAATAGCAAACAATTAATACAAGTTAATTATCAATAACTTAATTCCAAATTTAATAAATTAAACATGTATTTTCAGGTAATTAAATTTATGTTTTATTATTAGTATCAATTTATTCATTGACTTTATAAAAAATGATTTATTTTTTCTTTGCTACTCCTAAGACTTTAAATTGTTCAATATAAATAGATTATATGAATTCACTAATTTCAATAGTTTAAATTTGTGTAAGGATTTTATGTTCACATTCCAATTATCTTGTATTATTTTAGAATTAATTCTAATTGTATCCTCTATTTTAATATCTATAATCATTTCTTTATTGATAATTTGATTAATTTTATTAAAATCTATTGTTTTATGGATTTTCATTTTCTGTTCTTTAATTGAATCTCTTTTATTATTGAAAATTATTATTATTTGATTCATCATTTGCTTAATTTAAATTTTATTAATCTCTATTGTTATTTTAGGACATATTTTAATCTCTATTGTTATTTTAAAACATATTCTAATCTCTCCCTTGATATTATTATCTTCCTTAATTTTAATTAAACTATCTTCCTTAATTATTTGATCTTTCTTAATTAAAATTAAATTATCTTCCTTGATTATCATTTTACTATCTTCCTTAATTATAATTAAACTATCTTCCTTAATTATCGTTTTATTATCTTCCTTAATTATCAATTTACTATCTTCCTTGATTATCATTTTACTATCTTCCTTGATTATCGTTTTATTATCTTCCTTAATTATTATTTTATTATCTATCTCTGAAAAAAGGATTATTATTTGTATAATTTTATTATTATCTTTATTTTAATCCTTTTTATCATTATGTAATATTACCATCAAATCTGAATTGATTTTAAGTACTTCTTTGTTAATCATCTCTTTAAATAGTTTATTATTTATATCCTTCAGGAATTCTATTTTTTAATTATTAAATGCTTTTTTAGAATTTTTCAACTTCTGCATTATCATGTTTAAAAGGACATTGATCTCCTTTATTGCATTTATTTCTAAGAAAATAAACACATATTTTTGAAGTTTGCATAAATATTAATTATTTATAATATATTTAAGTATAAATGAGAATATATATATATATAATATAAATTTTATGCATATACTATTTATGAATGCTTAAACAATCTTTCAAATTCCTTTCAATTCATACATCAATAATTCATCTGATGTATCACTACTAAACATAAGAATGTTTGAGCCTATTTTACCACTACCACTTGTAGTAGGAGATGATTAAGTAAATAATTAAACCTTATGTTTACCATATATTTATTATCCCACAGTTAATTAATGTCCCAATCTAATGTCAGAAGAATGCATAGCATAAGGAGATATACTTAAATGATGCTAAGTTGCTAAATTATCATTGAAACTAAATGTAATTAGCCATATAGGAGGATTAACTTAAATTAATAAAATAGAAATAATACTTTTTTAATCAGAAACTTCAATCAAAACACTTTCCATTAAAGTACTTAAAATCTTTTTATTCCCAAATTTTGAGAAAACAATACAATTTCTATATAAATATTAATCTTAAAATACTTGTTAAAATCAAATAATTTAACTGCACCTTCATTTGATACAATTATACAATGACCTGGCCATTAAGTTGTTATAAATATCTGACTAATTGAACCATACAAAGGATCATGTAAATTCTAATCACAAATTAATACAGGATCTTAAGATGAACCATATTTCATTAATCTCCAAATATTTATAATTGAATCTGAAGAATATGAAATAAATTTCTCTCCTTTCTTTAATAATGTTAATCCATTTATCTTATTCAAATGTTTTGTATTATTTGTACCAATCTTTTAGGTATAGAAATTACAAATATTGATATCTCTATTTAAATCACTAAATGCTATATGAGTATTATCCTTTAAATCTAAAGCATTATTAGGCATTTATGATAATTAAATCTTTCTAAAAACTCTAGGTTATGTTGATATCATTATATCATCTATATTCCAAACAATTAATTATTTATCCTAACCTAAAGATACAAACTATCTACTATTAGCTTCACTAGTGCAAATCTTTTCAAGATATACTATATTTTAACTGTGACCTGAAAATGCTGATATCTTCTTTTATGTTGTATCAAATATTCTTAATTGACTGTCATTTTATGAACCAATTGCAAATAAATAATCCAAAATTGATAAAATACAAGTTATTTATGTTCCTATTGTAAATTTTTTAGTAGGTTTTAATTAGAAACTAAATAAAATTAATTTAATACTTATCTATATTTCTAGCTGCCATTTATAATTGTAAATTATTCTCTCCTGTTTATACTTAAGATAATTCTTTGTTACTACCAAAAGGAATATACAATCTTGCAGATACAACATTATTTAATACAAATCCTACTTCATTAACAACTGAATCTAATACGTTGGTCTGCGGATTTTGTAATTTATCATAATTTGGAGGAGAATTAGTCATTTACAATAAAAATCTTGCTAATGTTTATAAATCAGTTAACATTTATAATGGAGTAACATTTCCTTATGAAAGTTACTTACTTTTATTTAAATGATTCTTTAAATTTGATAAAAATTATTAGGCTTCTGGTGTACCTAAAGATGCTAATTTATATTAAAATGTATTTTAATTGGAATAATAAAAGTTCTATCTTGACAAAAGGAAAAACTAATCTATATTCGCTTTTAATGTGATAAATGATTATTTGTATTGTTCATTAAAACTATCAAGTCTCTTCATATTCTCTTCCTTTATAGATTGAATAACAACCATAATTTTTTCTTGAAGATTAGTAATATCAATTGCTAATTCAGTCTTAGAATTATAAATAATAATATTACTTTCTATCTAATAACCATTTCATCAATTTTTTGTAAATGTACATCTCCTTATTCTAAAATCTACAACAAACTGACATTCTCTTTATTTTACATAAATTCCTAATATAATACTATGTTTTGGTTAGCCAATCTTGACATTTCTTCACAAAATTATGAGGCCTTAAATAAAATAAAGAAATACAAATGCTTCAACATCAATAATCTTTGTAAGATGATCGTTATGAAATAATTATGGATCTTCAGGAGATTAAATAAATGGCCTTTTATCACAAGTGATGTCAGAACAGACTTTTGTGATTTATTATTAAGTTAAAGTGTTTTTTAAAGGTGGTAAAGGCAAGGGAGTACATAATTTGTATGCTAAAGAATCCTCCATTTCAATTAATTCAATATATTAAAGATTTTAAATTATTGATTAGGAAATTATATATTTACAGATATATATTTATTTTATTGATGACTTCATAGGTAAAAATAATTCATATGTTCTGTTGTCTCTTGTTTAACCCATAAATTAAATGGACGAAGCAGTTTTTATTCCATTACTCCTAAATACTATTTCTAATCTTATTATAATAACTTCCTTATAATTTATATAATGTTTACTTTCTTTTAATCTTTCTTTTTCAAAGCTTCAAACTCAGTCTAGCATAAAGTAAACTTTTATTAATATTCATTAAAGTATTGATTAAATTTTGTGAATTTTTATTTCCACATATAAATTTTAAAAAAAGATAAATTACTTTTTCTTTTCCATTTCTTCATATCTATAACCATTTATGCTATTTTCTATTNATCTTGCAGATACAACATTATTTAATACAAATCCTACTTCATTAACAACTGAATCTAATACGTTGGTCTGCGGATTTTGTAATTTATCATAATTTGGAGGAGAATTAGTCATTTACAATAAAAATCTTGCTAATGTTTATAAATCAGTTAACATTTATAATGGAGTAACATTTCCTTATGAAAGTTACTTACTTTTATTTAAATGATTCTTTAAATTTGATAAAAATTATTAGGCTTCTGGTGTACCTAAAGATGCTAATTTATATTAAAATGTATTTTAATTGGAATAATAAAAGTTCTATCTTGACAAAAGGAAAAACTAATCTATATTCGCTTTTAATGTGATAAATGATTATTTGTATTGTTCATTAAAACTATCAAGTCTCTTCATATTCTCTTCCTTTATAGATTGAATAACAACCATAATTTTTTCTTGAAGATTAGTAATATCAATTGCTAATTCAGTCTTAGAATTATAAATAATAATATTACTTTCTATCTAATAACCATTTCATCAATTTTTTGTAAATGTACATCTCCTTATTCTAAAATCTACAACAAACTGACATTCTCTTTATTTTACATAAATTCCTAATATAATACTATGTTTTGGTTAGCCAATCTTGACATTTCTTCACAAAATTATGAGGCCTTAAATAAAATAAAGAAATACAAATGCTTCAACATCAATAATCTTTGTAAGATGATCGTTATGAAATAATTATGGATCTTCAGGAGATTAAATAAATGGCCTTTTATCACAAGTGATGTCAGAACAGACTTTTGTGATTTATTATTAAGTTAAAGTGTTTTTTAAAGGTGGTAAAGGCAAGGGAGTACATAATTTGTATGCTAAAGAATCCTCCATTTCAATTAATTCAATATATTAAAGATTTTAAATTATTGATTAGGAAATTATATATTTACAGATATATATTTATTTTATTGATGACTTCATAGGTAAAAATAATTCATATGTTCTGTTGTCTCTTGTTTAACCCATAAATTAAATGGACGAAGCAGTTTTTATTCCATTACTCCTAAATACTATTTCTAATCTTATTATAATAACTTCCTTATAATTTATATAATGTTTACTTTCTTTTAATCTTTCTTTTTCAAAGCTTCAAACTCAGTCTAGCATAAAGTAAACTTTTATTAATATTCATTAAAGTATTGATTAAATTTTGTGAATTTTTATTTCCACATATAAATTTTAAAAAAAGATAAATTACTTTTTCTTTTCCATTTCTTCATATCTATAACCATTTATGCTATTTTCTATTATTTAAACTTTCCTTTCTCTTTTTCAATTGAGTATTTAAAGATTAAAAGTATCATATTTCAATCTCTATTAGGCTTCTATTTCCTTCTATAATACAACTATAGCATTCATGTATAATTTTTAAGTAGCCAAAGTATCGTTAAAATGAATAAATGCATTAATATGTAATCTAAGATATTTCTGCCATAAAAGAGATATAGATTTAACAAATAACATAAACTAAGGTATATATTCTCAATATTTATAAAGATTGTATTCTTGTATATTATAATACATTTATCTAGTTTATCTCAAAAGTTCTTGTCTATAAAAATTAAAAACTAATTTATACCTAAACTTTTGGTATCTTATTTTTGATAATCGAATCTACTTTACTTTTTCTTAGTTGAATTTTCCTTTAGTACTATCTAATGTATATTATCTTGAAGAAGATGATGTAAAATATTATCTAATTTAGTCATGTTTGCAAATAAAATTTTATATGTTTAAAAATTGAGGATATTATATCATGATTGATTTCAACTAAAAGCAAACCAAAGAATTATATAAACAAGTACAAATAGTTCTATTCCTATAACAATTAATAATCCAAAATTTGAAGATTTGGCAATCAATTTCACTAATTTATTATTTGTTTTCATCATCTTCTTATTTGTCTTTTCAACATCTATGTTTAATTAATCTAATTATGCATTTTATTCATCTATTGTAAGGTTAATTTGTTTTCCTTTTTATTTTAATTGATCTGCCTATTTAATTTATAAACAATCATACCTAATCATTGGTTCTATCCAATAATTAATCTTATTAAACTTATAAATCTTTTTAGTTTTTATGTAGCTCTTAATTATTCATAGCAGCTAATTTAGAATCATCTCTTTTTAAATTTTACATGGCCACTTCTTATTTAGTATCTTAAACAGCTTTATTAAATTATTCCTTAATCAAATCTCTCTGATTTTTCAATTCTTAAATATCATTTTTTCTTTTTTCATTTTCTTTCTCCATTTAATTGTTTTCTTGAAGTTTCAAAACATCAACCATTAACACCAATTCACGATCTATTAATTTATTTCTAAATCTATTATACCTAAATTTGATAATTATCCTCTAATTTCTCCTTCAATCATAGTTATTTACTATCCTGACTTCTATTTTTATTCCCTTCTATTCATATCTGATTTGATTGAAACAATAAGTTTCTAAATTCTTTCTATATCATTTTTGAATTGGTCATTCATTATAATTATATATTTTATAAAGAAAATAAAATATCTAAATGGTTTAATAGTTAAAAGAATTTTATTAAAAATTCAAATATTATAAAATCTATACAAAAAATATAATAGTTATTGTAGTATTATGTAAAATAGATACTTTTGAATAATACATAAAAACTTTGAGTATAAAAAATAAAGTTAATGATCTATATGAATTTTTATAAATAAATAGTAAATATATAGATATATTAAATGGATAGTTGTTTTTCAACTAGGATATTTTTATTATTCTATAACAAAGGCATGTTATTTTATTCTTTATTAAGATTCAACTAAATAAAAATGTAATTCTTCAATATTCTACTCCTGTTGATTTTTAATATTGAATATATCAATTTTATTTTTAGGAACTGTTGCTAATTCAGTAATTATAGATTATCTTGTATATTGATTTTTTCCATCCATTTATTAAAGCAAATCTCCTAAAAAATTCATGCGATTCATTCTTTCAATCTTTTCAATGCTTTAATTTATTCAATGTTTACTTAGATTACAATTAATTTTAGCTTGATTATTATGTTTAAGATTTAATAATATCCTAAGGATGATAATTCTTAACTCGAAAAGATGGACTCTTTGTTAATTAAGTTGAGACAAACTATTATTACTAGTTCTAAATTGAGTTGAGATAAATAGTACCTTGATTAGTTGGCCAACATATGGTTGAATCTAAGATTCAAAAGATATCTCATCATACTTCATAAAATTGCAATTTTCCTTGATTTGGTGTTTGATTATTACTCTGTTGGGTTGAACATCTATAATGAGTTGCTGAATTCAATCTTGATCCCTGTTAACTCTTGGCTCTATTTTAATCAACTACAATTTATCTTCTATTGTTTTTATTTGAATATGGAATGTGACGGATAGCACAGATGTTCATTTTAATTGATTTATATATAAGTAGATGAAATTCATTTTTTTAACTTCTTTTCAATATTCTCTAACCATTTTTTGTATTTCTATTGCATTTCTACTTAAAAAAAATGAACTTCTTCCAAATTCGCATCTTTATTGTCTTCTAATATTGTTTAATCAAGATTATATTTTGGAACAGAAGTTGTTTAACTAGATGAGGAAGGAGTAGCCACTATTTTCTTTATTGGTTATTTTTATCTAACTTACTATTATTCATCATCAGTCCCAAGTTGATATTAAAGTAATTCCATCGCACTCACCCTCTATTTGAAAGCCTGCCTTAAAATTCATATAATATATACTTACAGAACTTTAAAAATTAGTTTGTCTTCTTATATCATCTCTGGCTCCTGGAGTTATATGACGATAATTCTTCATCCTAAATGAAGGACTCTTTCGCAACTGTGTTGAATTCATTGATGAATCTGTTGGTTTCGACTATTCATCATCGTTAATACAATACCTTATCCTCAAATAAATCTAAATTGCATCTCTCAAAATTAGTGGGTGTATGCTAAATCTAAAGAAAAACCTACTTTATAAGAAGGAGTGATTTATGATGAATTGAGATCAGAATCCAACCTTCTCTTTGGTTAAATTTTGGGTCCTACACTCCCATTTCTTAATTGTACACGATTTATCTAACAATATGGGTTCATCTTAGTTAATCCTGCACTCATTTGTATAAATATATATATTAATTATATAATTTTTATTGTCAGATAATTTGAATATCTAATCTACTACAAGACCTAAAATTGTTATGTGATTACAAAATAACCTAATTCAGTAAACAATACTCTTCATATATTCTATATCAACTATATATTCTAAAATTTACTTAAAATAGTTTTAGAAATTCACTATAAAACTATAAATATTCTACTTCTAAATATAAAAATACGATAATGATCTAAATAGTATTAAAAATTCTATAAATCCATAATTTTTTGATTCTCTAAATTCATATAGTGATATTTAAAGTTCATTTAATTTTTTTTGTGATCTATATCAAAATAATCTTTCTTCTTTAGAATATTAATATTTATAATTACATAATTGATAATTTATAAAACTGTATAATAATAAAATCAATTTTACGAAATTATCTAAAATGTCTAAAAATATTCTAATGATAATATAACTTTGATTTTTATCCTATCCTACACAATTTCAATTCTTTAAATTATATTACTGTTAGATTCAATGTAAATTAATTATTAAATGAATAATATTTTAATATCAAGAAATAAGCAAAACTTTTAGTAAGATCGGATAAAAGCTTAAAATAATTTATTTTATTTTAGTAAATCATCTAAAATAATTTTAGAATATCATTAAATTATTGTTATCTCTTAAATACCATTAAATAAATTATTATTATGTATTATTAATTAATTATATTCAATATCCTTTTATCAGATAAAAGACTTAAAAAAATTCAATTACTAATCTAAGGGAAAAAGCATACTCTAATTTAGGATTAAATAAGGATAAACATTCCAATTTCTATCTAGGATGTAAGCTTTTTTAATTTAATCTAGACTTTAACGAAATGAAATTAAATAAATGTTAAGCTGTGAAAATTATGGTAAATTCCCCAAGAAATGTTGTAATTCAGAGTTTTGAAATGTCTAATAAGGTTTGATATTTTTTCAATTAAAAAGTAAGAATAGCTTTAAGTGATAAATTAATTTCATATTTCTAAGCTAGTCAACTTTTTTTAATATGAAAAAAAAGGACTAGAAATGAGTGGATTGACTTTGAGAAATTCAGAATTCAGGATTTGATTTTAAATCTAATAGATAATAAAAAGCCAAGTTTGTTAACAATTAAATTTGATTAGTGTTATATAATAAGATTTGATTTTATTAATTTCAATGATTCCTTTGTATGTAAATTATGGGTACCAACAAGAGGCTAATATTGTGAACATACCAAAATAGATTTATTTGTTGTAAAATGATAAGTATTTATTGAATTTATGTAAGTCCCAATATGAGATAAATACAAAGGTACTACTAAATAATAGAAAAATTTCTAAAGGCATTACACAATTTATAGAATGCTTAAAACTAACCTGACTTTGTTCTTAAATATCCTATTGTAATACAAATTACTTTTAATAACTTTATGGTACATTCTATCTATTAAATAGGTTCATTTAGGAAAAACAAAAACAGATTTATTTAGTAAAAATGAGTGTATCTTTAAAACTTCAAATTTGATTGTTCCATCTTATCATACATAAGAAATTCCTTCATATCCTAAGATATAACTACCTATTCAAAAGAAAAGATAGATAAATTTTATGTAAGATTAAAAAGACTCAAAGAATATACCTAAGAATTACTGTAAAAGCATAATAACTTTTGCATGTAAGGATCAATAAAATCTATGCTTCAAAATTTTAAAAGACTAATTGAAGGTTGTCAAATTTTTAGATAAGATTTCCTAGTATAAAAAATAATTACTAAATATTAAGATTTTTAGTACTTTATTATAAAAATCAGATGATCCTGAGGAAGAAGAATATAGAAGAGCATTCAGAATAATTAGGTATAATTGTAGATATATTAGTAGTCAAATTTTTATTAAGAAATAGGCTATTAATTATATATTTAATTCGAAAATTGTTTAACATAATTGGCATATGAGATATAGATTATAAATTTACAAGGGAGTAAAGAATCCTGATAATTTTTCTCATATTAAGAATTTATGATGTTAGTTTACAATTGAACTGTTATGGTTATATATATTATTTAATATACACAACCATATTATTATGCCAAAGAAGTTCTCTATCAATCCTAAGTAAATTTTTGGTTCTTATAAATAATCAAAGAGCTTAAGCCGCTAGAGAGAAAGAGACTGAGAAAAAGGAGAGTATGAAGATTAAAAAGAAATAGAAGGAAGAAGAAGAATATTGGAAGGAAACAGATAAGAATATTATATAGAAGTAAGAGAGACAGAGATAGAAGGAATTAGAGGAAGAGAATAAGAGAAAGAGATAAGAGGAAAAGAAATAATTGTATGAGAGTGAGATGAATGCAATAGAATCAAGTATGTGTACTAATATCAATTGATAAATAATATAAGGGTGCTATATCAAAGAAGCAATTAAAAGAAGAATAAGAAAAAATATTTGCTTAGCGTTTATAGAATGTAGAGTTAGGGGATGAATAGAGTGAAAATGAAGAAGATTAATAGGAATAAGTAGAATAGTAAGATGATAATTAATTTCTTTAATAAAATAAATAAGATCAATAAATAAATTTAGAAAAACTTTAAGAAATTTGGGATTCAGATTAAGAAGATTTTGATGAGGTAAATTATTATCTATATAATCATATAGACAATAGGATAAAATTAGAATCATATTTTAAGAGAATAATAAAAAAGAGATAAAGAAAAATATGAATAAATTATTGATGCTGATGGAATAGGTTAATTTATTGATGCTATCGATGGGAAAGGCCCTTAATAATTGGTAATTTAATAGAAATATTAGAATAGAAATTTAAAGAATACTGTCGTCAAAAATTAGGGAAGGTTTAGAAGGAGAATCCTTAATTAAGACATTCATAAATAATGGAAATGATTTATAAATAGGTAAAAGTCATAAAATATAATTAAAGTGGAAAATAGATCCTCTAAATCCTAAGAACTAATGATTTATAATAAAGAATATTGAATTAAGATTTATTATCTTATGCATTTAATGATATATGCTTACGTCATTCCTATTTAATATAATTGATATGAAAATATACTCTAAATATATTATTAATTAATGGGATTATGTGAGAGTAGGGAAACAGAGCATAAAAATTAACAAGGAACTGATAGTTTTATTAAATCCTCTCAAATTTCCAAAAATTTATTAACTTAAGATAATCAATAAGGAAACTGTCTTCATTTTAAATATGAGACTGTAATAATACAAGATAATTTGAAAACTATTGCAGAGGAAAGTATAATATTGTAAAGTAAGTATTTTAGATAATAAATAGAGAATAAGAATACTTAGTTAGATAGATAAATTGAATATTAATCTACAGCTCCATCTCCTTAAGCTTCAATAGATATGAAGTAGGTGTCTTAGTAGATTCCTTTGATGATATAAAATCCAGCTGGAACATGGAGTTTATAGACACATATTATAAAACATGGAGGAATGTATGAAGTATCAGTAGGTAAGGAATGTATTGGGATGTATGAAGAATGGAAATTAATTTTAAATCATGAAGGTCCTATAGTAAATTAAGATAGATTTGTGGTAATTCAAAATTTATATAAATTTTTAGTTACATCATTTGTTGACTGATACATTTTTGGTGGCTGAAGAAACTCTATAAGGTGAATATAAGGTTGGTTGTATAGCTAGTAAAACAATAAAAGATTAGGCTATCTGGTAATTAGAAATAGGTACAGATATTCTATATGAGAATACTTTTATTAGTAAATTAATATATAATAAAGTAGAATTACGTCATAGATAATCAAAGTTATATTTATCAAGAACAAGTGAAAATGGTTCAATGGAGAATCATAGATGTGTAGCACTAACTAAATTTGATCCAATCAATAGTTTTTGGTTAGTCAAATTAAAATGATACTTAATAATTCACTTAACTTATAAGAAAATCTTTTCAACTTATTCAATATCGTGTTATACACCAAATATTATTTTATTTTGTTCTTCAATTTTGAATGAAAGTGTTTATAATTGTTTTGTAATTATATTATTGACTTCTTAAAAATTCAATTATAAAAATATATTCATTCGTATATCAAGTGTTATCAATTTAGGATTTATTCTATTCATTAGAATTGTGTTTATAAAAATTCAAAATTTTAGAATGTATTACCTCCAACATTCATTTTAGTTTGTGATTATCCTTTTTAATTTTTAATGAATTCTGTAACAAGTTAATAATCATCTTGTTTGATTTATAATTATATGAGTTTGTATAGAGCTTTTTCAATATCAATTTTAAGTTTTTTGTGGAAAGTCTAGTATTTGATGATTTGTTCATAATTTAATTATTCAATCTCAGTCATATAAATTAAAATAAATGTCTGAAATATTAGATGATGAACAAGCTTATTTGAAAAGATGGTATAAGTTTGCTAAAATTCATAAAACCATTCCACCTCCTAAAAAAGATACACATCTTGAATCACTTTGTTACAGAATCAAAATTAGAGATGTGTATAACATTCCACCCAAAAAGGATGTATAGTAATCAATAAGAATACTGTTAAATTTATACAATTCAAATACAAAAGAATTTTTTGGTAGAACTTATGAATCTCCATTTTTGGAATTGAACTATTCATAAGCAAATCAATAATTGGAACATCCAGAGGTTTTCTGTTACTTTCATTTACGTTAAATTGAATCCATTTAAATTGCTGCAGAAATTGTTTTATTTGGTATTAATAATCTAAATATTTAGAGAAAAAGGATCAAGTTATATAAAATAGATTGATAATTGGTTGGTGTTTAGGTGAAATTGGTTAAGAATAAAAATATACTCTAAAAAGAGGTTCATCTCGATTCTTAATTAGTAATCAAACTAATGTAGAAACAGTTGGATAGACATTGTGGATGGATATAGTTGAGAATAAGGAATTTACATAAATTAGAAATTTGGTACCTGAAGGATGTCTATGTGGATATGGAGATGAAGTATTAGGAGTTCATGGATATCAAATAATACAATAATTATCCTTAATGTAAGAATAAATTGCATATGTAACATCAATTGAAATATTGGTACCTACTTCTGTAGATCTTTTGATATCAGAGTATCTAAAGAAGTATAAGGAAATCAAATATAAAGATGATGGACCAAATGATGTCCATTTTTTAGCTAAAAGATTGGTATTTACATTTCATAATGGATGGAATTATACAAATACAAGAGGATTAAATAATTTCATAACTTTGGAAGAATCTTCTTTTTAGAAAAGTATTGATAACTAAAAGATTGATTATAAAAAACTTACATTTAAAGGTGCTCTAGATGTAAATGGAATTTATTAAGAACCTAAATTAGGAGTCTTTATTATCTAATTAGAATATGATGTTGAATTTATGGTTACAAATTTAGGTAAATAAAGAACTACTGTATTATGTGGTTGGTTACCATTAGTACCTAAATCTACTTTTGAAGAAGAATTTATTGTTGGACCAGGAAGATCTCTTAGTAATTAAGTATTAGTAGATTTAAGTGATATTAAATATCCAATAACAATATCTGGAAAAATTAATTTTGGATCTATTTAATCTTAAAATCTACCTGGACCCATTATTAATTAATAGGTTTTTTAACCAATGGATGCTCCAAGTTTAGTAAAACTACCTGAATAAGGTGGTTAATAACTTGGTATGGATGATGATTAAAGAAAAATAAAATAATTAGAAAATACTTTAAAATGTATAAAATTTATTATTATTAAAAATTTATAGAACTTTAATAAGATAGATAAGTAAGTGCAACAAATTTAGCTATGGATTTTGAAAACAAACTTAAAATTGATAAATAAAAAGAATAAGAATATTAGAAAATGGTAGAAACTATTAAGAAATAACATGAAGAAGAAATATAAAAAATATTAGAATAATATGAAGATTTAAAAAAAATGATGACTGATATTAATCAAACTTAATAATAATATTTAACAAAAGCATAACCAACATCAGCATCTTTATTAGGATAATAATAAGTATTGTAAGATTAAAAAGAATTAGAAAAATGGAGAATTATAGAATCTATGACATCAGTTCCTAGAAAAACATTTTATAAAACTTAATAATAAGATTTAATGGTTGAAGCTCAATTTGGAGGTTAAGCACTTTCAAGAGGAGATATTGCATTTCTCAGTTAAAATGGAGTGAGAGAATTGTTTATATAACATACAGATTATGTTGAAAATGATGAAATTAAATAAAAATCACTTTAATATGAATTAGCTGATCATAGATAATCCATTACTGTATTTATTTAATTACTCTCATTTAAACCAAGAATTACTATGAAATCTAAAGATCTTGAACCTACTGTTTATCATTATTCAGAAGAATCAAGAATTCCTTCTAGATTATTCATGATAGTTAATTTTTATGATTTTCCAGAATATATTACAGAACCATTAATTTATGAGAATGGATTTGATAAATCTTCTTATACTAGATGTTTAGAATAATCTATACCATTTCTTTTAATAAGAGAATAATTTTTGAAAACAGGTGCTTCTTATAAAGAACCTGTTTTTAAATTTGAAATTGAACCATCATCTATTGGATATCCTAAAGCTTATAAATATTTTTGTGAATATTTATTTAATAAATGTATAACAATAGAAATTTGGGATTTTGATTCCATGATGATATTTGGAACTATTAGACTTCCTTTAAGATAATTATTAAGGTAAGGATAAGATGCATCTGTTGTAATGAGGAAAGCAGATATTATAGATAAAGAATTTAAAAAAATCAAAGGAGAATTATAAGTATTAATTAAATGTGTTGGTAAAGAGGATAAAGTGACTGAAACATTAGATAATAACAGTTAGATGAAAAGAAAAGTGATTTCAACTAAAAGAGTTGAACCTTTGCATGTATTAGAGGATGAAGAGAAAGAAATAATTAAGTAAGATCCAAATGAAAGAATCAAGGAAAGAATTAAAAGAATAAGAAGATAAGAAGTTCCAAATGATGCAAATACTAATAGTACAAAGACTTTAATGGAAATTACAAAAAGAAAAGATTTATCTAAAAATGCTTTTGTTCATTCTGTCATTTAAAGTCATTTAAGTGATGAAAAAGTGATACATCCTTTCTTTGGAAAAGTAGAAATAATTGAACTTGAATTCAGAAATCCTTATGCAACTGGATAAAATTTTGTTATTTCAATTGATGATTAAGAGGTTAAATGTTCAGGTATTTAAGAAATTCATTTAATTCATTAACCTGTGGAATGGAAATACTATGTAGATTTGTACAATCATTCAAAACCTTAGGAATTCAATATGATATAAGCTAATCAAAATAATTTTACTATGTTTTTAACAGCTAAAGAAAAAGTTGTGCTTTTATTTAAATATTAAACTTTTAGAGAGGTTAATTAAGAATTTACTGAATTATAAAAGACTGAAGAATTATTTACTATTAAAGGCAAATAATTTCTCACTTAATACAGTTATCCTAGGTAAGTTGCTGTATTTATCAATACAATTGAAGGATAATGTGTTGGAGGAATGAGAATAAAAATATTTCCTCATAATAACACTATAGATCATGTTTATAGATTTTATGAAAGAGATAATAGATAAGTATCTATTTAATTTCCAGCTTTATATGGATATACAGTACCATCACCTGATAAAAAACCTATTTTATTTTGTAATAACGATCAATTAGTAGTTGAATGGGCTAATGAATTTGAAATAAGAATTAGTTTACGAATGCCTGAAGTGAATAAATAAACAGTCTTCTATATTTTAGCATATTAAGATACTTATTACAAAGAATTAATAGCTAATTGGTAAATAAAGCTTACAAGTTTGGCTGGGTATATTTATTAATTGTATATTTAATTTTAGTATTGGTATAGAAGTACCTTTAGGATAAGTTTAAAATACAAAGTTAACAGTTCATGTAGAGATTTCAAGATAGGTTAAATTTTATTCATCACATCCAATATGTGTTTGGTTTCCATAACCATATGATTAGTTAGTCAATTTAATACCAGGAAAAATAAATATTGCTAATTTATGTGTTAGATTATTTACTGAATAGATTCATAAAGTAATGGTGACTTGTGTAGATGAATAATCTCATGAATTAGTAAGAGGATGGATATTAAATATTTCACCAACTGTTCCACCAATTAGTTAGGTATTTGATATTCAAGCTCCAAGAGATTAAATGAAGACTTACATTGTTAAATATGCTAATAAATAAAATAATGAAGTCCTCTTAATTTTTAAATCATCAAATACATAAATTTTAAAAGTAATCATTTTTATTTTAATTATAGCTTATTGAGACTAGATATTTATTCAAAGCTTAATAGATATAAGATGTTACATTATAAATTCATAGAGTTGGTGAAATGGATAAAGCAGAAGTTAAAGTTTTTATTGGTGATGAAGACAGATCAAGAGATACATTTGATTGTTTGTTATTTAGAATCACTTATATTTGAATATAGAAATTTATACACATTTGAAATTGATCAATCTTATTATTCATAATGTTCTTCATCTGAAACTTCTGATATTCTTGGTGGTTAATTGTTTTATTTTTTATAATTGTTAAATTCTAATATTTCTTAATCTTCATCTAAAAATGGATCTAATGTATCTGATACTTTAATATTTTGTAAATCTTCATTTGATTTTTCAAATAACTATATATTTAATTTATATGTTACATTTAAATTGTAATATAATAAACTAGAATTGTTAAATGATAATCCAACAGTAATAATCATTTTTTAAACTTCATGATAATCAACTACTTATTTTTAATTCCAATAATCTTTAATTTTTTATTTATTTTAATTTAATTATTCTTACATATTTTATTATTCCTATTCAAAATCAAAATTATTAAATGTGTCATAGATACCAATCAAATTTAAAAATTATTCAATCAATATATCTCCATTTCCTGTAAGACAGTTAAGAATTTAGATAATCTTTTTATTATCAGTGAATGAGAATGGTTCTCTAATTTAATACTAATATTAATACTAACTCAAAATATGATGAAAATCATCTAATCTTATTTAAACATTTTATTCTTTAGCTTATTATTTTAATCCATCAAACATTTCATTTAATTATTTTACTGTTATACCTCTAAGTATTAATTTAAACTTTAATTCAGTTAAAATTAGTTAATGAAGTGCACTTAATTTTAAATGAGATGAAGGTTTCTTTAAAATAACAAAAGCTTTTTCTCTATCTTAAAGCATTTTTATAGTGACTTTAAGATTAGTTTTCTCTGATATTAATTTCTTATTTTATGCTGACAACATATTAATCTTCTTTTCATGTTATTAGATACTAGTCTTATTCAAAATCTATTTAATATAAAATTAAGTAAAAATTTACTTGCTGTTGTTTTAACATTTCTTCAAGTTATTAGATTTTAGTATTCAAATTTTTGTTCTCATTAGAATTAGTTTCATTAAGCCTTTATAATTTTGAAATATCAACTTAAAGTGTTTAGAACCATTATAATTTTTGATTCAAATCGTTTATTTATTTAATAGCATTTTCATAACAAGATTTCAATTTAGCATATTCTTCAATTTAAACTTTATTTTCACATTCTAATTCTGCTATTCTAGTAATTTTAGCACTTCTTTTTAAATGTTCAATCTATTCAATTTTTTCCTTTAATTATTATGATAATTCTTTATTATGTTTTCTCAATTGTATTAAAAGTAAATCAGAGGATTTGTTCAATGATCCACCACATAATTTTTCATACCTAACTAGATCTTTATCAAATAATATTATTTAAGTTTTCAATTTAGTGTTCTCATTGATTAGTTTATTGTTTTCAACTTTTATTTGTTACAATTCTTATTACATGCGTTCTCGATCATCATAGAAGAATATTTTATCATAAGTTTGATCGACAAGTTCTTTACGTCGAATATTTGTCTCTGCAGTGGAACTTGATCTATCATTAAGCTTTCGTTACATAATTAATTATTATAAATGCATATCAGAGATCATCATATCTACGAATAACTTCATATCCTTCCATAACAGCATTAATGTATCGTTCATATTTCTTTAACATATCCTCATATAATTTCATATTTTCTAATCGTTATTCCTTAGATTACAATTTTTATTGTATATAGTTATTATCATCATCAAGTAAAGCAGTTCTCATTTGCAAATCTTATACTTCAAGTATGATATCCATAGACTTTTCCATACAATCACTCAAACGTTTCTTACAATTTCTAATTTCTTCATATTCTTCAAAAGACATTGAAGGATTATCTTTGATTTATTGAATTGGAGAAAATCGATTGCAAATTTGTAATACATGGCAAAGGAGAACACCTTCTTCATCACGTTAGTTAAAAAGTTAAACAATATGCATGCGATAATGAGGAACATCAAGGCATGTAGTAGTACTACAAACTATGTAGGATACTTTCGGACAATGTTTTGGAAGTGGTGTTTAAAAGTTCATTTTTTTCCATTTGAACACTTTTTTTGAATTGTCTTTTAGTCTTGGAAATCCTAAATTCCTTAAAGAAGCTTTTCTTAAAAAGTATAAATAACCATCTATAATATTGAATTTAAATATAATTTACTTTTTGGTTCATAATAAATATCCTCTGGATGTTCATCAAACATAGGTATTGTATGATCTTTTCCATTTATTAATAAATCTTCATACTCATTGCCTAACAAAGACATATATTATAAAAATACCATTTAGCCAACGATAGTGATAAGGTGGTGATGCATATTAAGTGCTATCCATAATTAATTAAATGATTAAACATATTATGGTTATCTTACTTCATCCAATTCTTTACTTCAATTTATTTTGAACAAAAATTAATAATTTAATATTAAAGAGTAATATATATTTTTGTAATATAATTTTGATCCAAATAATATATATTTATCAATGATTCACTTATGTGGTATAGATGCGATAGACATCATCAAATGTATTCACTTCTTCTTACTTCAATTTTCTTTGTTCTTCATAGAATTATTTTGCAGCATCAATATCCTTTAATAAATATAGAATCATACTTTCAAAGCAACTTAATGAGCTACTGTAATTTATTTTAATCTAGCTCCACACAATATAGAAGCCTATCTTCTACCTGTTAATTAGTTTACTTATTTAACCTAATGATATTATTATATATTACCAAATAATCTTTTTCATATTAAATAGTTTTGTCAAAGAATTGATTTTCTAATTCAACATGTAATTTGAAATCAATAAATCCTAAATTAGATCTCACCTCATCATTGGCTCCAGTCTCTAAAGACTTTCTTGTATGATTTTCAATAGCATCTAATAATTTTCTGAATCCCTAATGTAATAAATAATAATAATACTTCCCAATTATCTGCAAATTCTTCATCTTCAGGTGGGACAACATCTCCAGTTGCATGAGGACCCTTTGGAGGAGGAGAAATAACAAAATGAGGTTCCTCATCAACATGATGATCTGGTTATTAATCATCAATAACAATTTAAGGATGATCATCACTAGAATCATCAGTATCATTAGTATCATCAGAATCATTAGTATCATTAGTATCATCAGAATCATTAGTATCATCAGAATCATTAGTATTNTGTAATACATGGCAAAGGAGAACACCTTCTTCATCACGTTAGTTAAAAAGTTAAACAATATGCATGCGATAATGAGGAACATCAAGGCATGTAGTAGTACTACAAACTATGTAGGATACTTTCGGACAATGTTTTGGAAGTGGTGTTTAAAAGTTCATTTTTTTCCATTTGAACACTTTTTTTGAATTGTCTTTTAGTCTTGGAAATCCTAAATTCCTTAAAGAAGCTTTTCTTAAAAAGTATAAATAACCATCTATAATATTGAATTTAAATATAATTTACTTTTTGGTTCATAATAAATATCCTCTGGATGTTCATCAAACATAGGTATTGTATGATCTTTTCCATTTATTAATAAATCTTCATACTCATTGCCTAACAAAGACATATATTATAAAAATACCATTTAGCCAACGATAGTGATAAGGTGGTGATGCATATTAAGTGCTATCCATAATTAATTAAATGATTAAACATATTATGGTTATCTTACTTCATCCAATTCTTTACTTCAATTTATTTTGAACAAAAATTAATAATTTAATATTAAAGAGTAATATATATTTTTGTAATATAATTTTGATCCAAATAATATATATTTATCAATGATTCACTTATGTGGTATAGATGCGATAGACATCATCAAATGTATTCACTTCTTCTTACTTCAATTTTCTTTGTTCTTCATAGAATTATTTTGCAGCATCAATATCCTTTAATAAATATAGAATCATACTTTCAAAGCAACTTAATGAGCTACTGTAATTTATTTTAATCTAGCTCCACACAATATAGAAGCCTATCTTCTACCTGTTAATTAGTTTACTTATTTAACCTAATGATATTATTATATATTACCAAATAATCTTTTTCATATTAAATAGTTTTGTCAAAGAATTGATTTTCTAATTCAACATGTAATTTGAAATCAATAAATCCTAAATTAGATCTCACCTCATCATTGGCTCCAGTCTCTAAAGACTTTCTTGTATGATTTTCAATAGCATCTAATAATTTTCTGAATCCCTAATGTAATAAATAATAATAATACTTCCCAATTATCTGCAAATTCTTCATCTTCAGGTGGGACAACATCTCCAGTTGCATGAGGACCCTTTGGAGGAGGAGAAATAACAAAATGAGGTTCCTCATCAACATGATGATCTGGTTATTAATCATCAATAACAATTTAAGGATGATCATCACTAGAATCATCAGTATCATTAGTATCATCAGAATCATTAGTATCATTAGTATCATCAGAATCATTAGTATCATCAGAATCATTAGTATTATCAGAATCACCTGTATCATCTGTATCATCTGAATCACCAGAATCACCAGAATCTGCATCCTCAACATTATTATTAGTTTCTTCTTTCTTTGATGATGTATCTTTATGTGTTGGTTTAGAACCAGAACCTGTTTTACCTCCACTTGGTTATGTACTTACTCCACCTCCATTGGTGATTTTAACATTAAGATCTCCAGAATCAGTTGTTCCATCATCATTTTAAACAACGACTACAGTTCCAATTTAATTATCACATCCTGGAATAAGAACAACTGCATTATTTGCTTTATCATCATCATCAACTTAATCCAATTAAGTCAATGCTCTAGGTCTGATTCTTTGAATAAGTGAAATTTCATCAAATGTACCTTATTCAATTTCAGGGACAATGAGATCTGATTTATCATCAATCTTTTCCATTAAATTGACTAATTATCCACTACGATAGAGTTTGACGAATTTGCTAACTCTATCATGGAATTATGTCACTTAAGCTAAAGATGATGCTCCTCCTTCTAATTATGTTAGTTCTTCTCTTAAAAATTTTACTAAGGCTAAAGCATATCTGAAATTTCTTATATCATTCACATAATTATTTGTTAATGCACATCTTCATATATTTAAAATATTCTTACATGCTTGCTTCCAAAACTCCTATTTTCTTTATATTTGACTTTTATCTTCCACTCATCCAATTAATGAAACTTTCACTAGCTAATATATCACTTTGCTTTTAAGCTATATCATCTTCTTTGTTTTGACATTCAGCTCTTTAATTCAAAACAGATTGATTAAGAGAATCAGCAACACTTTATTTCTCACCAATTCTTCTTTGCCAAGCTAGCTCTAATCCCTCTAATTCTAACTCAGCATTGTGCTTTAACTCAGCCAATAATTGTAATACGTTTTCCTCACTTGATGTACTTAGTGCCATTGTTAGCACCAAAGCCAATAACATATACTTCATTTAATTAATTTATACAAAAACGGATTAGAACTTCCCTTACTTTAATAGATTTTTTGCTTAACTCACTTCTCTGGATTATATTAGAAATTAATGAACAACGAAATCAATATAAGATAACTACTTTACTACAAAAATTATTCATTAAAAACATCTTTATTGTAAATTACAAATCCAACATCTCAATAAAGTATCTCTCTCATGACTCATTACTTGACTAAAGATTAACATACTGTCCATTCACAATAAGATTTAAGATTATACACAAATTTTACCAAATCCACCATCCTTCACCATATTAATCTTCATTACTGTAGTGTCATACTAATGAATAATTCAAATCTAATTACTACATACGTTCTACCTTTATTAAGATACAAGTACTCTCTACTAATCAAAAATTGTTCTATCAAAAATAGTCAAAATCTATTTCTAAACTTATACACTTATCTTAATAAATTAAGCAAGAAAATTAAATTATTATGGAATATTATAAATTGTGATTTTAAGAGTTTAAATCTTAATAAATGCAAGGATCATTTTGAGTATTACTAATTTAAATTACAACTTTATATAAACAATTATGTCGACTCAAAATAGAATTTCTATACTTAAACATAAATGTTTTTTTGAAGATATAAACTATTTAACCATTAAATAAAATTAGTAAACATATACAATATATATAAAGTCAAATTTAATATAATATGCAAGAAATTTATAGAATTTTATTGACAAACGAAAGCAATACTATCAGATTTTGTATAAACTGCAAAATATATATAAGTAGTCATTATTGCAATAAAAATTCAAATTATTTTTATGATATTATTAATTATACTACTTTATTACCTTAAACAAAATTTACAGTGTTGACCTTGACTATTTTAAGAAATATTTTATTTTGTATAGTTTACTCTGATCTTACATTTAAAAATTCATGGAATAATAAGTAAATTTATAAAAAGAGAGTGCTTCTTGGTTTATTTATGTATTATTTTAATAAAATTATAAATATCCTTTTAGCCAAAATTCCATTCCAAATACGAAAAGCAAAAAGAAAATCTATATAACTAATATTATGATTCCCTATCTGATTTATGCAACAAACTATTGAAAATTATCATAAATAATTGTCTTTTTATACAGACTCATTTTATGATGTTGAAATTTATTAGAATGTCAATAATAATTTAGAATAAAGACTAACTTATTATCATTTACAAAAATTATAAAAATAGTAGTTAATCAAATTAATTAAATTAGAAGATAGAACATATCCTATCTACTTTAAATTATAATCTTCTTTTGAATAATATCATAATAAAGATTCATCTTTAGATGAGACTTTTAACATGAAAAATTATAATAATTATTTCAACATCTTTCCCATTTATAATTGTATTAGATTAAACATTGTCTTAAATAGATATAAGGTATGAAATTATCAAAATCACAAATTATAAATCACATATGAAGATGAATAATATTAGATAGATTATTCCAATATAACGAAAAACCTTAATAATATCTAAATTTGAAAATTGTGAGAATAAGTGCACTAAAAATTAAATTATCTATTGTCTAAATCAAATTGGAAATAAAAAGACTAAAGATATGTTCAATTTGGATAATTTAAATGTTAAGATGAATTAATTCATATTTGAACCCTCTTACCATCATTTAATTTAATTGTCTATGAGTATAATAAAAAAATGAGAGGGCATGAATAAATTGATGCTAAAATCTCTTAAAATTTTAGATAAGTATTATCACAATTAATAAGCATATTATGATATACAAATCATTATTAATCAAGAATGATGCATTTCTACATGGCGAATAACTTGCATGATGTAAGGAAAGTTCATCCCACAAACTGGGCATAATTCAGGTTGGTATTATTTTTATAATTATTATTATTTTAATTTCTATTAGTCTAATAATTATTAAAAACTTGGTTCATTACTGACTTACTATATTTACGGCTATGGGATATTCTAATTTTATTGATCTTCAATCTTTTTCAAAGTAGGACATCTATGATCTTCTCTTTGTCTATGTTTAAGACAAATTTCCATGCCACAATCTTTACATTAAACTCTATTAAGATCTGTTAATTTATTTTTACAGATTGGGCAAAACTTTTTTTCTTTAGGTTGCTAAGGGCAATCTTTTTAGAAATGCTCTTCCCATATCATATTTTCATTTTAATCTGAAGTATAACTAATTCCCTTTTCACAAATTGGACATTTTAAGACCTATTTTTTAATTGATAATTTTGTGCATTCATGAGCTTCTGGTGTTCGATGTTCTTAGCAATATTCATTATTACAGAGAGAACAAGAATATGGAAGGAAATCCTTTTGTCTACAGATAGAGTATTAACATCTTTTTCCTATGTTGTAATCTAACATTTTGAGATAAGTATTGATTATTAATATTAATTTATTATATATAATTTATCAACAACATGTTTTATCCTTCTTTTCTGGTTCCGATTTTAGAGTTGAAGATGTGTTTGTTACTTATTTTGGATTCTAAAAGTATGGTCCTAATTTTATTCCATAAACCTTTTGTCAATAAAATTGTTACTTCTTATGTATAATCAATTGCCTTATTGTCAATTTTTACTAATATTCTTTAAGCGATATCCTCAAATACTTTATCTATATTCTATCCAGTTTTTGCAGATGTTTCCAAATAATTCATTTTATTTTATTAAGCATATTCTAGGGCCTCTTTTGTCGAAACTTGACGTCTTTATAGATCAATATATTTTTGTACTCTGATTCTAAATCTAATTTATTGCCAACTAAACTAACTTCTACAAATTCATGTGTGCAATCTAATATTTCATTATGCCATTTCATAACATTATAATAGGTGTCTTTCTTTGTTAAATCAAATACAAGAACTACTCCAATAGATCTAATTTATTTCAATCATACCCTTTATAATAAGATCTTGTTATTGATCTAAAGCTCTCTTATCCAGCCTTCAAATCATATATACAAAAATACAGTGTCCCAAATTTAAATCTTAATTGTCCTGTCATTGATTTTTAATAATTAACTTCCAAATTCTACTCCGATTGTAGTTTCATGGTCTTCATTAAACTTCTTCTCTGTATAGTTTAACAATATGCATGATTTTCCAACACTAGTATCACCAACTATAATATATTTAAATAGAAAGTGATAATGATCCATAAAATTAATTCGAATTAAATTTAATAATAATTCAATATCCAGATATCCTTAATATTCAATATATCTATTAATAACACTCATATGTATTCTATAGAAATAATTATAATTTTCTCTTATATTATATATAACAACAATTATTACATAATGATTCTACTGCAAAAAGTTATTTGAATAACCTGTTAACAACATCATAAAATGAAATTATATAGATACTTATTTAAGATGATTGATAAAAGATGTTAAATTTACTCAAAAATAAAATTTGAGCATATATTATTAAAGTTATTTGTTTGATAATTTCTTTTATGCTTTTGTGAATATAAATTATATTTTCATTAAGAAAATTAAATTTATAAGAATTTGCAATTCCATAAATCATTTAACTTTCTTTTGAAATTCAGATAATAATATTAGAAATTGTAAATGTAAATATAATTATTTGGAATTGAATATAGTTATATTTCAATTATTTCTGACAGATTTAGGCCTCTCAATAAATTCTTAATGCTTTAATAATGACCTATATTTTATAGGATATATTAAACCATTCTATGATCAGATAATATTAATTGTAAAATTGTTTAAAACAAAAACTTAATCTATATTCATAAAAATCATAAATTGTAAAGAAAGTTAATCAATGAAATAAGTCAAGAATTATCAAAGATTAACCTGAATTTAATGATTTTTTTTTTATTGTTATCACATCAAAGATTTTCAAACAAAAATTTTTTTAATTATTCTAATATCAATAATGACAATTAAATACTAACTTAAATAGATCATTAATTTATTTATTTTTAATTATTATTAAAATGTTTAAAAATTGTATATAAATTAAAAAAATTCTTATCAAAATCAAACTCTACCATGTAATAGAAAAGAAGATAAATATCAACTTAGATGTTTATAAATTACAGAAGAGAGAGAAAAGTTCATTTTTGAAATTTATTTAAAGAATAGGATAAATTACTAAATAGATATATATTATTTCTATAAATAAAGTTATAAGTAAGTAATAAAAGGTTAGTAACTTTATTTTGAATTATATTCACTTATTTATTTTGAAGTGAACAAAAAAAGATATGTATTCACAAAGAAATTTTAAGATATTCTCTTATTTAAACTGTAAAGTTTATGAATGAAAAGAGATTTAATTTATTTAAAATGTGAAAGAAATCAATCATAGGATTAAAACTTATGAGATTAATTTATTAAACAAGTATACTAATAATTATTATAATTTTTATTTGAATTAGAGTTATATTATACAAGAAATAATAGTGAGATTATAATTAAAATATAATAGAATTATCATATTACAAATTATCTAAGATCATTAATTTAAAATTGATTGATGATTATTTAAGACTTAAAAATAGTATTAATAAGATAGTATTCTCATTATAGGAAATTTAGATAAAATCTTTAATTAATTAAGTATTGACTAAAATTATAATAATATTAATAATTTTATGAGCAATAATGCATAATTGTTACCATCTGAATGGGAGTATCCAGAGTAAAATCCAGATTATAAAGGAAATGATTTAGATAGGAGATTAGAATAGGGTCCAATAGAAGATAGAGGATGTACAGATTGTATATGGTGCATTCTATATTTAATAATGTGGGGAGGTTTAATTACAATAGGAATAATTGCATTGTCTAATGGTTCACCTGATACTTTATTTTTACCTTACAATAGTGTATTTATATATAAATAATGAAAGGATGGTCAATAATGTGGAGTTAGTGAAAATTTTGAAAGTTGTCCATACTCATATTTAATGAACACCACATAAATTGATGATACTTAAAATGGAAATTTTTAATTTTATTGTGTAGTAAGCTGTCCATCAAATGTGAATGAGTAAGTTAATTATTGCACAGTAAATGGTATTGAAACATTAGATACATTATATGGAACATACGATTGTATATATTAATATATGATATTATAATAGATATGTCTGTATGTTCTCCTTATAAAAGTGATCCTTATTGGGATTTAACAAAAGATTTCTTTACTTTTACTGCAAGTGAAGCAGATTTCTAAGATATTGGAAAGACATGGGCAATTTCATTATTTGTTTGTGTCATAACCTTGATTTTAGCGTAAATATAAAAATAATGAAAATAGTAATTTCATCATGTTTTTGGTGAAGAAGTGTGCATCATGTTTAGTTTGGGGTGTGCTTATTTTATACTTTTCATTATTAATTTTATTTGGTTTTTTGTTTTATTATAGTGGTAAAGGAGATTTTTCAAATGCACATTTTGGAAATAGTTATGGATGGTGTTTAACAATAGCAATAATATTTTGGAGTATTGCAGGGTAAAAATATTGAATAATTTTAGAATTTCATTTTTAATGTTGGGATGCTATTATAAAAGGATTTATTTAGCTATAGCTGTAATAAAGGCAGCAGCAGATTTTACTAGAGATGTATGGTAGGTAGTAATAGTACCATTAAGTATATTTGGAGTAATGATAGCATTCTTAATATTTTGGATATATAGTACAACTTATTTAATGTCATATGGATCTCCAGAATATAATAAAACTCCATTTCCTGAAATTGATCTTAATTCTGGAGTAATAGGAATGATTATTGGTAATTCAGTAGCATTTTATTGGAATTGTTAATTTGCAATGGCATTTAGTTAGTATGTAGTAGCTAGTTGTTGTTGTATGTGGTATTTCCATCATATGGGAGTTAATTTACATCGTCCAGTATTCAAAAGTATAAAACGAGGATTGATGCATCATAGTGGATCTTTAGCTTTGGGATCTTTGATTTTAACATTTGTAGCTGTATTAAGATTTACCTTTGATTTGTTACATGTATAATAGTAATGATATAAGTTAGAAAATATTTAAATAAGGAGTTTAATAGAATAAGGGAGCTACTGGATGTTTGAAATGTTGGTTTGGATATTATGGATGTATAATACATTGTTTTGAGAGATTCATAAGATTTATTACTTAAAATGCATATATAATGGTTGCAATGACAGGAAAATCATTTTGTAAATCAGCTCATGATGGTTATTATTTAATATTTCGACATAAAACTGCTGTTGCAATTACAGATGGTATTGGTGAAATATTTAGTACATTGGCTAATTTATCAATTGGGATAACAGCAACATTTATTGGATTTATTATGATCACATAGATAGATCATTATTCAAATCAAATTTCATCTCCTGTATTACCAACAGTATTCTTTGCCTTTATCTCATTGACATTATCAAGTATTTTTATGAATGTTTATGGAATGGGAATTGATACAATATTATTATGCTATATGGCAGATAGAGAATTATTCTCTACAGCAAAATCAGTTCCATAATCTCTATAAGAGTTTTTAGATAAGTATTAAAAATGAATTATAAATAAATAATATGATATATTTGGGTAATATTATTTATGCCATCATAATCCTAATTGTGAACGTAGCCATCCAAAATTGTGTTCAATTAGTTAAATAATTTAATTGACAACTTCAATTTCTTTTGTTATTCGTTATGATTAATGTTTAGTTTATTAAAATATATTATTGCAATCTTGCTTGATATCATTAACTTATTCTTGTTTTAACTAATATAAATTGATGAGTACATTAATTCTTTGATTAATTTCATTATATTCCAATTCTAATTATTTAACAAGATGTTCAGTTTCATTAATGTTATCTTAGATTTCATCCAAAAATTATAGAACATTATCTAATTATTATTAATATAATGTGATTAAATTTTTGGTTTATTCTTCTTTTTCATCAAAATATTTATCTTCTAATGACATCATATCTGTTGTAAAATCAATCAAATCGTTTAATAAAGGTTTTAAACTTTATTGATCAATTTTCAGAGACAATGGATTTCTAAACTTAAGAATATAATAAATGTTACTTTTGATTTACATAATCATATCTTCTCTCTTATAATTAAATTGTTAATTTATGATATTATTCTTTTTGTATATTCTCTCTATTTTGACAAATCTCTATATTTTTTATTAATAACTCCTTCTCTTTCTTTTTAGTTTACATCATATGTTCAAATTATTCAATGTGAGGTTTATGTGCATAGATCTCTTCTCGTACATCATACTATTTATTATTTTCACAACTACTTTATTCTCCTTCAGTTTTGCAATCAATTCCTCTAACGATTCAACATTTTACATGCACTCATCTAATTTAGATTTTTAGAGTTTATTAGTATTATTCCTTTATTTTATTAGTTTCTCTGTATATTTATAATCATTTATTATTACCATTAATTCCATTCAATAATTACAATAAATCTCCTGTAGGTTCATCTGCCTAAATGTGTAGTTAAACTGTTTCTAATAATGTTGATCCCAATTCTGTTTCTCGCAGCTAATCTAATTGAGCATATACAACCGATACAAGTATCAAAATTATCATATCGAAAAACGATATTAAAAATATTCATATATATAAATACATTTTTAACATAATCATCAACCAGTTATAATTATACACCTTATATTCATAATTTAAATACTTATTTTTAATATTAATAATATGAAATTAATTATTCTATTGACATTCATCTTTTTAGTCAATTCTGCAGATATAAAAACATGTCTATGTTCAAACCTATACACTGAATTTGACTGTAGTAATGCTGTCTCTTTTCAGGCAGCTAGCCAAGACTTATTTGATGTTAAGGCTTGTATATGGCTTGAAGGATAATGTATAGATATCATTAAGGATTTTGATTTTCCTTGTGTTTTACTTGATGAAGATACATGTAATAATGTACCTTCATGTGCATGGTAAAATTTACAATGCCAAAAATTTACAAAATGTTCAGATTATACATATGAAAAAAGTATTCTATCTAAATCTTGTGATGATATTAGTTGTTTAGATAATGGAACTTAATGTGCTTTTGATATAATAGGACGAAATGAATAATATTGTGAAGATATAGCCTTTGAAGAAGATTGTTCAAGAATATATTTATTATATAAGAAAACTTTATGTAATTGGAATGGGTCTGCATGTGTAGGACAAAGATTATCTTCTTGTTCAAGTTTAACAGAAAAATAATGTTTATAAGCTAATGCCTAATGTGCTTGGAAAAATTCTTCATGTGTTAAAAGAACATGTGAAGATGGGCAATATCCCTTTTATTAGTCAGAAGGAGTTAAACTATGTTCAAGTTACTTAGATATTGAAACTGATTAGATTATGTATTGTGAAATAAATGAAGATGGATTATGTGCAACATCAAATCCTGAAGATTTAGATAGAAGAAATTGTTATGCATAATCCTTTTAATAATATTTCTGGAATCCAGAAGATGAAGAATGTTAGATGTGCTTATGATCAGAATATTATAAAAATTTAAAATTCAATTTTATGCTTATATATCAATATTAATCATTTGTCTTCAATTTCTAATGATTAAATTCTATAAATAACATTCACAAAAGGTTTAATAAGAAGAGTAGAATCTGAATTCATTGGAAATGAATAATTTAATTTATAAATTTAATGCAGAATAAATTCATTATTTATATAATATCAGAATTATATTATTAGTAATTATAATAAAGTATTCATATGATACTACCTTATTTTTCTTAATAATATTATATTCTCTAATTTTTGATCATTTTCAAAATATATTTATTGTAACAACTAAGTTTGAATAATGATTGAATAGAAATTTCACTTCTGCCATTACTTAGAAATATGGCATTTTCTCTAAAATTCATTATATTAAATATAATGTAATTTGTTATTATGACTTCAAATTGGTACTGATTTAATTTTATGAAGTATAATTTGAATTATAAACTTGATATATTTGAACTTATTCTTTTTGGATAAAAATATACATTTATATTGTGATTTATTTTATAATTTCTGACATCATTTATACTTTTACTGAGAATACTTAATGGAATCATGAGTTTTCATGTTTTATTTGTATATTTTATATTAAATCAACAATAGTGTTTAAAAATATAATTCCAATATATATAATTATTGATATAAGTAAATTATACATCAAATAATCAAAAAAAGTTAATCTAAAATAAATACATTTATGAGACCATGTTAATGTTTTTCATTCTAAAATAATTGTTTTTTTTACTCAAAAATAAATAAAATAAAATAATAAATAATTATATTATTATTATGTTAGTTTTTACGTTTCGATTAAAATTTATTTAAAACTGTATATTATGTTATTATATATTAAGAAAGAACTCAAACATATTTCATACAGTTCCCAATTATGGAAGTGAAAGTTAAGAACAAATCTTAAATCTTCTATTTAGCTTCTGGAAATAGAACACTATTTTCAATAAGAGCTGTCATTCTTTATTCCTCTGGCCAGATTTTAATAATTTTTCTTCCCATCACTCTTTTTTCTTTGTCCTTTATGGCAAGTTCTTCTTCAATTTCCCTTGGTACTATTGAAGCTTCCGAATCTTTGAGACTTTTATAATATCGATTCTTAAGCATATTCATAGTTTTTCCAGGGAAGTACTTAGTAATCTTTTAAAATTTAGGACCCAATTTTTTCACTAATAACAGAAGGATTCTATCTTCTTCTGGTGAGAAAAATGAATTTGAGGCTTTAACCTTAGAATCTAGGTAGCTTCTTTGTTTTTCTTTAATGTATTTATATAAGGCACTGCTCCGATCCTTATCACCATATAGAATTGGCTTTCTTCTTTATCTAGATTACTTAGGCTTAAATTTAGGTAAGTTTAGAGTAGTTTCTGAATTTTAAGCAACCTAGTTGATTAATTATAAGGATTCAGTATATATTTAGCATTCATCTATGATAGAAGAATCCTGGTGATGTTGTTCAAGGCAAATCATTTAATTTAATTATTAAAAAAAATGGGAAAATATCTTAATTTATATAGTACTAAATAATACTTGTGGTTTTAAATATTCTGTAGCAATTATATTTTGCAATTTCTGTACATTAGGCTTGAAGTCATTTTAAGAATTTCCTTATTTTATATTTAAAAATTACTAGAGCTTGTATTTATTATAATTTTATAAAGAGAAGTGTTTTTACCAGAAAAACACTTTCTCGTGCTTATTCTATAATTTTATGAAATAAACAAAATGATCTCAGATAAAATCGCTTACAGTTTAAATCTCATAAAAATTAATCGATTATTTGAAGATTTTGAATCATATGAATAAATCAGTACATAAAATTAATTAGGAATTAGTTGTAAGAATTAGAAATGAATGAGTAAAAACTATTTATTAAACATGTAAGATTTATAGAATATTTGAAATAGCAAATAAAGGTAATATTTAGAAAATTTAGAAACATTACAAAAACTGATAGACAAAAAAATTACTCTTAAATTTTAGATTTTGAGAATGTATTGAAATGTTAAACTTATTCTGATAACAATTAGAAATTAATGAAAAAAATATTACAATATTATATCCTAATTTACATCTCCAATATTCTTAAATAATTATTTTAAAAATCATTTGGTTTTATATAATTTACTGCTAAATTATAAAGTTCAGATTATTTAAAAATAAGTTTGAATAAATAAGTAACTTATCTTAATTAGTTGAATAAATATAACAAATTTTATTGTTTTTGATTTCTATTACAATTATTTAGATTATATTTGAATTACAAAATTTTTTGCTTGTTTTTAGTCATTTATTTTTAGGTTAATTATTATTTTGTATGCCTTTTAGACATCCTAAAATTATTTAATAAAGTTTCTACATATAATCTAGAATTTATTTTTATACTGTTAATAATGTTTTTATAAATATATGGTTAGAATCATTTTCACTTTTTGCAATTGCTAATTAATTGTTAGAAGGAGGATAAAAAAGTATGTAATATTTCTTTGGCTTCAGGAAAGAGAGGACTGCCTTCTATAACTGAGCTCATTTATTTATGTTAGGGCCACAAATTTAGTATTTTCCTTCCAATAATTCTCTATTCATTTTTGTTTGCAAATAACTCATCCTCCAGTTCTTTTGGAATTTCTTAAGATTCAATATGACGAAGAGACTTATAATATCTGTTTTTAATCATATTGACTGTTTTTCCTGAGAAATACCTGGTGATTTTGTTGAATTTGGGTCCTAACCTTTTTACAAGTAAAATTAATATTCTGTCTTCCTCAGCTGAAAATTAAGAAATTTAAGACCTCGGTTTATAATCAAGGAATGCCTTTTGTTTCTCCTTTATATATTTATAGATTGCACTGCTTCTATCTTTCTATCCATATTAAATTGTTTTTCTTCTTTATCTAAAATGCTTTGATTTGAAGATTCCTTCATCTTTTGAAGAAATTTATTTTAGATGCTATTCTGTTTAATGAGAGCTTTCCTCTTGGTTAAATGAAAAGCTTAAATTAGATAGCTAGAAACATTCAAAAATCATTTTTTAAATAATATTAATCCATTCTTCAAGATCTCTAAATGAAGTTAATATATATTAGATACACAACTCTCAATAATTATATTTTTATTAATAAGTGTATTACAATTCTAGAATAAACTGTCTATAGATTGATGAAATTTAGTTAAAGGTAATATTTAATACATTATAATTAAGATTTAAAGAAATATAGAAATTTTGAATCTGACACAATAAACTGAATTTAATAATTAATATTAATTAAGTTGTTTAAAAAACCATTTCTTCTAAATTTGTTTAATAAAAGCAAATGTTCATCAAATTTTAAGGTCATGAATAAAATATACTATTTAGATCTACTTAAATGTAATTGAGATATATAATATTATAATTTATATGTTAATTATTATAATTTCAAAATTTTTAAACTTATTAATTAAGTTTCCTCTTATCTCTCTCTAAATATTAAAAAACTTTTACTCAAAAGCCTCAAATCTACTAAAGACAAGTTTACTATAATTTTATTAAATTAAAATATATTTTCTTTTTATATTTATTAAATAAACAAATAATGATTAATTTATTAACAAAAGTAAACTAATTCTTTCTTTTAACTCTCTCATAAACTTATTATTATGTAGAAGTTATTAATTTATATTAAAAAATTATTTTAATTTGATTTACAAAAACATTATAAATTCATTTATTATCTATTATCCATCTTACTTATATATTTTAATGAAAAATGATTATATGGGTAATATGATATTACAGATAAATTCATATAATTATGAAATTTTTTTTTAACCAATAAAATACTTATAAAATAGCATATTAATAAATAGAAATTAAAGATATTTATTGTCAAATATAATTAATGATACATTATGTATAATGAAATAGTTAAAATTTATGAAATATTATTTAATTTATTATTATTTTATAATAAAAATGGACTCAGGAGGAGCTAATACCTTTGTAGTTGAACCAAAGGATGAGGAAAAGTAAAAAATATATAAAATTGATTTAGATTTTATCCATCAAAAGTTAGAAAAGTTATTTAAGAGATTATGGATGACAAATTAAAAAGCGAAACTTATGATGCAAACAATACACCTATACTTGCAGAGGAACTAGTAAAGAGAATAAGAAGTAAAATTAGAGATTGTAAGAAGATTGAAGTTATATATAGCTATCAAAATGCCAAGATTTAAAATTGCTGTTTAAGTAGTAATTGGAGAAGTTAAAGGATAAGGATGTCAAGTCACATCAAAGAACCTTTGGGATCCTACTTGGGATAATTATGTTTCTCATATCTTTTAGAATGTAATCTGAAATTAAATTAATAAGGAAACAATTTATGGAGTGGCAATTGTTTTTGGTGTCTATTATGAATGAGACTTTTAATATTAAAAATTAATTATAATTATTATATTTAAATTTTGGATATAAGAATAACCAAATCTATATTTATTATCTATTTATTGGGTAAAGGTAATTAAAATCTAAAGGAATCATTAATAATTCATACTATTTGAAAGAAATGAACGATATTAATAGAATGATGCTAGATATATTCTCGAGATGCCATCTTCGTATAGTGGTTAGTACTTAGCGTTGTGGCCGCTAAAGCCCAGGTTCAATTCCTGGAGGTGGCACTTTTTTTTTATTTAGTTTAATATTTGTATTCATATATTATATTCTGATAAAAATTATAATTATTAATGCTAATTATTAATATATATTTTTGAGAATATAATATTTCCTTTATTTAAATATTATTGTTATACTCTAATTGATGTTTAAGATATAAAATAATTGTAATAAAATTAGTGTAATGATTGATTCATTAAATGCTTTTCTGTACAGTTTGAGCTAAATAAATCTAGAAATTAATAAATTTATTTAAGGTTAATAACTTACAATAAATAATAAAGATAATTGAATCTTTAGAAAATAATTCATTAATAAATATTATTTTTTTTAGAATGCCAAGAAGAAGTGGATCATCATCAAGATCAACAGCAAGTCCATCAAGGAGTACAGCTACAGCTGCCAGACCAGCCCCTCAAACTTAAGCTCCACCATAAGCACCAGCAAGATCAGGAGGTATGTTTTCTGGCCTTGGATCAACTTTAATGTAAGGAATGGCCTTTGGTGCAGGATCTGAAGTAGCTCATTAAGCTATTAGATCAGTTATTGGAGGTTCAGGTATGATTTCTTAGTAATTTAAAAATAGGTCATTCTTAACCAGCAGAACAACCAGCTTAGCAATAGGCTCCATAATAGCAATAATAAACTTGTCAAAGTGAAAGTCAAATGTTTTCTAACGTAACATTTTATTATATATGGTTAGTGTTTACAAACAAATTAAGACATCACAAGATGCTAGCCATATATGGATATTTTCAAGGAGTGCTAAAAGAAATACAATTTATGATGATTAATTATTGCATTAAATAAAATAAAACAAAAGACATTATTCTTATGTTTTATAGTATAAGTTAGTTTAATAAAATTGTATAGAATTCTTTTACTATTATTAGAAAATCCTTATTTTGTAATTTCTAGAACAAATAATATAATCCACGAATAAATTGATATTAAATAAAGGAAACTTATAATAGTTGTAAATTAAGATCATCAATGATCAAATAAAGTAATATTATCATAGTAATATAGTATGTAAATAAAATAAAATTGTTAAGTGCTTAACTAAATCTGACATAATCTCTCCTCCAAACACAATCATAAATATTGTTGCAATCCAGATATCTATTTTACCTTTTAATAATAAGAGATTATATATTTCATAATGTGTTTTTCCATCAATTATATAGCAATATTTATTTGCTCAACCTAAAAGACTAATTTGGTTAACCTGAAAAAATCTGTATTAGGAACTCTCAGTAGCTTTGTAATCATTATAAAGTTTTGTTATAATATGTTTCGTAAGTTTGAATCTTATCTTTTTTTATCATAATCTGCATCATTATTATATTGTATATTAGTAATTGGATAATTCAATAACCTGGATCAATAATGCTCAGTTATTTATACATATTAATTTTCTTATTCAATTATGTCAAATACATTACATCTTATTTTCAATATCTGAAACTGAAATCACAATGACAAATTATAATATACTTATTATTGATAAATAAATTAATTTATTAATTATCAAATACAACTTCTCACATTTCTATATAATAATAGTTTATTTTACTTTTACTACTTTTAATTATCAAATGAGATCACATTGTTTTATGGATTTTTCAATTTGAATTAGAAGGTCTTTAGTTTTATATATTTTTTATTTTTTTATAGACATACACATGAATTAAATTGGAAAATTTCATTAATAAATATTTCAAAATCATGGGTATATGCTCTTCAAAATCATCAGAAAAAGAATAACAAAAGGCTTTATATCTTCAAAGGTTAAAAGAATTTAAAGCTAAATTTAAATAAAGCACTGCTGAGATTATACAATTTAATTTAGAGTTTAGAGATGAACAAGAAAATGATTTATAAAAAGTAAAGTATGTTATCTCAGAAAATCCAATCATTAAAAGAAGAAGCAAACAATAAAATGAAATTGGTATTCTTTCACTGACAGCTAAGGAAAATGAAAATTGATTTAAAATTATTTTAATCAAATCTTTTTAGCATCTCAATATAATTAATTCTTATGCTATTAACATTAAATGAAAGTTTTCTTTTATTTACTTTATTTACTTTCCAAAGAGTAAACAAAGATTTCAATATTAAAATAAGAGGAGAATTTAAATTTGTTTAATAATTTAAATAGGGATGGCTCATTTTTTAAAGGAAAAGATTTTATGAAAATTAGTTTTTAAAATAATAATAAAATAATTCAATTTAAAAATATTAATTAAAAAAAGATGTGTTGGCTTAAGAATGAACTAATCAGTAATTGAATATCAATTAGATTGGAAGTAAGTGTAACATATGAAATATTTCATTTTGAAGTTATATTTGAGATTATGAGATCAAATTCCATTCCTTCATAAACAGTATCACCTTTGATATCCATTAATGCTATTTTGACATGTAATTTACAAGGAGTCAATGGAGCCTTGATTAATAATTTAATATAATCTTTTTCTAAAAAAAATATTATTAAATTTACAGTCTTTTTAGAGATTTATAGTTTCTGTTTTCACTTCAATAATATTAGGCATACTGGAACATACTTTATAATTAATTGATTCTTCTTTTTGATTCAAATAAAGAATTTTTTTGTTTACAATAGACCCTTTATTAATAGTTAATTCATAGGTTCTATTTTCAAAAACATATTAAGATTGTATTACTTTACATTAATGTAAGCCCAAGATTTTAATATTACATCCCATTCAGGATTCTATAAGTCTAAAATAGTTGGAATGTTTAAAGTTGCTTTTCTATGTTGTGATCTCATTTAAGAAATGAATATAATTTATTTAATTATTTGACAACTATTTAATTAATGAACCATTCTATAGATTATTATAATAAGTAATAATAAAAGTTATATGAATATATGGTAAGCTTAACTTAGAATGTGACTGGAGTGGAGAAGATAGTAAGTTTAATTGATAATTAAAGTTTTAAGATTTAATCAAATGTTTACATTCATTTAGTTAGGAAATAAAAATTGTTGGAGAGAAATTACATACTCAAATCAGTTGTGGAAATGAACCTGATATTTTAGTTTGTTTATATTAATAAGTGAGTAATTACTTATTGAGATTGTCATAAAATTGGGAACTTACAGCATAGAAATTAAAAAGTGAAATAACAGAGCCATATACACAATTTATATTAAATTTTAGATAAACCAATAGAAATTTAAATGCTGAATCAAAAAAGCAAGTTACTGAAATATGGGAAACCAGAAAAGAATTATGTAAAACCTAAGATGAATATTGGAAAATAATGAAATAATTTGAATAAAAAACTTAATAGACATAAGAGTTAATAGATTTAATAGAGAAAGGTAGTGCTACAAGAGAAGATTTTTAGAAATAATTTGCTAGTTCTTTAAAATTGTAATAATTGGCTGATGAATCAGAAAAAGATTATAAAAAGTTATTAACAATAACAAATGATAAATGGAAATTATTTCATGAAGAATGGGATAACATATTTGCAAATGTGGGATTGAATGAATAGAGTAGGTATTCTAAATGAAATTTATACTATATAGAATTATGTTTACTAAATAAACTGTTAGTTCATTATTAAAATTATTACCCTTTGATAAAGATTTAACTTAAATAGAAGAAAAGGTTACAGATTTAGAAATTAAATTGAAAGAGGATCCAAAAATACCAATACTTAAATTAATAGAAAAAAAGATGGAAATCAAAGATAGTAGGCATTAAGTAATATAATTAGCATTTAAGTTCTAATTTGAAGAATTCATTAGTTATGAATAGTGGAAGAAGATAAATATCCATTCAGAACATAGTAATCCAATCCAATAGATCCAACATCAATAGCAAATAGTAGGAGATAGAATCTTAGATGATGAAAAGAAAATTGTTGATAAGTATCTCACTTCATTGTTTACACTTGATAATTCTGATAAAAGTGAGTTACTTATTAAAATTAAACTAATACTATAAAAATAAGCAGGTAGAAACTACTTTATTAATTAATTAATATAATTTCATTCTAAATCAATTGAGGAAAAATAAACCTGTATATATAAATAATATATATCTTAGCATTTTATTTGACATTGTAAAATGAACAATTTCAAGAGTTAACATAATTGATTAGACATTGGTTAAATTACATTCATTCAAATAATCTTTATGAATCAGAAGATGTTTATGATTTATTACTTAAATCTATAAGAATAGTACGTAAAGATGGAAGGGATAGAATAAATCTTGCATCTCAATTATCAGATATACCATTATGGAGGAAGATAGAAAAATGGATAGAATTATTTTAATATATAAATGCAAAGAAAGTAGATGAAAAACGAAAATAAGTTGAATTCTTGAAATAACAAAATCAAAATAATATAGTCTAGAAAGGATTTAAAATTATAGGATCTATTTTTAGAAATTTAGGAACAAATTAATAATCTTAATTTGAACTAAATGAAAGTGAAATATGTTATATGATTATGGAAGAAATCAATTTATTTTTGACTTCATTAAAATTACCATCAGATTTATCTACAGAAATTATAATACAAATAGCATTTTAATAACCAAGATTTGATAAAGAGCATGTCAAAAAATTATTGGAGAAGCAAGAAGATCTTCATAATACTTAATGGAAAAAATTGTTTAAATCTGGAAAGATTGCGTTGAATCAAAAATCAGAAAAGTATGATCGAAAAAAAATGGAAGAATATTAAAATAAAGTTGTTCAAGTTTTTGGTGCAATTATGAAGTAATTTATTCATATTTTATTAGATATTTAAATCTTGATGATTAACCATGGCAATTATTATTAATTAATAGTCAATTTAATATATAATTAAAACATAAGATTAAAAAGTTTTATTTGGTTAATAGATAAATTCTATTTTGTGAGTAAACTTATTAATTAAGATTAAAATTAATAACATAAGCTTTAAAATTAGAATAAATGAAAATTGATTATGTTGAAATGAAAAATAAAGTTGGATTAGAAATGGATATTAATTAATTATATGAAGAAACAATAAAGTTAGATGTTCAAAGAAGTCTTCATCTACATAAAGATAGAATTAACTCTTCTGTATTATAAAGTTTATTGAGAATATATGCATTCTATAATCAAGATGTTGGATATTGTTAAGGCATGAATTATATTGCAGGCTATTTATATTTAAACTTTTAAGATTAAGAAATTGCATATAAAGCTTTTGATAGAATGATGAATCTCTATTTTAAAGATCTCTATATAAATGATTTCTCAAAACTTGTAATTTAATAATCTGTTATATATAGAAAATTGGATTTTATTAATTTGATAGATTACTTTAAATCTTTTTACCTGAATTATAATAACATTTAAAAGATTAAAAGATAGATCCATCATATTATGTTGCTTCTTGGTTTATAACATTGTATTCTAATGTTTTTCAGTATAGTCAAAGATCAGCACTTTTAAATATTATATGGGATATCTTTTTGGCAGAAGAATGGAAAGGTATTTATTTTTAATTATTGAATCAAGGGTTTTTCAAGGTTACTTTCTATCTCCTTTGGTTATTATAACAACATCTATTAAATTTAGAATTTGATGATATTCTGCATTATTTAGGACAACTTATAAAAAGTGAATTTTTCAATATTGATAATGAAAAAGAGTTGATTAAATTCATTTAAAAATATGACAAAACTGTTAAAGAAAATGAATCAATTAAGACAACTATATTATAGAAATTTAGAATTTCTAACAGAATGTTAAAAAGCCTAGATTAGGAGTATCAAAGCTTTTAAACAAAATTGAATAAGAAACTGACATAATGTTTGAAAAAATGAATTTATGTACATTTATAATTATAAATATGAAAATTATATATAAGATTAAATATAAGAGATCATTTTAAACTTATGTATACAAATAAATCAAAAAATTTTCTATTAATCCAATTTATGAAATTAATTAGACTAAGAGATTCAATTAGTAATTTGTAAATTTAAAGGCAAATATTTTTTTGAAACTCTAGGGGTTTCACATTTACAGAAGTTAGAATGGTTGTTTGCTATATTAAAAATTATACTTATCGCTTCAATTGTTTTTTAGTGAATTAATTAAAAACAAATTGGTGTTTTTGTGTAAAAAGGCTATGTAGTTAAATTTCTTAGTTTAAATACACAATTAATATTTTAATTAATAATTAGAAATTAAAGGCTTTAATAATCTATATTTAATGAAGGAAATAAAAGTAAATATATTTATATTTAAACTACTTTTATTTTCTGATACCTATACCTCTTTAAAGGTTAAATAAAATAAATGATGCTTCACAAAGTTATCTATATCTACTTAGATAATAACAAAGTAGATTTTTTTTTATTTTTAATTTTCTACTTGTTATTAACAAGGATTTTATCAAATTTAATAACTTAAAAGTACTTTTTTTTTATTGAGTTATTTTATAAGTAGATTTTGTCTATTTTTATTACATAAAATTGAATCTGTCTATCCTTTTATATAATATTTAATTTATCTCTGAGTTAGTTTCATTTCTATTTATACAACTGGTTCATTTATGTTAACTTTCTCCTTGATCTGTATGGTAGGATAATTCTTTTTGATTTCTTATGGCTGATTCACATTCATTTGCAATTTAATTTTGCTCTTAGGAATAACCTTCTCCCTCCTTCAAGTTGTATTCACTATAAAATTAATTATCAAGTATTGTCTTTTTTGTTTTATATAATGAGATTATCATATACTATTATTATTTTCATTTTTTTATCATTCATTTATAATAAAATAAGAGAAAAAATTGTAATAAATAGATTAGGACTTTACCATATTATTATATTGATGTATCATATAAAGATTAATACTTTCATCTTTTAATTACTCTTTTTTACATATATATTTATTTAATTATTTTATATGGATCCAAGTGCACATTGGAAAGAACTTAATAGAAAGTATTACAAATTTCATCAATTCAATCCTATCAATGGTGAGCAGAAGAGTCTTGATTTTTTCTATTAACGCATAGCTGTATCTAAATGGGGTGGTCCTTTGGCTGCTACTAAAAATTATAATCAGGTTATCCTCATGCGTACGGATGACCTACTAAAAGACTCTATTGTATTCTTCTCCAACAATGGNCATTTTAAACTTATGTATACAAATAAATCAAAAAATTTTCTATTAATCCAATTTATGAAATTAATTAGACTAAGAGATTCAATTAGTAATTTGTAAATTTAAAGGCAAATATTTTTTTGAAACTCTAGGGGTTTCACATTTACAGAAGTTAGAATGGTTGTTTGCTATATTAAAAATTATACTTATCGCTTCAATTGTTTTTTAGTGAATTAATTAAAAACAAATTGGTGTTTTTGTGTAAAAAGGCTATGTAGTTAAATTTCTTAGTTTAAATACACAATTAATATTTTAATTAATAATTAGAAATTAAAGGCTTTAATAATCTATATTTAATGAAGGAAATAAAAGTAAATATATTTATATTTAAACTACTTTTATTTTCTGATACCTATACCTCTTTAAAGGTTAAATAAAATAAATGATGCTTCACAAAGTTATCTATATCTACTTAGATAATAACAAAGTAGATTTTTTTTTATTTTTAATTTTCTACTTGTTATTAACAAGGATTTTATCAAATTTAATAACTTAAAAGTACTTTTTTTTTATTGAGTTATTTTATAAGTAGATTTTGTCTATTTTTATTACATAAAATTGAATCTGTCTATCCTTTTATATAATATTTAATTTATCTCTGAGTTAGTTTCATTTCTATTTATACAACTGGTTCATTTATGTTAACTTTCTCCTTGATCTGTATGGTAGGATAATTCTTTTTGATTTCTTATGGCTGATTCACATTCATTTGCAATTTAATTTTGCTCTTAGGAATAACCTTCTCCCTCCTTCAAGTTGTATTCACTATAAAATTAATTATCAAGTATTGTCTTTTTTGTTTTATATAATGAGATTATCATATACTATTATTATTTTCATTTTTTTATCATTCATTTATAATAAAATAAGAGAAAAAATTGTAATAAATAGATTAGGACTTTACCATATTATTATATTGATGTATCATATAAAGATTAATACTTTCATCTTTTAATTACTCTTTTTTACATATATATTTATTTAATTATTTTATATGGATCCAAGTGCACATTGGAAAGAACTTAATAGAAAGTATTACAAATTTCATCAATTCAATCCTATCAATGGTGAGCAGAAGAGTCTTGATTTTTTCTATTAACGCATAGCTGTATCTAAATGGGGTGGTCCTTTGGCTGCTACTAAAAATTATAATCAGGTTATCCTCATGCGTACGGATGACCTACTAAAAGACTCTATTGTATTCTTCTCCAACAATGGCAAGATCATATCTAAGGCTTAATATAAAGAAATTGACAGAGTATTAGAATTTAATTTATGTAGATTGCATTATTTGATTTCCTTGAAGATGAATAATTATTGTTACTAAAGGCAAATGGTTCATATTATATAGTAGATCCATTCAAAGGTACTAAAAAGAGTTATGATTTGATGGATCAATTTAAATAATAACAAATCCATAAAGGTTTAATTGTTAACAATGGGTTTGTATTGATGACAACTAATTATGAATTCTTCTATATACCAAATGCTTATGAACCTTAAGTTCACAAAATGAAACCATCTAATCTTACTTAAGAACCTGAACATTGGTAAGTTATTCCACCTCAAAAAACTTAAAGTGGAAAAGTGGAATTATTGATAACTAATCCAGATGGTGGAATTATTCATATAATTGAAGATGAAAAATGGAAGATATATTATAATAAAGATAAAATAGTTAATGAGATTGATAAGAAATTACCTGATCTAAGAAATATAAAAATGATCAGTTTATCATCTAATTATAAAAACTTAGCATTACTTTAATACAATAATTCAAGATGGGTTGTAACATTTATATCTGATTTTTTTGATTCAACAGATTGTAAATAAATACCAATCGATCTTAAAGAAGAAGATATTAAAAAAGAAGAGAGTGCAGAAAAAGATATAAGTAAAATTGAAAGACCTAGAAGAATGTTATGGTGTGGTGATGATTGTGTTGTTTTACAATTATAATAATACATAGTCTTAGTTTCTTAAGACTCTTATATTAAAGTAAAAATGAGTAATCCCCATTTTGCACTTAAATAGGAAATTGATGGTGTTAGAATATTAACATAAAAGAAAAATGAGATTTTACGTAAATTACCTGAAGCTTATGTTAATGTATTCTTACCACTCTCTGTTAAACCAGGTGCTTAATTGCATTCTGCATATGAGTCATTTGAATAAAAGAATCCTATTGAAGATGATGAATTAAGATCTAAAAAAACTGAACTTGGAGAAGCAGTTAATGATTGCATTAAAAGTGGATAATTTGAAATAAATCCTGAATATTAAATGAAATTATTAAAAGCAGCTAGTTATGGTAAAACATTTTTAGGAAATTAATTGATTGATCCAAATCTATTAAATGAAACTTGTAAATATCTCAGAGTATCAAATGCTTTACGTAGAAATGGTGGTATAGGTAGTAGAGTTGTAACTTATGAATAAGTATTGTAATTAATTAAGAATCCAGATTTATTTATCACTCTTTTACTTAGATATAATTTACATTATTTAGCTATTGAAATTTCACGTTTCCTTAAATTCTAAATTAAGTAAAAATCTACAATTTATACACATTGGGCATGTTGTAAAGTTGAAAGTTAAATGGATGATGATTAATTATGTTAGATTATAAAGGAAAAGATTAAGGAAGAGAAAGGAGTATCATTTACTTAGATAGCTTAAAAATCAATTGAAATAGGCAAATCTTAATTAGCATTAAAACTTTTAGACAATGAATAAAGTTTATCTAAACGTATTCCTGTACTTATTTGGATGGCTAATTATTAATAAGGCAATAATAATTCATATTATGAAAAAGCTTTAATTGATGCAATTGCCTCAAAAGATTCAAATTTGATTTATCTAGTTATAATGAAATTTTTGAAAACTGATATGGATGAAACTTATAAATTTGGTATTTTATCATAAAATCCTGTTGCCTAAGCCCATTTAATATATTATCTAAGAAATTTTGATGATAAATACTTATAGAAATATTTATAGTATTTAAAAAAATATGATGAATGTGGTTTATTAGCCATCAATTAAGCATATTAATAGAATAATTTAACTGAAAAAATCAGGTTTTTAGAATTTGCATAGAAATTCTTTGAAGAAGAAAGCAAAGATTCTTTTTATAGTAAAATATTATAAGAATAAATAAAAACATTAAATGATTTAAAATAAGAAGTTGAAAGAGAGAAAAAGGAAAAGAGTAAAGTAATAATGGAAGAAAGACCATTGAATTCAATTATGGAGGCATTTCTATCTAAAGATAATCTTCAATTAGCTTAAGAATTTGCAAAGGCATATAAAATCCCAGAAAGAAGGTTATTATTATCATTAATATTTAGATTTAATATAACAAGAGTTAAGGCATTAATTAATAATAAGAATTGGGAAGAGTTGGAAAGATTTATAAATGAAAAAAATAAAAAGAATGTATCCATCCCCTACGAATTAGTTGCAGATATGTTGATCAAAGCAGATTAAGAAGAGAGAGGTTTATAAATGATAATGAAAATGCCAGATCCAGAAGTAATAATAGAATTAATATTTTAATAGGAATCTTGTTATATGTTATTAAAAATTGGGTAATAACGCCATGCTGTTCAAGTAGCTATTAACAATAAAAAATCATAATTAATATAAGACATTAGAGGATCTATTAATGATAATTAAGCTAGAGCATAACTTGAAATGTACTTAAGTTAAAATCAAAAATGATATATAAGGTTATGTATTAAATAAAGAAAAATAAATTAATGTTAAAATTTCATTGAATTAATTCATTTCATAATTATTTGATTTTTATTGAATTTTTTATTCTTTTTCTCTTTATATATACTTAATGATCATTTCTAAATATAATTAAAGTTTTTCCATTTATAACTCTGAAAAATAAATAAAATATATATCATAACATTTAAATTTTCAATATTATGGCAAGAGATTATTTATAAAGACAAAACTCTCTTATAAGAGGAACAAGTTTTATTTCTTAAAATGATGAGCCTTATATGCCTCCTTTATTATAAAAATTTACGTACAAGATAATATCATAATTAGAACTTATTTTGATGAGATTGGTAATGAATATGAATAAAGACCAATACCTTTTAGTAGATAAACTTCCAATTTCTTCTTATATGATCCTCTAACACCTTTAGGACCAAGAAGATCAATTACTCAACAAAATAATCCTCTTCCGCTATTATCATTATAATCTCAAAAATCATAGATAATTGATACAAAATAAAAATAAGAATAGAGACCAAAAAATTTAGAATAAATGTCTTAGGAAGAATCAGATAGAGAAGAAGATAGAGTAAAATAAAAAATAAAAAAATAATAATAATAAAAAGACATTAAAAGTAGGGAGATACAAAAAAAAATAAAGAAAAGAAATAGTGAATTAGAATAATAACCTTGTTTTTGTAGAAATAGTGGTTGTTTAAAAAGATATTGTAGATGTTTTCATAGTGGAAGAATGTGTTTAAAAGATTGTTAATGTGTTGAAGGTTGTTTGAATAATAATGATCATTAAGAAGAACGTAATAATGCAATAAAACATGTTAATGAGAAATGTCATAGAAATAAGAATGTTCCAAAGGATGCCTTATTTAAATTAAAAGATTGTTTTGGTTGTAATTGTAAAAAGACTAGATGTTAAACAGGTTATTGTGAATGTTTTTTAAGAAAATCAAAATGTACAATGGATTGTCAATGTGAAAATTGTGAGAATGGTTTAGATGAGGCATATTTGGAGAGTCAATAGAAAAGAAAGAATTATAGAGCTAAAAAAAAATGAGTACATTTAATATATTTTTATGATATGGTGCATATTTAATTAATAATATAATTGCATTAATGAAACATAATTTATAAGCAAAGTAATAATAACAAATTAATCATCAAGGAAAAATAAGAGAAATATAACTGGAGGAGAGATTCATTTAAATTAAATTGATGAAGCTGATAAAATTAATGAAGATGCTTCATAAGATTATGAGAGCAATTTAATAAAAGTTTTAGATTTGTAACCAGAAATCACTAAAATATTCATTGAAAGTATTTTAACACTTTAAATATAATAGATTTGACAAATGGTAGTTTTATTGAATTAAATGAATAAGCATTAAGGAGGAAAATTCAAATGATGGAAGAAAGTAGAAAATAATAAATTCAAACTGAAAATGTATTATTAGTCTTGAATAAATTAATTCATGAAGCTGTAAAATTAATAGACAGATTTATATTCTTTTTTTAAGGATTATTGGCAGGTAACCTTTAATATTAACAAGGGAATGACATTAATGCATGTTTTCATTATTTTTCTAGGTTAGAGTACAGATTAAGAAGGTTTAACTACATTCTTTAAATTATATGCTAAATACTGTTTAAGAGTTGATTAAGTTTTTCATATCATAATTTTAATCAGTGCTTTTGGTAGTTTGTTTGTTTGCATTCAATTAAAAGATTAATAAGACAAAACAAAAAATAATTAAGATAAAAAGTTCTACATATAATCAATAATAAGTGCTCTTTGTAAACATTCATATTAATATAGTTTATAATATTGCTTATTTATTATGGGTGATAGGCCATAAAAATATAGTAGAATTATCAAGTGGAATTACTTAAGATGATACAAATGATCAAGTTTAAGCTGTAATAGATGGATCTGCATTATATAATTTTTGGACTTATACATAAATAGCAATTACTGTTCTTACTGTATTAGGCTGGTTTATATCAGTAAATACAACTGAAAGTAATCTTAATTATTTAGCTTCTGTTGAGGCAGAGTATGAAATAATCAATAATTTAATAGTTAAATATTTAGTGATGAAAATAAGAAGGAAAAATGATCAAATTATTATAATATATATATAAAGTAGTTTAAATTTATAATTTTGCATTTTTTTAAACTCTAATCATCTCATAGTTGTTGTTTCATATGATAACGATGTAATTCTAACTATTCTAATAAGTATAATTCTATTGTTGGAAACTAAATTTTCAGTTGAGAATCCTATAAAACTGTCTCCACAGTATTCAACAATGTTTGTAATTCATTTTCTAAATCTAATAAAAGATAATCAGAGTATCTCTTTTATAAACGTGCTATGCAGTGTGCTAACTTGCTTCTCATAATTATTAGCTAATTCAAATTGTAACGAAGATTGCCAATAACTTCATCAGATAATTATAATTATCCAATGATTTTAATAAAGTTCTCAGCAATCAATAAAGGAAACTTAATTTCCTGTAATTGAGATTTGTTTGATTTATGATTGCTAGAAGAACAAATCAACCCCATTTTTAAATTAAATTAATTTTTATAAATAACTTATATATATTAATCAGTATTAAATGAAACTAAAAATAACACAAATAAACTTACTTTTCTTTACATGAGTCAGTACTCTTCAGTTCCCTGTCTTCCTCTATTATAATAAAATAATTAATACTTTATAACTATTCTAATTAATTCACAGCCTTAGACATTTCTTTTTTAAGATCTTAAACTATATTTGAAATATTATTTTATTTATCATTCACTTTTCTGATGATAGAATCTATAATGTTTAAATTATTAATTACCAAATTATTTTCCTGTATTAAATTAAGCTAAATCATTAGTTTAATATTCTGATTATCCAAAATAGCTTTTAAATTTTTCTTCAAAATTCTATTTATAAATTATAAATAAAATACAATTATTTTTTTTTTATCTTTATTTTCTAATTATTTTAATTCTTAAAATATAGCAAGATTTTCAAAAACTTAACTTTCTTCTCTATCCATATTATTAATATGAACAGTTAAAAAATCATCAGCAAATCTAACTTTTTTGTCATTTGAATTAATAGCAATAGATTTTTTATTATCTGAAAATAAAGGAGAATATTATTATTATGAATGGATATTTATAGATTATTATTATTATTATTATTATTATTATTATTATTGTATTTAATAAAGTTACTCTTAAAGTTCTTAATTTTATTATTTTAATTTTGATATCTATTATAATAATTCTCCTTGATTTCTCTTTTGAACAATACTTTCAAGTTCCTCCCTCATTTATTTCTCCTTTTAATATTGTTTTAATAATTCTTAATACTCCTCCATTGATACACCTTTTGGTTTATTTGTTTTTGGCTATTAGATATTTCTACCATCTAATACAGCTCTCTTAGCTCTATTAGCAAATTATAATGTAGAGAAAGTCTCAGCACTTGAAGATATAGAAGGTGAAACACAAACAATAAATAAGATTTTGCCACTACCACTTAATGAATCACTTAGAACTCTAGTCAATTTAGAATTTCTAAATGGTATATGTGTTCTATTTCTATCAATTAGAGCAGATATGCAATGTCCTAAACAAGATAGACTACCATTGATTGAAGTCAATTCTTAAATGTGGAGTTCTTTTTCTTCAGGAGTCAAATCAGTTGGAATTTTAAATTTCTCTGATCCAGCTAAATCAACAATTTTAAGAGAAGACTCTTATAATACAGGTTCTCCATTAATAACTGTAACTTATTGAAGTGTCATCTAAAAACAACAATGAGATCTTGAACTCTTTGAATTTGCATGACTGCATCCAACAACTCTATTTCGTAATCCTAAAATAAGATATTCATAAGCAGTATCTATATCCATAATTCTAATTTGGGATAGATCTGGAATGTTTACATCACCATTTTTATTTTCGCGAATATCTAATCCTTGAGATTTTAGATTGAAAAGATCAAAAATCTATTAAGTTATTTTATCTATATACTTTTTCATTGTAAATTTCATAGAAAGATAAGTAAAGTCTACATTAATCATCTTCTATCTAAGTTTATAATTGAGAAATGATTGATTGAACTGCTCTTGGTAGAATTCCTCTTTCATTGCATCTAATAACTTAATGAAATTTCTCAGTGGAAACATTAGCTACATTTTCAGGCAATCCACCCATTATCGTATAAGTTTTACCAGCTCCTGTTTATCCATAAGCAAAAATCGTATTATTTATTCCTTATAAGAACGATTTTATAGATTCAGAAACTAATCTTTATACATCTTGTTGATTAGCTGTTTTAGGAAGTATGTCACTGAATTTCATTCTAAGAGTATTCCCAATTCTAGTCACTTTTATTGTATTGTCATCAATCAACTATACAAAGTCTTCTTCGCTTTCACTATTTAAAGTGGGCCTAACTCGAACTGCAATTCTAACTTTACTATTATCATTTGGAACATCTCTTTAATTAGGACTTTTTGATTTATTCATTCGTTAATTAATAATATTAATATGAAACAAACTTAACTAAAAGTATATTTTTTAATATAATTTTATCATTAAATCTAGAAAATACTTAATCAATCTTAATAATTAAAAACTTATAATTAGAAAGACTGATTATAATATTTTCATTTTATTTAAAAGCTTTTAATAAAATATTTGTATTTTCTATATTTTTATTAAAAAAATTTTAATTTCAGAATGAATCAAATTAATAATTCTTTGTTAAATAATGAATTAATAAATTAAATGATTATTATGACAAGGATTTAAACCAAAATCAAATTATAATAATTATTAATTCATAATCATTTTAATCTTTAAATGATGTGATGATTATGATTTGATTAGTAATACTATCTTGATTGATAGTAGTACTTTTCATTAAATAAATAAACATTTTGAAAAATAAATGGAATTAAATAATCGAATACATATACCTATGAATACAAATTAGAAAAGAGTGATAAATTAATTAAATACTCGATAGGAGTCATAAAAAAAATTATATGATTAGTTTTTCTCATGAATTTTAGTTATTATGATTATTAGCTATTTAAAAAGAATTGAATAAATTTTACCCTTATTTCAAATACTGAAAAAAATCTATTGTATTAATATTTCAATTACATTCTTACAGAGTAAAGTCAATAAAATAAGAATTAAATTATTTATATTAGAAAATATATTTATTAGAACAGCATTTCCAAACCAAAAAGTAAAGTCATATAATAATTAATCTAAACTTTTACCTGCTAATTACTCCAAATTTACTGAAAAAATACTATTTAATAAAATTTTTAAAAACCCTTGCCATATAAACATCACAATAATGGTTCAAAAATAATTACTTTGTTGATAAATACTTAAATTAAATCAATTTATGGAAACAATACAAAGAAAATGTTATATCCAATAGTGAGAGAATAACTAATAATAACATTTAAAATAAAGTAGCAAAAATTTGATTTATTACTAATTATTCCTCAAATATTTACCTAAAAATAACTTGTGAAAGAATACTTATTCTTTTTCATATAGAAAAAATAAAGTGCTCGTTAAAAGCATAGTAATCTTCATAAAATCTTTTAAGTCTCAAGTATTAATTTCTATTTTCATGAAAATTAATATGTATTAAATCAATATAGATTACTTTTAATAATTAGATAACTAAATGGATAACTCTATATCTTTTTAATTTTGAAAAGTAATAATATGTCCAACTAATTATATAACTTATGCTTAAACTCATAAGCCAGATTGGGTCTTGTAGTGTAGCGGTTATCACAAAGGATTCTGACTCCTTTAACCCAGGTTCGAGTCCTGGTAAGACCTTAATTTTTAAATATTGTTATTTTTAATTTTCTTAAATTCGTTACTCTTGAATAACTTTACTTCAACCTTACTTCCCTTAGATTTTATGGATTTACAAACAATTCAATCTTTTTTAAACTCTCTCCAATCTTTTATTAAGCTTGTCATAATTGATCATTTTGTAAATATATTCTTTGCAAATTCAGAACTATTTAACTATCATATAATATTACATCAAAAAAGATATCTCATGTACTTTAATGTCTTAATTATAACTGTTATTTAAAATTTATCTAAACCAAAAGTAATTTCTTTTTGTTTTTCTGAAATATTTATAATTTTCAATCCAAAACACTTAACCAGGATTTATTTCTAGTAATTTTGTTCTTAATTTCTTAACCTATCAGTTTTTAATTTCATTCTTCTGTTTTAATTCTTCTTATTAAGGGATACAATAATTATCCTAACTAATGATTCAGAAAAAATAATAGTCTGAATTTTTTCCATTGACAATAAAACTGTTATTAAAGTTTTAACATAATTGAATCAAAATTTTCTAGTTAATCGATGATTTCGATAATATTATCTTTTTTATACTAAATGGATAAAATGCCATTATGAATTTACGAATATGCCAAATTGAGTTATTTCTAACAATTAGATATATTATATTACAAATTTCTTAATCTTTAGATGTTATTCTCATTTTAGATTTATAAATACTATCAATAAATCAATTTACTATTTGTTTTCGATTGGATTAGATTCCCATATCATTTTAAATAATTGAAAACTGATAGTTTTTCCTAATGGTTTATATCTACAATCTCAACGAAAATCTAATGGTATTGATCATATATTTTGATCCTTTTTGTTTTTGGCAGTAGGCTTTTTGTTATTCTTATTTAATTAATGAATTTTTTCAAGTTCCTATATAGAGAACCAATTAAACACGAAGTAAATCAAAAGTTCATAAAACATGTTATTTATTCAAATGATGATGAATATTAAGGAGAATTAGTGAATGATAAACGGCATGGATAAGGTACTTATAAGTTTGTCTCTGGCAATCGTTATGAAGGAGAGTGGAAAAATCATTAGAAACATGGAAAAGGGAAATTATACTATAAGAATGGTGAATTATATATAGGTGATTGGATAGAGAATAAAAAATGTGGTGAGGGAATGCATTTTTATATTAATGGTGATAGATATGTAGGAGAATGGAAAGATGATTAAAGAGATGGAATGGGGTTAATCTATTAATCAGACAAAAACACTTTTTATGGTATATATACATAGTAATTATAGGATAATTCAGAATGAATAAAAAATTTGGAACAGGTTATTTGTTTAATTCAAGAGAGAGAAAATATTATAAATAATAGTATGAATAAGATAACCTATTGGATAATGTATAAATAGATGAACCACCTTTATTTGTGTTAGAGAAATTTCATGTAAAGGCTGAAAAAAGTCATGTTGAAAAAGAGAAAATTGAAGATAATGTGATTAATGTTGATGCAAGTCCTCCTATTTAAGTAGATAATGATAAATAGAAAGAATAAGTAGAAAGTTAATAAGGAGAATAAGATCAGTAATAAAAAGTAGAATACAAATCAATATAATTAATCAGTTCACAACAACATGGATTTTTAAGTTTATAGGTTCTAGAAAAGATTGATTAATTTGAGAATCAAAAGAATAGTAATATTCATTATTTAAAATTCAGTGTAGGAATGGTAATTGGAAGAAGTATGTGGATGGCTTGATTCACTTGAATTAGGAGAATACAAAGAAGAATTTATTAAAAATTAAATGGCTGGAAAGACACTTTATGGATTGACAGATAATGAATTGAAATAAGATTTAGGAATCTCTGTTTTAGGTCATAGAAAGAAAATATTATAATCAATAGAAGAGTATAAAAAATATTATATGAAATTTATGGAAGGCAAAATCAGATTAAAAAAACCTTTAGAATCTTTGGAAGAGAGAAAAGGTTTATATACATCAATTGAATAATTAAGATTTAAAAGTTTATTTTCATATATGGAGAAGATTGAAGAGGAATAAAATGAATATCCAGATAATAATAAGAAAGAATCAAGTAGTGATTCTTATAACAGTTATCGAAAAAAAAGAAATACAAAAGAATCTTAAAAGTCTCCAACTAGATCTATCTCTAATGATTCTAANGTTATTCTTATTTAATTAATGAATTTTTTCAAGTTCCTATATAGAGAACCAATTAAACACGAAGTAAATCAAAAGTTCATAAAACATGTTATTTATTCAAATGATGATGAATATTAAGGAGAATTAGTGAATGATAAACGGCATGGATAAGGTACTTATAAGTTTGTCTCTGGCAATCGTTATGAAGGAGAGTGGAAAAATCATTAGAAACATGGAAAAGGGAAATTATACTATAAGAATGGTGAATTATATATAGGTGATTGGATAGAGAATAAAAAATGTGGTGAGGGAATGCATTTTTATATTAATGGTGATAGATATGTAGGAGAATGGAAAGATGATTAAAGAGATGGAATGGGGTTAATCTATTAATCAGACAAAAACACTTTTTATGGTATATATACATAGTAATTATAGGATAATTCAGAATGAATAAAAAATTTGGAACAGGTTATTTGTTTAATTCAAGAGAGAGAAAATATTATAAATAATAGTATGAATAAGATAACCTATTGGATAATGTATAAATAGATGAACCACCTTTATTTGTGTTAGAGAAATTTCATGTAAAGGCTGAAAAAAGTCATGTTGAAAAAGAGAAAATTGAAGATAATGTGATTAATGTTGATGCAAGTCCTCCTATTTAAGTAGATAATGATAAATAGAAAGAATAAGTAGAAAGTTAATAAGGAGAATAAGATCAGTAATAAAAAGTAGAATACAAATCAATATAATTAATCAGTTCACAACAACATGGATTTTTAAGTTTATAGGTTCTAGAAAAGATTGATTAATTTGAGAATCAAAAGAATAGTAATATTCATTATTTAAAATTCAGTGTAGGAATGGTAATTGGAAGAAGTATGTGGATGGCTTGATTCACTTGAATTAGGAGAATACAAAGAAGAATTTATTAAAAATTAAATGGCTGGAAAGACACTTTATGGATTGACAGATAATGAATTGAAATAAGATTTAGGAATCTCTGTTTTAGGTCATAGAAAGAAAATATTATAATCAATAGAAGAGTATAAAAAATATTATATGAAATTTATGGAAGGCAAAATCAGATTAAAAAAACCTTTAGAATCTTTGGAAGAGAGAAAAGGTTTATATACATCAATTGAATAATTAAGATTTAAAAGTTTATTTTCATATATGGAGAAGATTGAAGAGGAATAAAATGAATATCCAGATAATAATAAGAAAGAATCAAGTAGTGATTCTTATAACAGTTATCGAAAAAAAAGAAATACAAAAGAATCTTAAAAGTCTCCAACTAGATCTATCTCTAATGATTCTAATGAAAGCAACATTAGTGATAATAATAAATCTGTAAAATTAAAAAGATAGAAAAGCAAAAAAAGTAAAAAATAATAAAGAAAAGTTACATTGGATTTATAAAAATCTGGAGATTCTGCTGATGATGAAGAAGGAAAATAACAATTAGCTTCTCCATATTGTATTTGATTTTATCTATTATATAGAATCTCCAAATAAAATGAATAATAATAACATTAGTGATTAAAAAATAGATATACTTGTTTTAAATGATTATGTAAATGGAGCTGAAGAAATTAAAGATAAAGAATCTAATGTAACATTTGAATTGTCTAGATAATAATCAACAAATAAATAAGAATTATCTGATTTTGTATCTTCAAAAAGTCCTCCATAAATTAATATAATAAATGATGAATTAAATTAACTTCAATTAGAAAAATTGCAATCTATTACTTTATAATTATCAAGATAGAAATCAGAAATTAATGGAAACAAATTCTAAGATTAAGATTCATCAAGTTAAGAATCAGATGTATCTGGAAATGATTCAAGTTCAGATTCATCTGATGATGAAAAAATAAAAAAAAAATAAAAGAGATAAAAAGAAATCAGAAAAGAAAAAGAAAAAGATGATAGACAATAACATCATTTACCAAAAAAACTATTATTTATGCTTAAAGAATTTGGCATAAATGAAAGAGTGTTAATAGTTTTCCATGAATTGATTATAGGATAAATAATAGGAGAAGGAGGATATGGAGTAGTACATAAAGGTAAGTGGCTTGGTTAAGATGTAGCTATTAAATCATATGGTAAAAGGAAATCTTAAGGAAATTTGAAATATAAATTATAAATGGCAGATTTTTTAAAAGAAGTTGAGGTTATATCAAATCTACGTCATCCAAATATTGTTTTATATATGGGTGTGTGTATAAGGAAGTAGAATTACTATTTAATTACTGAATATCTAGAGGAAGGCAGTCTTTTCGATCATTTACATAAAAAGAAAACACATATAGATCAAAAAGCTTTGATGTAAATAGTTGAGGATATAGCATTAGGAATGAATTATCTTCATGGAAGAAAAGTTATGCATTGTGATTTAAAATCATCTAATGTTTTAATTGATCAAAATTGGAATGTCAAATTATGTGATTTTGGTTTATCTAGAATAAATAAAAAAATTGATCATAAAATTAATAAAGGAGCAAGAATAGGTACACCACATTGGATGGCACCAGAAATTATGAGAGGAGAATCCTATTAAGAAAAAGCTGATGTATATAGTTTTGGTATGATCTTATGGGAAATTATAACCTAATAAATTCCTTATGAAGGTTTATCTTAAACTTAGATTATTGGTTCTGTAGGATATGGTTAAGATTAAGTGCCAATACCATCTCATAGCAATCCTCCTATTTTACTTTAATTAGCAAAGAAATGTTTAAAAAAAAATCCAGATGAAAGACCTACTTTTGCAGATATTGTGAATGAAATTTAACAAGGATAAAAAACAGATGCAAAATTAAAAAGTATTATTATTAAATCTTATATATTAGAATAAGCAATAGAGCAGCTCATGGACTTTTTTAGATGAACTATCAAACCATTATATTCATTCAGTTTGTATTATAAAATATTATATTGACTATTAACTCATTTTATCATTAAAAGTTAAAATTAAGTTCTTTTAATTATCTTTCTACCATTTCATTATTCATTAATGATTCAAAAGGTATTAAATGAATCACTCTTTTTATTATTTTCATAATTCTACCTAAATATGGAGAATAATAATAAAATAGTAAGACTTGTATACCAATAGTTATAATAATAAATGATATCGATAAGACCTAAAATAATATATTTAAAAATGATACTGTCAAATATAATTTCATATCATCAAATTATCCTTTTAAACTAATATTAAATTGATTAACTAGAACAGAAAATATTCTACCTACAATTTATGATCCTTCTTATTCATAATATTGCATTTCAACTCTACGAGTAAAATTGTTAATTGCTTATTATGATTTTATTAAATTTGAAATGTAACTCAATGCTGTAATCATACCTTTAGATAAAGATCCATCAAATGATAAACTACAATATGTAGATGTTAGATTTTTAAATTTCTAATATTATCAAATAAATTACTTCATCAATTTATTCACAAACTGTATGTAGATTAAGATTTTCAAACAAATCTATGAGATTTTAATCTATCAAATAAGTATCTACATTAATTTTATTTGATAATTAAATATAATTAGAAATTGCATTTTATGCTTTATCAATTAAATCATAAAGTTATAATTTATTGTCTTCTGTTAAGAAAGTAAAATTTGACCATCTCAAAGATATTTCTCTATATAAAAATAAATTGCCTGATCTAAGTTTCATTTCTTAAATTTATTGATATAAATATAGTGTGTCATCATATTTATTAAAAAAGAGTGTAGTGGATATAATGTTTAGTAAAGAGAATATAAGCATAATTTACAATAAAAAGATTAGAAATGTTGAATTAAGAATTTTAATTATATTTCTTTTTTTATTAACAGATTAATAATTCTATTTTTATTTGTAATTTTAGTTTTAATGTTTTTAAAAATGTAAGGGTTTCTTTAAAAGTAATTATAATTAATTTTCAGGATTATACATGAATAATATATCAGAATTACTTTTAATAGAATCTAATAAATCATTAAATCTTTGAATTTCATTATTTAAAATTGGTTCATCTATTAAAAATATAAGTTAAATAAATTTATCTAATTGTTGAAAAAAATTGATCTAATAAATCTGTAAATATATATAAATAATTATTAAAGCAAAATTAAATACTACCCATAAAACTATTAATTTTTAATTCAAATTTTAATGCATTTTAATTGCATAATCATACATTGAAATAGTTAATTTTTCACTTTCTTTATGAAGCATAAAATAATTAGCAAATAAAGATATTTAATATGGCATAGCAACAGTACTTATACGATAATGTAAGTGTATCATTTGAGCATATTAATATTATAAAATGATAAACAAAGCATCTCTAAATGATATATCAATACCATAAATTTCTCTATCATTCTTATTCATAAAATACATAGTAACATTTACTTCATCTAAAAAGCTTTAGATATATTAATTATTTAATTAATCATATAAACTATCTCTTAATTCTGTATATCCTAATTAAACAGAATCTTAATATGGTTAAATTAATTAAGGTAATTTGCTACTTGGTAAAAAACCTTCTCTATTCATTTATTAATAAGCTGTTATTGTAATTCGCATAGAAAAAAATAAATCATGAGGTCCCATTATTGAAGCATAAAATGATGTCATAATTCCAAAAGATAAAAAATTATCCAAATCATTTCTAAGTTCTATATATTGTACTATAATAAAAATAATAAATAAAGAAAACCATATACTAAATAGATACATAAATTTCTATTGATATCTTGATGGACTTTTTTATAAAATCTATTAAAGTAATTCATTATTTTTATGCATTTTGTCTGTCTCAATTGAATTTTCGTTAAGTTCTAATCTTACAGTTTTTCTTTAAGAATGTTCTATATCTTCATTACTTTATAAACTCTATTCATTTTACGAACTTGGTGATATTATTGGTTATTTAATTTAACTATTTCTTTGAGTCATTAATAATTTTTCACTTTAATTAATAGTTTCTTCCCTTCTTGAATTAAATACTGGTGAATTATTATCTTATATTATTGTATTAAGTTATTGCTATGTAGGTTTTTAAATATTTTATATAGATCCAATTTATTATTAATTTATAAAATTCACACTATTTAAATTACCAATATGTGGTGAATCATCTTATAAATCTACTATACAATCTTAATATAATGATTAATTTATTGATTCATTTTATTTAATAGGATTTTAAAATATCTATGAAAATTATCTACCTCTATTAAATTCTGCCATTTTTATTATATTCAATATATAATAACAATAATTACCTATTTATTTTCTTTCTATTAAAATATCACATTCAATTTTTTTAAATTTGATATTTGATATTTTTATTTCTCTTTATAATGATTCAAAACTACTTTGAGGTGATGGAAAATATAAATTTATTGAACTTTATTTTTTTTCTTTTTCTTAAAATTGTTTAAGAATTATTGCAAAATTAGGATAAATTTACGATATTTCAATTTATTTAAATTCTTTTAGTATACAAAATTAATTTATTTATTATTCTGACCATCCTAATAATATAAGAAGGTTTTTTGTAAATGTACACTTAAAGTTATTTCCATCTATGATTAAAAAAGCTTAATCTTAAGTTGCCTATTATAAAAATACAGCAAAAGTCACATTATTATTACTGAATAAATCAGTCACTCGATGACACATATTTACAGTTGTTAATAAATGTTAATTATTCATTATAAAATTGACTCCGAAATTATTAAAATATTTACTATTTCCTTTTTCAAAAAATTATTTTACATATAAATTATGATATGGGATTAAACAATCTGGTAATAAATGTTCAAACAATCTTTTTTTTTCATTATTCAATCCATAATTATCATAAAAATTTTAAGATTATCCTTTCAAGGTTAAATTTTGCATATCATCACATAATTCTAAAATGACATAATGAAAATTTTGTTAATTCATATTAAAATTTAAAATTTGCTAAAATTTATTGGATTCAATTTCAAAGCCTCTTGAATTTTTATAAAATTAAATTGATTTATTATAATTACATAAAATTTCTCCTTAAAAAAATGTATATAAACTATGAATTTTTTATGTAGGTGTATTTTTAAATTTTTATTTTAAGAGTTTATCCACCTCATATAATTGTTCACATAATTAATATAGTTATTTATTAAAATTAATATCATTTTAATATTACAAACTTGTATTTCTTAAATTATTATATAATTGTTATTTTAATATTAATACTTCCACAATTTTTATTTCTAAATATCTTATACGAATATCAGATTTTAATGAAGTTTCTATATATTCTTATGTGATTGATTACTAAGTTGCCTCTAAAGATGATCCTATTAATGATTAACTTATTTAAGACTTTCCACATTAAATTATATATTTAGCTTAAATATTTAAAAGATAATCAAAGTGTAAAATGCTGTTCTTTTTTTGTAGATCATTTTAATAAAAATTTGAATCTTTAAATACTAAATCATCATCTTACAATTATTTATTTGAATTATACTAAGCTTACCATTATTAATATTGTTCTGAACAGGAAAATTTAGTTAAAAATAGATAATTTAGTATTTTGACTGATTTAATTATCCATCCAAAATCAAATAGAAAATAAGCATATATTATTAAATATTCATTTTATTTTGATCTTTATCTATTTATTAAAGATTTCTATAAGAAACAAGAAATCATTTAAAAAATAAACTATTCATAAATTTCATTTGTAATACAACAACATTATTCAGGATTTTAAATAGAGACATGATCACAAAATGTACATTTTTTGGATTAACATCTAGAGGAATGCCATTTAGCTATTAAAATTTTAATAATTAAATCTTCTTATTAGAAATAAATTTCATGATTTAACATTTTAATTAATCCAAATCTAAGATAATTTAAATTAGATTTTTTAGTACTGAATAATTCTAACATTATTTCTTTTTCAATTTATTTATTCAAATTTAATAACATCATCATTACCAAAGAGAATATGATTAAACAACAAAAAGTTAACAGTCTTAAATTTTATATGGATACTATAAAAATAGATATACTTAATGATAAGTTTATTGAAATTGCTAAAATTAAAGGGTATTATTGATAATGAAGTATATAGTTTTAATGAATAAATAATTCTGATATAAGAATTAATTATTGACATAAAGAGATAGCACTTAGTATATATTCTAAATAGATATAATCAAACTTTATTACAATAATTAATTATATCATGATAAATACATAATATATATATCTTTAGATAGTAATTCCTAATTTCTCCAATCCAAAAACTTTATTTGTAATTGTACATTCATTGATTATTATAGATCCTATAGAATCAACTAACATAAGTAAAATTGTTAAAATATTTAAGGTAACCAGTAAAAATCCAAAATTTTCTAATTATTCTAATTATTATATAAAGCAAGTTAAACAAACATAAGTCATTTCCAAATACAAATAAGATCCAATTAATTATTAATAGAAATTAAGGTAATAACAAAAAATTTTAAGGAAAAAAGAGTCTTGAGTTTAATTAATTAATTTTTGTGAATTCTCAGAATTAAAATTGTTTAAAGTAAAAATTATTAGACCAACTTTATGAAATAAAATTAGAAATGTTACTATAAAAAAAGTATATTAAACATAATCCCCAGATATTGAAATTAATTTTAATGATGGTCTAAACAAGATTGTAATTAACTCTTAAAAATAAGTATTGCTATTTTAATTTATTGATCCAATAATGGGATGACTGTTCTAATTTTAACTTAACAATTCAAAAATAAGAAATAATGGTTGCAAATTCGAGATTAATATTAAGAATCCACTAATTTTCTTAGAAAAATCAAATTTAACTTTTAAAACATACATCGTTATTATTAAGTTTGAGAAATTAAACTTATCTTTGTCTTTATCCTTTTCCATTTATTGATTTATTTATTTATTTATTTTTAAATATAAATATTACTATAAATCATGCTATCAATAATTCCATATTTATAATTAATATAAATAAATTAAAAAATAATTATGAATAGGTTTTACAATATATTAATTCATAAACTTAATAACAATTGTTTAAGAGCTATCATATAAAATAAATATTTTCAAACAAAATAGAAGTTTAAATTGATAAAATAAATAATTATCTTAATTTTTCTATTTTACAAATTATTTAAAAGGATAATATAATATCTCTAGGAGTATTCTCTTCCTCTCTTAAAATAAATAAGATTATCAATTTTGAAGAAATATCAATTCAATTAATGTGTTTCCTTAATTTTTATTAAGCAAATTATTATTATTAATGCTTTGGAGTAAAACTCTTAAATAAAAAGTAATATTTATGAAAATTAAATCCAAAATAACTATTTTTAATTCATATTTAATTAATTGTAGATTAGACTTCTATCATCCACAATTTTATATAGCTAAGATTATATTTAATAGATATTCTATAATATAATATGCATTTTTATTTTCTTAATGATTTCTCCTATAAAGCCTAATTTATTGGATTTTAAATCTTGTTAATTTTTTCATTTTTAGACTTATTTATTAGTTTATGCTAGCAACCAATTTAATTTTCAAACTTATGAAAATAATGATGATAAACAACTTATGTAATATTATAATGGAATATTTTACTTCTGTATTAAGTCTTTCTAAGATTCAAAATTAATACTATAGTAAATCATTAATTAAATTTATACATTTTCAATTAATTTAATTTTTGTTGTGTTTTTTATTGTGATTATATTTGTAATAAATTGTAAAACAGGTCTAATAAAGATTTATTTTGATAATTATTAAATTTTAAGAGTGAAATTTAATATTATATACAAACATTTAATGTAAAAATATTTTATAAATTAAGATGAACAATAATCAAATAGAATTGGAAAATAGATCAAATTCATAGTTTAATTCTTAAGTAAATTCTTAATAAGAAATCTAATTGAATTAACTTGATTAAAGTAATGAGACTGCTATTAATTAACTTATTTAAATTCTTAATAATTAAACAAACCTTCCAATAGATTAATTCAAATAATTAGTTGATTTAGCAGTAATTGATAAACAATTTTTGATATTGACATTAAACCCAAAAGGGATATACTTTTAGAATTTGAGAAAACTTATATTATTAATAGTTGGATTCTTAGCTTTTCAGTTCTATTAACTTCTATATCTTTTCACATAGAATTAAATCACTTAAGATCATGTTGATATAAAATCAAAATTTATGTATTGATATTAGCGATTTAGTTTAAAAACCCAATAGCATATTATGAACAAGAGCTTATCTAGAACTAATTTATATTTGGAAGAATAAATCAATAATCTATTGATAGTAATTATGATTAGGATTATATATATCATAATATCCTACTGTAGTTTTTGTTTGATAAAACCACTATCTTAACATTATTCAAATAAAAATGTATATAAATTATTATATATTTAAGTTATTACTATTTTTTCTTTTGCTAATAGGATGTACTTATTTTATATAAGGTACATAATGTAATCTATATCCAAATTATGAAACTTTACATTTTGAAGATATTGGAAAATTAAGTAATTAGAAAATCTTTTGGGATAATTTTATTTTTTTTTGCTGTTTTTTTTTGTAAGGAATGTCATCCGCAATCATATTTTATTTGTTATTGTAATAGGTTTAATTTATTTTGGAGGAAAATTAAAGATTAATCTTTTACAATGATTTTTCATTAGTGATAATTGAATTTATTGTGGTGTCATCTGTTTTACATATGATTTTTAAAGAATAATATAATTTTAACTTAATTATAATGTGGATTCCTTTTTCTTTAATCACATTATATGCCTTTTTTACTATTTAAGATTCACCACTTTGTATTTTAGACAGAATTTCATATTATTAATAAATCTCAAAATAAAATTAATAAAATCTAAAAAAATAATAAGTTGCTATAAATAAAATTGATGATTTAATTACAGAATTTCAATCTAATTTGAATTATATTTATTCTACAAATTTCTAAAATAAAGTTTATTTTAGTGAAGAGTAAGTATCATTATTACTAAATAAATTTTAATTTAAAATAAGCAACAAATAAGAACCTAGTTATATAGTTAATTTTATAATGTTTACTTTAAGTTTATTATATTTTGGGCATTTGTTTAAATTATATGTATTTATATATCAATTGTAATGGTCAGTTTAAACTTTAGCCTTAATATTATCTATTTTTGAATTACTAGGATATTTTATAGGAAATTATTGTATAAGTCAATTATATAATCAACATTTATTAAGAAAATTATTGATGACTTTTGGATTGATTAATTATTTAAGTTCTTTGCCAAGTTTTCAATCCATTCATAGTTCATTTTAAAGTTAAGTAGAATTCTTTTCTATTCTAATTATTAGATTATTGTTTTCTTTAACTATCAAGGCATTTTTAATGTAATAAATTTATTTTAATAGATAATTTTCATAATATAAATTAAATTTTGGATTCTTAATGTTAGGTCTATTAATTGCTAATATTAACTTATTATAAATATAATTATTTTAATTAATAATTGCAACTATTCTAATATTTGCTTATCGTTTAGCAAAGTGATTTTGATATATATATTTATAAATATAGAAATATTAATTATATTCTATAAATCATTAAAGTTATATTATAAATCACATAAGCTTAAAACATGAGATTGTCAGACGTACTTATTAATTGAATCTGGTAATTGTTTACAATATGGGCAAACCTTGGTTTTATTCATTGGAGTTTTTAGCCATTATATAACACAATCTTAATGAAAAGTGTGTTTTCCTTAACATTGATATTCAGCAACATGTTCTTTAACTTTAAATTCTTCATAACAAATAGGACAAATGTCCAAAGTACTCAATGAGAGTTCTTTAAGTTCTTCTATTTTGATGAAGCTTTCTTTAAATTCTACAATAGTTTGCTCTTCAAGTGTATTTTCAAATTATCCTGTAATAAATATGCGATTTAATAAATATCCACAAACTGAATATCTGATAAGTTTTCTATATATATTAAGTAAATTTACTTAATATTTTGAGTTTATTCTAAAGACTCTCCAAAAAAATCAAAAATCACCAATATAATCCCAAAAATGTACAAAACATTTATCAAACATTAATTGATATTGAGATATTGATGCAATTTATATTACAATAAAGTTCTCAACTAAATAATTTAATCCTTTTTATTCTGTTCTTATTTCAAAGTTATTAATTGAGGTATAAAAAGGACGTATAAAAATATAGCACATAGATTGCTGATAAAAAGCAGGAATAAATATGAGCATTTAAACCATGCAGCAGAATATGGCAATTAATCATTCATCAAATTATCAACATAAAACAAACAGAGGATGATACTGAGAAGTAAATTCATTGCATCTTGTTTGATCAAATACTTTCTTGATGAATCTGGAGCTATGAGCAATCTTTATATATTTTACATAAATATTATTAAAAATTGATAATTATTACAAATTTCTTATTTATTATTTACACATAATCATGTTTCATAATAAAAAATTGTTATATACTTCATATTCATATAATCCAATAGATCTTCAAATTATTATATAGAAATTAGAAATGAAAATATTAATTTGATTTACATTAAATATTTTGCAAATATAATAACTAATGGTAAATTGTATATTGATATAATTAGTAAAACGAATACCCAGAAAGAGCTTAGCCATTAGCTAATGAAGAAGTTGAACCACAAATTTTAGAACTTGTCTAATAAGCAGCTGCTCTTAAATAAGTATTGATTTTAGATATAAGATTAGTTAAAAAAAGGAGCTAATGAAACAACAAAAACATTAAATAGAGGTATTGCAGAGTTAGTCATTATTGCAGCAGATACAACTCCATTAGAAATAGTGCTTCATTTACCTTTGCTTTGTGAAGATAAAGTAAGACTCATTAATTTACATTAATTAGAATGTTCCTTATGTATTTATTAAGAGCAAAGTTGATTTAGGGAGAATGTGTGGAACAAGTAGAAATGTAGTAGCATGCTCAGTGATTAAAGATAAAAACTCAAGAATCAATTAAAATATCACATACTTAAAAGATTTATGTGAGAGATTATAAATCAACTAAGAAGCATGATCATATTAAAATATTTGATGAACATAAATAAAATATACTTTTATAGTAAGTAACTTAAACAGATAATATATATATCTGATGAATTATTTAACCATAATTATTAAGTATATTAATATTATTATTAAATAAACTAATATACACAAATCTAAAAAGTTACATCAATTTTTTACACCTTCTTAATCCAACTATTGATTAAAATTTAAAAATATTGTAATTAAAAATATCCCTTTTTTATTCAACTATGAGCAAATGAATTTTTATCTCATGTGTTGAATATTTATTAATAAATAAAAATAAATTATAAAAAATGTTGACGGCGAGGTTCGAACTCGCGCCCTTTCGGAATGGAGCCTTAATCCACCGCCTTAGACCACTCGGCCACGTCAACTTGTATTGATAATTTATTTCTGAAGAGCATAAAAAGGGTACAAAAGTTGTAACGAAAAACTTTATAATATAAATGATGACTTAAAAATCATATATCAAAAATTAAAAGGATAGTAATTTATGTTCATATTAATAATTTTTTTCAATTTACTAGTTAACTTTAGAAAGATTTTTTTGATTATTTTTGAATAATATTAATTATAATGTTATTTCTTCTACTTATTGTTAGGTAATGAGTTTAACAATCCATAGTTTATCATATGCAGCATCCTTGATAAAGCCTGTGCACATCATAGATGTAATTAATTAATTTCTATTTTTAGTTATATGCTAAATCTTGCGTTAGCGTTGGTGAATGTTGTGCATGCTCAAAAACAGGTTATTGTAGCTCAAATCATACATGTGCTTGTACAGCAACTTAAGGAGGTGAACAATATGGTTAAACTTGTTTATTGAACTCAACTGAAAACGCTGCTGTTGAAAAATAGTTAGTAAGTGGAGCGGATGAGTCATAAATAGCAAGGTTACTGTTATGATATATTTTTAGTTTCTCTGTTATCTAGGTTTATGATTTATTGAGTAGAAATTCTACTATGACGTTTAAACAATTAAATGCCTTAGTTGAATTAGGCAAATCTATAGCTAAAAATAGTGTATAGTAAAGTGAAATCAATTGGTTTTTAAGAAGCATAGAATACATGACATAGAAATTAAAAACAATTAAAACATTAGAAACAAGTGCTCTTTAGACTTTTTAAATATAAATAATTGATTTAATTAGATCCTTAATGTTCAAATATATTGATTTGGATTCATAAAAGAATGTGATTTACTTTGAATAAGGATATTTTAGCGCTATTATTGCTAAATGGAAAGATACAAGTATAATATATTTTGATTTCTAATAGTAAGTTATACTAATATGAAAATAAATTAAAAATCAATAAAATCAGCTTAATGTGAATACAAATTCAAATCTGTATTGATAAAGGTATTATATAAACATTTATAATAGTATAAACTAGTGCTGGCTGTTTCTAATGATATGTTAGATTCATTTTTAAATTCCACATTTATTTACAATTCTACTGTCACTTATTGTTAATTTATGGATAAATATGGAGAAATCTATTTCCCTCCTTCCTCTGAGTTTCATTATTGGCATTATGTTCCAAATTATGATTATGAGCCATTGTTGAAAATGTAAGATGTTATTGGTCTTGGATGCTTTTAAGTATCCCTTTTTATAATTAATCTAGATAAAACAATCTAATTCAGTTTATAGTTTAGAATACAATAATTAAGGATGCTAATACAAATAAATAACTACCTCAAGACCAGTACCTTATTGTTAATGTAACGAACCTGGATTTACTTTTGTATAGATTTTGTGGAGTGATGCAAAAATGACTTAGCTTGCTTTGGCTGCACAAGAATAAAGCTTAAATTAATAATAAACAGAAACTTAAGGGAAATTATTGATCCTTATATATATGATTATATATATTTTATTATGATCATATTATAATATTCAAAGTTATATTTATTTATTTTTTAATATAAATAATTGAAAAAAGTATTAGTTAAACTAATAATCTATAGATTATTATTTACATTTCATAAATTGGAATTTGAAATTAATCATTATTTAGGTAAATGTATTGCTGATAAAAGATTATAATTTTTTTAAAAATGAATATATAATTGCCATAATAATAGTGCTGTTTCAAAAATTGGGATTTCTAAATATTTTCAATTTGTTTCATCATTACATGTATTTCAATATCTTAAGATGACATAAATCAATCACAATAGATAGATTTAAATCAATTTCCATTTTCCTCAACTCAAAAAGTACAGGTCTAGATTAATTTAGCTATATAACTAAAATGAATAATATATAAAATTAAATTAATGAATATCTTTGATTTATTATATTATCAAATTTTTGTGAATTCTTCAAATATTTCTTCTAAACTGTTATGCATAGCAAAAAAGTGCATTAAATGAAACACAGGATTTAAATCCATATTTTTCAAACTTTTAGCTATTAATCTATATATTAATATTCTTCCATAGATTGTAAGTGGTTCTATCAGTGCTTATGAAATTAGAATATTTCCAAAATAGATGATGGCCACTACATATTATTCTGATTGCATTTAAATTCTATTATAGTTTAAGAAATACTTTTTAATTTAAAAAATATATATGACAAGGTTGGGTAACATCATTAATATGATAAGGATAAGATGACTAATAAAAGCTGCAATTCTTTTGAATCTATATATTGCTTCAATAATTTTATAAAAAATTCTCATCAACAAAATTATAACAGGGTTAAGGATTATGAATAAAAAAATGAGGAGAATTTGATTATTTAACAAATAACATTCAAGAATTGTTAAAGTTAATTATAAATTGAATTAGGAGAGTACTTCTAAAATCCTATAACTAAATTCAATACTTTTATCTTTATAATAAAATAGCGAAATAGTTTAATGGATTTGCTAATATAACAATTGAATAATACCTTTAATTTTTCTTTAAATAATTTAGAATTACTATGATATATGAAAGGATTTTTTTATGAAATGTTGGGTTGGCTCGAATTACTTTAATCAGTATCAGATCTCTGTTATTGGACCTTTTTATCTTTATATTATTAAAAAATAAAAATGCCCAGAAATATTAATGACAAAGAGCATGTACTCAATTGTAAAGCTAACATGTCTTCAGATTGGGAGCCTAATTCAAAATTATATATTTATTTTGGAGATTCGCTTATATTTACAATACTAAAATTTGTAGAGGTTGCTAAAAAAATTTCGCCAAACTTATCACAATCACAATGTAACTCAAACGTATTGTTATTTTATACTCTATTCAAATTACATTAATAAAATTTTCCAGAGATTGTTCTAGTTAAACAAAATATTTCATATTCAGATAAAAATTATGTAGTATTTTAGCAACCTTGATAGGATCCAAAATTTGTGCTGTAAATAGATGAGAAATTTTCATATTCTTGAAATCTTCTACGATAAAAGTTTTTCAATTTAATTTGATAGTAATTATCTGGGAATATTTGTAATGTTTGATCATTAAAATATTTTTAGAGTATTGATTCCAAATTAGAATTAAATCTTAAAGGATTCGTTTAAAAATAAGCAGATTCATATTGAATAAAATCTAGAAGGAAATCTTCTTTGGTTTATTGAATATTAAATTATTTATTGAATAATGATTTTGTTCTTCTTTTGATTTTCCAAATAATTTCAATTCCATCAATAACTAATGGCTTTTCGTTTACTATAATAGAATTTTGGGTTTCCTCTGCAATCGTATCAAAAACCCTTAACAATTCAACAATAATTTGATCTATAGTTTCATTTTTTATATTTATTTATGAAAAATCAGAATAGATATCATCAAGATAGTATATTAAACTTCTTAAGCAATCTTATGAGTCTTAATATTATTAAAAGATTTATTCATTCCAAATATATAAATTTAGTTCTAGCTCCTCTTCGCATTGTTTTTTCATTTTACTAAAATACTTTAAAATTGTATTAAAATTTTATGCATTTTCTTTCATATTTTCTATCTTTTTTGTTAAATTTACTACAGGTTAAGTTGAATTTTAGGTAATAAATAAATGGTTTGAGTTTAAATCTAAACATTTTTTTGGAGTTTCTTCATTCAATAATCGATTTTTAGGTTTACTTTCTT